GGAGGACTTGCCTTTTCCCTAGCCATGGTCAGAGAGCCAGGTAAGAGGGACTAAGGGTCACGGACACATGACAGTATTGATGGGAGTAAAAGGACAATTTTTAGTAAACTTTTTGTCATCTATGAATAGTGCCACATAGGGTACAAGTTGTGTTTCCTTCAATTACAAGTAACAAGGAAGGCCGGAAATGTAGCTGGCAGTGGTGCTCCTGACATGAGTGGGTCACTCATTTTTTTTATTCTTAATTTGAATAAAGCCACTAAATTTGTATTTGGCCTGTAAAATTACTGCCTCCTTAATTAACTCTTTAGGCAATTCCTTCAGGCCTAAGAGGTAATCTGGAGAACCTTAATTCTTTTAGCAATGAGAATATTACTTTATTTTGGTGGGAATATTATTATGTGAATATGTCATAACAGTAGACCACTGGAGGACATTTCAGCTTGGGCTCCAGAACTGAGGTGGTAAGGTGGAGGCAGTATGGATACAGCATGTACTGCACTGCTGTCTGTTTTGTAGAGACACCCCCCTCCCCCAACCCCAGGAGCTTACAACAGAGCCGAGAGAGCATTCTCCATGCCCTTTGTTTTGCTGATATTTTACATCACGCTATTCATCTAGAGCATTAGCTCTTAATCTTTCTGAGCTCATGTAGCCCTTTTAGGATGTGATGAAAGTCATTGAGACTTGAAAACCTCAGCCCTGTGCCACCGCATAACTTTGCTAGGCCCTGGGTCCTGTCGAGAGCCAGTGATCAGTTTCACATACAGAACCCCAGCTTTAGGAAGTGAAAACACCTTGACACTGAAGTCTTGTGTGTTTCTCTGTTGCAGTCAATTCTACTTCCCCCAAAAGCTTGTGTGTTGTAGAGCAGCAGGTTAAACACTGCAGGGATTGATTTTTTACGTCTAGACTGCCTTTGCCTCAGAGGGCCTTTCAGAAGGAGAGGTCCTGATGAGAGTCTGGGGTTGGGCCTCTTCAACACTTGAGGGTGAGAAGAGGCTAAGGAAGCTAGAGAAAGAAGTCCTGGCACCTGACCACCAAGAATGGAGTCTGGTCCCAGGCCCTAAAGCTTCTCTCAGACCCTCCACCTGACAGTTAACTTGCTTAAAGACTCGGTCCTTGTGCAGCTACATTTATACTCCTTAGACGTGATAGAGTTGAGACTCCTAGCTCTTAGCAGCTGCACAGCTGATGGTCAGGTGTCAGGCAGGTGGTCTGGCATTGTTGGATCATACATCGCAGGGGCACTGGGGGACTCTCTGTAGGTCTGCCACGGCCCGGACATGGTGCTGTGCTCTGCTGTGGAGAGCAGGCCCTACCTTTTTCTGTTGGCACTTCCTTCTGGAGTTCTTGCAGTAGGGAAGCTGATGAGGCTGTTTGGTTCAGCTCAGGCATTCTCTGATCTTCCTGCTCTGACCTCCTTGCTCCTCACTGGTAGTCAGGCCGTGCTTGTGCCTGGCTTTTCTAACCCTCTCTTATTTACATTCAGGACTTTCTTGTATCACAGCTGTCTGTTGGCTCATTTTATTTTACCCACTTCAGTTTTCTTCATAAAGGAGATTGTAGTGAATGAAGGAAGGTTTGGGAAGATGGATTGTTCTTGTCTCAGCTTTTCTGAGAGTGGATTCTCAGGTATCTGGGAGGCTGATGGGGAATTTTTTTGAACCATTGGTGTCCCTCTCTATGTGGGAACCCCACAGCCTGTAGGCATTTGCAAGGCTCCTGGCTCATAATCTGTCTCCTTCCTTGGAGACCTATTAACAATGGCATCATGACTTTCTGAGCTATAGGCAAAGGGGGCACCGAGACCTTTCCCTCACCTTCCCTCAGCAAGTACTGGACTCCTTAGGAGCCTTGGTACTGTTTCCCTCCAGTCTTGATCAGCCAGACAGTGGTGTATCTACCTCATTTTGAAGGTCCTTTTGCCTAGTTTCCTTCCTCAGTGGAGGCTTCCAGAGGTGTTAATGTGGACTGTTCACTGCCTGAGAAGGCCTATGGTCAAGCGGAGTGCTCCTCCTGTACCAGAGACAGGGTGCCACCTTCCACGGTGTCATAGCTCCTCCCTGCTGGCCTCCAGCCTAGAGTTTCTAGGTGGTACTCCTCTGGTGTTGCTGCATGCTGGCCTGTACCTTTTTGGGAACTTGTTCCTTGCTGATTATATTCAGAACTTACAGAGAAATGAATCCTTGGTTGACATTCTCTACCTTTATGAGGTCTTCTGATAAGAAAATTGTTGACTTTTAAGAGAAATCTCACTCTTGCCTCCCTTTTTAGTGGCCCTAGGGGGATCGGGAAGGTCTGTGCACCCATCCCTGAAGGACATGAGGCCAAGGGGCTATGAAGGCTCACTCATTGCTCCCTCAGCCCTGCCCCTTTGCAGCCATGCAGACACTTCAGGTTTTGCCCTGTCCCATTAGGGCCCTCCAGGCAGGAAGAACCTCTAGAAAGCAGAGAGCACTGCATCCAGGCCCTTTGAAAAGCACGAGAGCAGGAGGTCCCAGGGGTGGCCACTGTTGCCAACAAGTATATTCTCTAGAGCCAGCTCCAAGGAGTTAATTGATGTGTTTTCTTCTTTCTGGAAACTGGCAATTAACTCTGCTTAGGCATAAATGGATGTGTATGTAGGGATTTCCTTTCTGAAAGGTTCCTGTAAGCCTAGTGCATAACCTAGCCTCTCGGTCTTCTTCCCTTTCAGCGGACAGTTCTGACAACTCTGATTTGGAAGATGACATCATCTTATCTCTGAATGAGTGAGGAGCCATCACCTCGTGGAAGACATTTGTGACAGGCGAGAGACTGAGTCAGATGAATTCAGAACACCTTCCCTTCCCTGTCTCCCAGGGCTATCTTTTAAGGAACTGCATGCCCTGCATTCAGAGGATTATGGCTTAGAGAGCCTCACTGGAATCCGAGGGTCCTTCTAAAACAATAACAACCACAAAAACAACAGGGTTTAGGCCCTATTCTGCTTCCCCCTTCTCCTAGGATGGACAGCTCTTTCCTCAAGGGGGGGAAAAAAAAACCATGTCTCTGGGGTTATTTCACAATATATTTTCTTTGTATAACGTTCTTTACTTAAAGAACAAGAAATAGTTTTTTATAAAAGTTAAAAAGAAAAAAAAAAAAACAGGCATTTATAACTGAGGGTATGAACTTATATCCACCAGGTCTCTTGTCCCTGCACTTCATTTTCTGTTGAAGAAAATGATGTCTAAAGAACAATACAGAGGCATTTTTACACACATATTTAAATGAAAAGGAAAATCGTGGTTTCTTAAATTGATAAGGATTAAGAATATTTTATTATAAATATAATATATGATTTTTTAACCTGTTTTGTTGCCTCATATGCTGTCAGGTTAATTTGTTTTCCTTCGTGCCCGAGGTGGGGAGGAAGGCACTGCTTGTTTGCTGAGTAAATGCCCAGGTTCACCCGCCTTTATGGTTTGGGGGCAGCAAGGTCGTTGTGGATATTGGTTTTGTGGAGTTGAGGGAACTTAGGATATAAGTTCACTCCCTCTATTTTTCTTTGTGATTTTTTTCAAAAATTTTTTTCTTCCCTTTCTCCCCAATGTGGAAATTACAAATCAAAGGCCTTTTCTTTAATGTAAAGTGTATTTATTTAAAAAAAAAAAATACAAAATAAACTACAAGTCTGTCTTTGTTTGTTCATGGCCTTACCCGGTTCTCTTTTACCAAAGTGTGGTGGTCCCTTTCCCTGCTGCTCTAGCCAGCCAGTAGAGAAGACCCCTTCCTTCCAGGAGAGGCAGTCCAGGACAGTGGTGAGAACACATTCTGCCCAAATAAAGCACTGTGGGGAGAAAATTAGCTTAGTCACAGTGTCTCACCCTGGTCTGCAGCTGTGCTCCAGAGGGAGTATCAGTCTATGCCCGAGAACCACGCAGGGGTGGAGGAGGGGCTCGGGCATTGTCCACTGTGGGCACATCTCTGTCCTGGGCTCTGACTCAAAAGGCAGCTCTGTGGTACAGATTTGGTGGGGCTGGCAAGTTAGGGGTCCTGGGAAGTTTTGGAGAACATGCTGGCAAAGCTAAGAAGTAAAAATGTGTTGGCCATCTCTGTAGTCGGGGGTAACTGTCCCTAGTTTCCTCAAGGGAAAGTAATAGCGGACCAGAGTTGTTCACTTTTGGCGGTTTGGGAAGAGCGGGGGCTTGGGCAGGCTGGGTTTGCAGATGGGGTCTTGGGCCTCCAAAATCAGCTTGCGGTTGGTTAAACTGTGCTACTGCCAGGAAAGTGCCACATGCTCTGACCATTTCACTTACCCACCTCACCCTGCTTTCCTCCCCAGTAAATAAACCCTAGTCTCTTCCTTTGAGTTCGCCCAAATAATAGCTTCTTGGTTTCTATTATGTAGGTATCACATGGCTAGAGACTTATTTCTCCCTTTGCCAAGAGAAGGGACACATTTGGTTGTGAAGTAAACAAGACAACATGGCTAAAACTCACGAGGGGCTGGTAAAGCCCTGCTGGGCTTTGGAGCACCATACAATTTGTCACACACACTGAAGTGGGCCTGTGTCATACAGGTAGCTCTTGGTCCTTTAGAGAGCAGAGGTCTCAGCTCACGTTGCTTCATGCCTCAGCTTTAATGGGTTGCTAACACCTGACCCGGGGAGTAGCCTTGATCAAGCTGGTGCTGGATGCAGAAGAAGAAAGTAGGTTAAAAGGCCAGAAGTAAAAGCACAATATTCTAGTCAGGAGCTCAGCTGAGCCACTGGCTGTGTCCCTGAACTCTGCCAGCAGCTCTTGGGAATGCCTATGGGTCTCTGGGGTGGAGATGGGGACCTCCAGCAGGAAAGCAGAGTTCTGGTTGACTTGACAACATGCCTTTAGGGAAGTGCCCTGAGAGGCTTAAGGAGACATCAGACCTATTTCTTACTATATCAGGGCTTAAGATCGGAGCTACTTAGGAAGAAACGTGTATAATACTAGCAAACCAGTAATGAGCAAACTTTGCTTCATTTTTTTTTTTTTTTTTTAACCTCAGGTTAATCATCTCAGGCTCCAAACCCCCAGGTGGAGGTGCTTGATGCCTGCAGTTAAATCGTCCTCTCTGGGGCAGTCTGAAATCAACCAGTGCCTTGACCATCTAACTTAATCCTTACTAGTGCTGGCCAAGGCCTTTCTGAGAAGTTCACAGAACCTGTTGTATCTTAAGAGCCAAAGGAAGTGGTTGAGAACGGGGTCCAGGGAAGAGAAGGAAGGTCACACAGTAGGTAGTGGTTCTTTACTAAAACTCTGTATTTCCTTTTGGGGCCAGAGAGCACCTATCCCTGAAGAGTGGACCAGTCAGGCATTGAAGCGTCTTCTGCAGGTTTCCATCTGGGAATGCTAGGAGGTGTAGTATTCTGGGTTCTGAGTACCCACTCTATGAAGGAGCAGCCCCGAGAAGTTTTGGACTTAAAGGGGCAAGGCAACTCTGGCCTGTGTGTGACCCAGGCATTTCTCAAAGATCTGCAGGAAGCCCTGTGATGTGCCTTCAGGTCACTGCTACCTTATTTGCTCTGAACAAGATAAGGGCCACTCCTCCTGGCAGTATGAGCTACCCTGGGATGGTGGAGCTGTGGTCAGCTGGGCCCCCACAGGCTGGCTCAGACACCCTGCAGGTGTTGCCACAGCGCAAGTACAAACAAGCAAATAAACACATTTTAAGGTTTTCTGTTGTGAACATACTTGTTCTCTTCATGAGCACCAGCTTTAACCCAGCGAGCAGTACTTGCCCAGGCATCTTCCCCTGTTCGTTTTAAATCTCCAAGGTCCCTAAAAGCTACCTCCTTCACTGTCCTTGTGGAAAAGCATGTATTCTCCATGCAGGACACAGAGCCTCAGTGTCCATCTCACAACTATCTCAAAACATCTGGGCTGTCACCTGTGTTGCCTTGCCCCAGCTGGGGTAGTGGACCAGGCCAGGGAGTGGCATGGCCAACAGAACCTAGAGTTCCTGGCCTTTTGGGGGTTCGTTTCTCTGAGGCTTCTGCTGTCCCTCAGCTCTGACAATGAGCCTTTTGGGACATGGTGACAACTGCTGTATGACTGGTTTCCCTCTAGGGTCTCCAATGGTGCTGGCTTCATTTGCCCTATGACCTCACTAGAGACCAGTGATGACAGTATTATTAATTCTTTCAAGAGTCCCTCCCAGCTCCAGGATGCCTCCACATTGCCCCCTAGCTCGGGCAATGCTAGTCAAAGCCATTAAGGCCAACAAGCCAAAGCGTGGTACCTGTGACCGCATTTCCCCACAGAAGCACCTTTCTTCCAGTGGTTCCACCTCAGCAGCAGGGCAAGAGGCTGAGAGCACGAGGTATGCCAGTTAAGAGCATCTTCCGAACCCACTGCGTGCCCTTGCAGCATTGCAAAAATTCTTCCATCTAGGGATTCAGTGTCCTTCACAAAAGCTCTAGTGATTGGGCAGAGGCCCAATCCTTTGACACATCAGCCACGAATAACCAAAGGGAGAACCAGAATTCACAGACATTGCGTAAAGTTAAAAAATGACCCAAAAGAGGCTTCCTCTCATCCTCCATTCCAACATTTGGCCTCTAGCGTCCCTTGGAGTCTGAGGCAGCTCAGTCTCCAACTGAGCATTCCTGGGCTGCCCTGTTAAGGCTGGAGGCTGAACAAGAGGGGGAACCTGTGTTGGGTATGTGACACCGAGACCCCTGGCACCGATATTCCACTGCTCTCCCCCATGACTACAAGATCACACAACTGCTAGGCTACCTGCTGGCAGAGATTTCAAGATTGGGCATCTTGTCCAAGAGCTATACCTCAAGCAGATGAACACACACGTTTAGGGCAAGAAAACAAAAACTCCAAAACTACTACAGCTGCTGGTTATAGACCTTAGGCTCACCCCTTTTCTTTGCATGGGCTTTGTTCAGGCAGGCAAAGGCAGGGTCCAGACGCAAACTGAAGCCCACCTGCTCTCAGCCAAGGTTAAAAATGTGAACAGTCCTGACTCAGCCCAAAGAGCTGAGGGACTGAGAGTCACCAATCCGGCAGGACTCTGAGCTACACCAGTGCTGCAGAGATGGCGCATTTGTGTGCGTGCAGTGGGGAAAAAACTTGATTAAACCAGGACTCTGAACAGGATTAAAAATCCATCCTCTAACAAAGGCTTTACTGACAACTTTCCATACAGTTAGTCAAAAAATAAAAAAATACAGAACACAGCAGACAGTATCTTGTACACTAGAAATCAATGTGACAGGAGTCCCTTTTCTCATCGCTGTAAAAAAAACTCTCAAAAATCTAAGAACTTAGTGTTGGTAGGGGTCAGGACTCTGGTCCTCCACCAAATGAACCGAAATAACCCAGCAGAGAATTCAAACCAAGGGGATAGGATGTGGGGAATCAGATTTTAAAATAACTGCTTTTGTGACACAAACGCGGAGCTGGAGACAGGTCTGGGCTAGGCAATGTCTCTTACTATAACTATCACCATGTGTTCTTCTTCTAGCTTGCCCAATGTCCTCAGTGCTGACTGGAGGTACTGCTGTGAAAAGTCACAGGGTGGGAAGGCATAGAGCATGCCCGTGCTGTCTCTGCCCTTGGACCCACCCACCGGCAGGCTGATCACCCCCGCAGCCTGCTTCTGTTTCAAGTAGGAGACCAGGTTCCTGAGAAGCCGCCTCTGTAGGCCTGGCTCTACCGTGGGCATCCCCTCAGTGCCGGGCCCACTGGGGGTCGCCTGGGTGGCTAGGAGCACCGCATAGCCATTGGGGCTCCCCTGCTTGATGCGCCGTGTGACCTCGTCAAGTTTGGGTTGGTCCAGTCGCAGGCGCTGGGCGATCTTCAGCTGGGTCAGTTTGCTCCCAGAAGTGTGGTCTTTGAGGAGGCCAGTGATAACCCCTTGGTCCCCCTCTAGAATGTGCATAGATGTCGGGAAGCAGCTGTTTTTCAACACTAGGAGCCCATTCCAACCCAGCTGCAGTGTCTGGGCATACTCAGAAAGATTCTTGAGCTTTTTGGTCTCGTGTTTTGGCTCTTCCAGAGGCTTGGGCTCAGCCTCAGCGGTCCGATGATTGCGCTCGCTCTCTCGTGTCTTCTTCCCGTGGGAAGAGTCAGGAGCCTCGTGGTGGTGGTGGTGGCTCCGCTCCTCAGCCCCATGTCTGCTGTTGCTGAGGGAATTGCTGCTTGACTCCTTGGTCCCGTCACTAGAGTGGTTCTCTTTACGGCTGCGCTCAGGAGTGCGGTCTGAGCCCCGGTCCACCTGCTGCCCACCACCCTTGGTCCTGCTCCGTTCTTCGTAAGGGGAGTGGGTTGTCCTCCCACGGTCACTGGAAAGGCTCCTCCGCTTCCGCCTCTCCTCCCAGGGCTTGGGCAGGCCCCGGTCCCCATCTCCCCAGCGTTCCCCACTCCGGCTGCGCACTGAGCGGCTGTACCCCTCCAGGCTGTTTCGGCGGTCAGAGCTTTTACTGGGGCTGGTCCAGTCCCCTTCCAAAAAGGTCCGGTCTCGATCTGAGTACAGGAGGTGTGGGGGGGTCCTATCCCGCACCCGCAGGTCAGCATCCAGGTTTCGGTGCCGGGTATATCCATCCGGCAGCAGCTCATAATGCACAGGGAGGGGTGAGGGCTGGTACTGCTGGGGATATCGGGTCTCCTCTGCTTTGGCAAAATCCACGCGCAGCCTTCGATCTGGACCGCCCAAGGGAAAGCCCCTCATTTTTGCACAGGCGGCCTGGGCTGCATCCAAGCTCTCGTACTGGATGTAAGCAAAGCTATCTCCCTTGACGTGATCAATGGTCCGAATGCTCCCAAAGCGGTCAAACTCCCGGGCCAGAGCAGCCAGTGAGGTGTTAGGTCCCAGGCCACCCACCCAGAGGCGAGTGGTAGGGTTGGCCTTGCCATAGCCTATCTTAATGGGGTTGCGGCCAATCACCCGGCCTGACATGGCCACCTTAGCCCTGTGGGCCATGTCTAGGTTCTGGAACTTGAGAAAGGCATACGCACCGCCCTGGCCACGGGCAGGTCTCTTGATGACCACCTCCTCGATGATGCCGTACTTCTCGAAGGCCCGCCGCAACTCCACCTCAGACACGCTGTGGTCCAGATTCCCAATGAAGAGGTTGCGCGTGGCGCGCTGGTCGTCCTCAGGCATCAGGTCCTCCTCGCACACGGCCGGGTAGCCGTAGGGGCGTCCGCGATCATCGTAAAGCCCGTAGTAGTCCAAGGCTCGCTCCCGGGATAGTCCCACTGCGGCAGCGGCGGCAGCATCCAGGGCAAAGGCTGCAGCGGCATGGCGAGCACGGGGTTCCCGCAGCGGCGGGGCGGCTACGGGGGACAGCGAGCGCTGCTTATACTGGTAGCCACTGTGCAGGGGCAAGTAGCCGAGCGGGTCCGTGGGGGCGGGCGGACCCGGGGGCGGGGTGGAGGCCGCAGCGCTGCTACTACTGCTTCGCCGGCTGCTCCCGCCGCCGCCGCCACCGCCGCCACCACGCAGGTACACGGGCTCCACCTTGAGCGGCCGGTCGTAGAGCAGCAGCTGGCGGGCCAGGGCGTGCTGGCGGGCCTCGCGTGCGTCCTGCGGGTGCCGGAAGTTCACGTAGGCCACGCGGCCCAGCTCTGGCGTATGCGACAGGCGCAGGCTGATCTCGCCGAAGCGCTTGAACTGATGGAAGAGCCGGTCCTCAAGGTGCTCGGCAGGCAGCGCAGGGCTCAGGCTGCTGATGAGCAGCGTCTTGTACTCAGGCGCAGCCGCCGACGAGCCGGGACCCGCGGGCTCGGTCCCGGGTGGCGGCGGAGGTGGCGGCAGCGGAGACGCGCGAGGCGAAGCCCCTGAAGCGCCTGGGTCCCCGGAGGCCTTGCCGCCGCGTCCCCCGCCGCCGGCGCCCGAGCCCGAGGAGCGGCCGCTGCTCGCACGGTGATTCGCGTCCCCGGCGCCGCGACCGTCGCGATGCCCACCCCCGCCGCCCCCGCTACCGCGGGGTTTGTCGCGGGCCCGCGCTGGAACAGGATGCTTGGCGCCGCCCGAGGCCTTGTGCGCCGCCCGCCGCCCGCCCGCCTCTGCTTCCCGTTCGCGCTCCCGTGGCCGCTTGGCCGACGATGACGAGCCTCGCCCGCTTGGGCTCGAGTCTCGCTCGCTCTGCCTCTTCATGGCGCCGGCGCAGCGGGCGGGCGGGCGGCCCACAGGCCCCTCACAGCGGCGGCGGCGGCGGCCGAGGAGGCAGCGCCCCCGGCGCCGCCATCTTGGACAAAAGGACTCGGCGCGGCGGTGGCGGCGGGGCGGGGCGGGAGCGGCGCCCAGGGGCTGGGCGTCGCGTTATCAGGCTGCGCCGGGCCGTCACGTGACCCAATGGTGGGCGGGGCGAGAGCGGCGCCGGCCTACGTCATCGGACTGCGCCGCTCCGTGCCACGTGACCCCCGGGTAAGCCTGAAGGTGAGCTCTGACGCCACCGCGTGGCCAAGGCTCTGGGCTATGCGGAAATCATGGCCCTCTTGAGAGCCAGGCTGGCTTGCACGGACCCTGACCCCCATGAGCTGCGGGCCTTGGGCGTCCCGCGCTGCGTGTAGCAGGAGTGGCAGCGTCTGTGGGCGCCGAGCTCCCAGATCTTAACCCAGTGGCTCTTTAAGTGGCACCCACCCCAATCCCCACCACGGCCATCTCCCTACTGGGTCCCGGAATGGGCAAGCGCTAAAACCTAAGTATGCTGCTCCTTAGTCCCCGTTCAGGACCCACCGCCCACAAACCAAATATCCTCAGCGTTCAGGTAATTTATGCAGCGACCCCAAGAAAGGCTGCGAGGCCATGGGCTACGAATGCAAAAGGCCAGACCTACCTGGGCTTGGCTGAGAAAACGGAGCCAACAAACCTTCCGTTAACCAAGCGGGAACAGGTTCCTTGGCGCCACTGGGCCAACTCTCTGCTGCAGCCACCCGAGCAGTGGGCTGGCTGTTAAGGACAGGGCCACGGAGCCATGGGTGAAGAGAAAGCCAAATCCAGTAGTTCCCACAGTACAGCTTGCCACGCTTACCTCTCGCTGACCGGTGCCCTTCTGTTCATCTCCAGGGGCAGGACCTCTTCTCCAGAGGTGAGGTGTGGGGCCAGTGGGGTGGGTGGAATCCTGCCCCGGCGCCCAAGCCCCCTCAGGATGGCTTCATTTCCCAGGGAGCTGTTGGAAGCATTGCAGAACCTGACCCAACTTCAGCCAGGAAACCGTGGGGTGGGTTAAGGCCGACCAGTTCCTCCTCCTCCCACAGCCATAAATAAACCAGTCCTGGAACAGCTGAGGCAGGTGCAATGGGGAAAGCTCTTAAACGAAAACACCTGTAACATTGCCTGAGCTGAACTCCACTTCCAGAAGGGACGAGTTAAGCCCTTCAGAGATCACCTTGGGGGTCAGCCCTAGAGTGGCAGCAGTTGTCTTCCCTGTTCCTGTGTTCACTGTGGCCTGTAGGCCACCGCCATCCACCAGCTTCTGCTTCTAGCTATGGATTTTCCCAGCACCTGCAAGGGGTTCAGGACAGTGCGCTTGTCAGATCCTAACAGCTAATTCCCCCAAACAAGGAAGTCTTGGCCTGAGAAGTGGCTCAACCTTGCTTTCCTCTTAGATGTGGTGTTGCAGATGTGCAAAATGTGGGGCCACTGCCCTAGTGGATGCCACAGCAGGCTGCGACAAGGCCTGTGTAGGCAAACTGAATTTAGCAACTGCATAAATGGGGTGATTTGAGGTCTTCCTTAGAAAGCACACCTGCTTGGTCTTTCCCTTCAGGTGGTCTCTGCAAGGCCTGAGAAGCCACAGGGGTGCCCACCAAGCCACAGCTTACAGGGACAATTGGGTTTCCTAAGAGCCAACCCTGCAAATAAATAAAAACAGAACACAAAAAACCAGACTCTGGAGACACTTTGGGGACCTCAACTATTAGCTTATCTTGGGTAAACAAAAGCAAAAGGTAGGCTCTCACTGACTCTTTGTATAAACTGACCACTACATATATCACAAAATCTTAATTAGGCATCAGAAGCTTGGGGATGACGTCACACCATAAACTCAGATGACCAAGTAGATGGCCAGATCTGGGCTCGGTGGAGGTAGCCAGGCCAAGAGCTTCTTTCGAAATGTGACAGTACTGAACACAGGCAGTTACTGAAGTCATCCTTCCAGAAAACCACACTAAACATATCCTCAGTCCTGCTCCGACGCAGCATACCAGATTCAACCCCCTATGCTCTGCAAGAGGCTGTGCAGCCTCCAGCTCCTCAGGCGGGACTTCTACTCCAAAGCATCTCAGGGTGGGGCATAAGACCCAGCCTCCTCCCAGGCTCGCCTCCAGTCCTGCATGAGCCCCCATGCCTCAGCCCGTGTCCTGCCTGGCATCTCCAGCACTGGCAGCCCAGGGACAGATGTGAAGATAGCAGACAACTCTTGTGAACTGGAAAGCATAAACTGCTGGAATCTTCATTAGGGCTGAAATCCTATTTCATATTCACTTTAATGCTCCAAGGACAGCTAGAAATGTTCTTCCTTTAATAAAAAATTCCCAAACACGCTTTAAAGTCCTAGAGTAAACCTGCAACAGAACAAAGTGAACCCCCCAGGGGGCGCTGTAGAGCCAGCATAGGCAGGAGAGCTCCAGGCTTCACACCTGACATTGTCAGGAGCCCGCCTAAAAAATAAATTACAAAAAGGCTGCAGGGAAGATGCAAGTGGAATGCTTTCCCCACAGGTGCAGAGCGGGGTCGGGCAGACTACAAATCAGTCCGTGAACCGGCTGCCTTGGGGGCATATTTAGGCATCAGTTCATTAATCTTCCGGATGTAGTCAGACTTCTCCGCACAGCCTTTGCATGTCTCCCCCCAGTCGTCCAGGATCTTCTTGAGCTCTTTAACCCGGAGCTTCTTCAGGTCCACTGTGCTCAGGTCAATCTGCTTGTCTGGAGGAGAGAGCAGGGAGAGCTGGTGGGAGTAGCCATGGACTCCCACAGTCCTGGGACAGATCACCCCAGCACAGCCTCCCATCTGTTAGAACACTACTGGTCAGAAGGGGACAGACATTTTCAGACACATGCAGGTGTGTGTCTGTGCCCACTGCCCTCAACTGGGGCAACTGGCCAGGGCGTTTTCACCGGAAGGCTGGTCTCATACTGGCAGCGTCCACCCAGACACGCAGTACTGCCAAGGACAGGGATGGAGGCCACATGGTTCTTATAGGAGAAACCTTACAGGAGAAATGTGGTTCCCACTCCCCCAAGTGCCTTGAAAAATAGTCACAGTAGAGGTCAAATCACTGTAGAATGACGGCTCCAGGGTAACGGAGCAGAGAGACCCCCTAGCTCCAATTTCTCAACACAGGCTCTGGTCAGGAGCTTACTCTCCACAAAAACTTGTGACCACAGAGAGACCTTGAGCCAATGGCACCTGTCACGTCACAGTCAGGAGACTAGGCATCCTTGACACAAGTGGACAAACACAAGCCCTTGGACACTCGAGTCACGGCAAAATATGTTGGTGCTGCTTAAATTTTACAGATGAGGACAACTATTCTTGGTCCTGTTTCTGAGGCCTGCTTTTCCCCCGCCAGAGATCTCGACAAGAGATGCTGCAGCAGCTGGAAGTCTTGGCCTGCCTGTCTGCACACAGCATTTCTCTTCAAAATAAGAAAGCTCCTGAGCCTTCAGAGCTTGTGGCCAGGACAAGTCAGGCCACATCTCTTCTTTGCTCAAAAACCCATGTTCCCAACTTGACTTAGATTAAAGATCTGAAGCCAAATCTTCACCAACCTGCAAGGCCCTCTGTGCTGTCTACCCATCATGCCCCTGGATGCCTCTGGACTGCCTGTTTGCTTAGCCTGGAATGTTCTTCTGTTACTGTCCCCTTGGCTAATCTTCTACCGCCTGCCTTCAAAGTATGCTGAATGTCACCTCCTCAGTGAGGCCTTTTCAGACCTCCACCCATGAGGCCAGATCCACCCTGCCCCTCACCTAGCACAGTCTACCTACCTGGCTACAGAACTCACCAGGCTCTAGTTTCTCACCTGCGTCCCCCAGCTAGAAAGTCAACTACTGATGCCTGAGCTCAGAGGGTCCGTGTTTGTTAAATAAGGTCTAGCCACACTCACCATACTTTAGCTCACAGATCTGGCTGTCCTTCTTTTTGAGCTTCTCACAGATCTTCTCCACAGGGATGTGGTGGGCCAAAGGCTTTGACACCTCGTTGATGATCTTAGTGGCAGCATCATCTGTGGCCCCAATGTAGTAGCACTGCAGCAAGAAAGGACAATGGCCTTCAGGAGGTCCCCCTTGAAAGCTTTCTCCGCAAAACACTGATAACCTCAAAACATCTCTCTGCCAGGGCCTCTTTTTTCCCACGCCCTGCCTGTACCAGCGTTCAGATTCAGTGTAAACCCTGGGCTCTTAATACATGCTTGGTCCCAGAGCTGACAACCTCCAAATAAGTTTAAGAGTCACCAGGATTCAGACCTTTAAAAGTAGACAAACCAGCGACTGCCAGGGAAATGAAAGCTACAAAAGCCATCATTTCATTAGGGCTCTTGTCCTCAACTGGGCCCTGGCCTACGCTGTGCCCACTTTATTACCTTGTGTCCTCGCACATGGCCTCTGAGCACTCATGATGGTTGTTCCCTCTGCCCAGGATGCTCTTCTCCACCCCCTTGCAATGACAGCTCTTCCTCAGAAAGATTCTTGACTACTTTGCCTAAATCAGCATCTACCCTCCCTCCAGAGCACCCTGGTCCATTTTCTGCTGGACACTCATAACAGTGTCATCATTTGTTTGCCTGTCATTTCTCCCCGCTGATACTCCCAGTGCCCAGCACACAGTAGGTGCTTATTCAATACTAACAGGATAACAAAACCTTGCAACTGCAGAATTCACTGGAAACTGGAATCCCACACTAGCATACTAACTGGACAGTGGACCTCCTGAACACGCAAGTGGGCAGGGCCAGCCAGAGAGGATAACCAGCTACTCACCAACCGATTCTCTTTGCCTCTTGCTTCCCGGCAGAATTTTATAAGCTCTTTTTCAATAGAGGGTGGTGAGAATGTGACATCTCGGTCTTTGAGGTCCTGATAAAATCTTCCCAGATAGGAGATACAGACTGGAAAAGAGAGGGAAGGGAGATGCTCAGCAATCACACAAGGTGCACCCCAATCCACCAGCAGGGAACTCCGGCAGCAATTTGAATAGCAGACACGGTGAGGTGAGTTTTTCCATCACCGGGTTTTCTCAGGTGCGCACAGGAGGACAAAACCCAGCTCCAGGTTGCTGGGGTCCCTTGGTACACCGAGGGCACTGGGGGAACAAGCATCACTTGGTGACCCACACAAGGCTCCTCCCTGGTCCTTCCATAAACTTTAAGCCGAGATCGAACAGTGTCCTTGGGATGGACTCACTGTGACCTCAGCAGAGGCCAAACCGTAGGGTGAAGACAAAAACAATCCAAATGCTTCTCATTTCCAAATACAACACCGAACCGGAGGTGCGGCTTCGCAAGCCCACCGGACCCACAACTGTGCCCACGGCCGGCCCTGGGGACTCCCGACCTGGGCCAGGTAGAGCCTCTGCCCAGTGATGTGAACGGAAACTCCAGCGTTATCTCAATTTCAGGCTAAGTTTTCTGCACGATCGAGTCCCAACTTTTTCTTGTTGGACCAGTTTCCTAGACCCTGGAACTGTTTTCTAGGCTGGCGTCCACCCCTCTTCGTGAGGACCCCGCTGGGACGGCCGCCGCCCCCGCCCGTTCCAGCCCGGGCCTCTCGGCCGTTCAGTGGTTTGGGGGAGTTCAGCGCCGCCGCCAGGCCGGCCTCGGCGCGCGGACCCCTGCCCCGCCGCACCTTCGCAGTCGCCTGGCCGCAGAGTTCGGCCGCCCGGCAACACGCTCAGAGCCAGCGCCACCGCCAGCCCGTGCGTGGCCCACATCCTCCTCCTCCTCCGCCGCCGCCACCGCCGCCGCCGCCGCCGCAGCCCGACTGAACCGCGCCCGCCGTGGGGCGCTGCCTCCGGGTCCCGGCCGCGCGCCGTAGTTCCCCATTGGCGGGCGGGCCCCGCGCCCTCCCACACGCCGCGCTCTCATTGGCCCACGCGCCTGGGAGCCCAGACGGGCGGCTCCACGCTGCCCTTCCTTATTGGCTGGTAGCTTCGCCCGCCCTTGGCCCTAGACAGTTGTCGGCCGCTGATTGAGCCAGGACGGTCGGCAGGAAGCGGCCGCGAAGGCGGCGGAAGGGGCACGGGCGGCCATCTTGAGTAGGGGCAGCAGCAGTTGCCGACGCTGGGCGCCGAGGACTAGCGCGGGGTTTGGGGCCGACACTGGGCGCCTGCTGAATTGTCCCGGGTACTCCCTGCTCTCGGTCCCACGGCTGCCCGAAGTAGCCCTCTCCGCTCGGGGCCCCGACTCGTGGCGCAGACCAGCGGCTCTGGGGTCAGCCGTGGCGTAAAGGGCAGGCGGGGAGGGCGGACCTCTGCAGGCCAGGTTTCGGGGAAGTTCCTTTCCTTTTTATCTTTTCAAACGATCCCGGGATCCTGGGCGGAGGATCCAGGCTTTGAGACCGTCTGCGGAGGCTCCTGCGACCGCGAGGCCTGCCGACCCGGTCCGAATGTCCGCATCAGGCCCGAGCCCGTCTTGTACGAGCTAACCGGATGCCAGCCAGAGTGGACGTTGGGCTGAGGATTTCTCATTGGAAAGTCCCCCTCCGAGCGGCCGTCCTAGGCCCCGGCGGGGTCTAACCCGGGTTTCCCGCCGAGCGCTCGGGGTCCCTGGCTGCCGGGGGTGGGGCGCCTTTGGTGAGGGCCCGCGAGTCAGCCGACAAGCACTGAAGGGGGTTTCCTCTTTGGCTGCCCTCCCTTCAAGTGCAAGGCTCGGCTGTCTGTCTGAAGGCAGGACGTGGAAAAGGTTGGCTCTGTGTTCTGTACAGAAAGATTTCTATGGGGCTAAAGGGCTTGGAGCCCAGCGACAAGGGTTGGAGGGGGGCACTGGGGCTGCTCCCATTCAGTGAATTCAGTGGGTCAGTATCAGGTATTCATCTTTAATTCACATCACAGCAGTCAAAGGAGTGGGGAAAGGGGGAAAAATCAAGTGGCAGATATTTACATCTAAAATTCACATTACTTGTTGGCTTTAGAACATGCTACCACAATATATACAGTAAAATACCTTTTGGGACACTAGTACAAATTGTTTTTCCTTTTAGCTTTGCTTTCTGGTACAGGTAAGATCATTTTTAAACCACTTTTTTAAACATAAATACACAAAAGAAATGGTTAGAAGTTTTCTTATTTTAAATAAGCACAGAATGCCAGAGGTTAAAAACACATTTATAGGGCTGAATACCAATTGGACATCACACTCTATACATTTTTTGCTCAAATTCCTGTACAAATACACAGCATTCAAATAGGTATTTACAAATAAGCTTGAAAGAATGAAAATCTATTTCACAATCTTTTCAGAGGATTCTCATTTCTGGCCTCCCACTTCCCCTCAGACTGGTGGTTCTCCAACAAAAGGGATTTGGATTATGTCCTTTCATCCAGTTAGGGAAAATGGAAAGGGGAAACAAATCTAGCTTAACTTACATAAAAAAGCAAGGCCTAACGAACCCACAACCCGCACTGCCCTCCCTACCCTCCTGTGCCACAAGGTGGAGAAGGTCAATGTTCTTATGTGATGACTGCCTTATCCAGGGATTGAGGTTCAGAAGTGCCCTCAAGTCTAAAGATGCCCTCCTACCTAAGATTCAAATACAGAGCTAGCCCCCAACTCTCTAACACTTGTGAACACCACATGCCATAGGCCTGCCCTCCAAAGTTGGGGTTGCCATGACTGACCCATTCTGCCTGGAGCCTTCCTTATAATGATCAGAAAGACCCACACTGGTGAGAGACACCCCCAGATGCCCTAAAGATAATGTGGCCGTCCTCCTACCCAGTTGGTTACTTGCTGGAATTTCCTGTTCAATAAGCTGGCATTTGTGTACAAGAGAACACCTTGGCTGGCCTTGTCTGTTTGGAAAGAGGGGCTGTGGGGAAGGGATGGGGGTCTAGGGCCCAGGGCCTGGCCATGGAGGTCAGACAGGCCAGCAGAAGAGAAACTAAGGGGAGAACACCTCTGCTCAATAAGGAGAAGGCAGCCTTATGACCATCAAAGTTGTGAATTTATGCAAATGAAAAAAAATTTGTAGACTTTTTTTTAAAGTAACTTAGAAGCACCCTGGTAAAATATTATTACCACCCCACCCTATCGCCCCCAAATAATAAACCAAGAGGAAAGTCCGTGCCCTGACCTGAAAGAGTTTCCTATAAAGATACCATTGCGCTCTGCTCAGTAGACTGGGAAGGCTGGAGAAACTGCCCTCCTGCCCACCCTGAACCCTGAGTGGTGGTCCCTGTGGGCCTGGAGTGGGGGAGGAGGGGCAGTTGGGAGGGTGGGATGGGAGGGGTGGGCTACACTTGGCCACTCGACAGAGGAAAATTCAACCTGTGTGGCTCTCTGCTTGAGAAGGAGGGGTTTCCTCCCACCCTCTACCCAGAAGCTTGCTGAACCTGACCACGAGTCCTCAGGGCTGGAAACCTGGCTGGGCAGCCAGCCCCACTGCTCAGAGGTAGTGCTGAAAATCCCTGATTCAGGAACTGGATGACAGGTATTCTGGCCACTTCTGAAAACTCAGAGGATTTCTGGCCCCTGCCACACCCCAGCCTTGCTCCTATACCAGCTTGTCTCTCAATACTTGGCCTCCTGGGCCATGGGGAGGAGGGTGGCTAGGATAGACCCTCTGGCTCCACACCCCCACACAAGCCCCAGAGGGTAGAGGGTGGGAGATAACCTTTGCAGATCCATTCACCAAGGGGGCTCCTGCAGGGCATGAGGTGTATTGAGAGTGGAAGGGAGCAGAAATAAAAGCAATGGAAAAATCCAAGGTAGAGACAGGGCTGGCCCATGGAAGCCTGGCAGTGTGCCCTGGGCATGCAGATAGGCCGGGTCACATGCCTGAGCTGGCAGGTTGGCCCAAGCAGCCCCTCAGTCTCACACTCCTGAATGGAAGAGTGGGCAGGTGGGTAGGCATTTGTGCAAAACGGCTTGTAGCTCCCTTGTCCACCTGTGACATGTAGTCCACGTGGTCCTTGCGATCCCTGAATACAACCATGAGCTCTTCTGTCCACACAGCAACAGAAGAAGTCCCTAGTGCAATTCCCATTCTTCTGTGCATCTCTGCCCTGGAGGGAGGGCTTGAGCTCCTAACCCTGGGCCCTGCAAAGCTGTGAAGCAATTCTCTCTGTGCAATATCTCCATATAGCTCCACGTGGTCTGGAACTGCAGGAGGAAGAAAGCATCTACTGCACAAAGGAAAGAAAGGAAAACCCATAGAAATGGAAACGTAGAAAATGAAATAAAAAGAGAAGCCACAACCCTTCATGCTGCTGTGGCCTCTGTACATGGCAACACACGAGTTCACGGCAGTAGAACGTAGACCCGGGGTGGTTCACTCCTGAGTGCCAGGCCTCTCTGGCTCCCTGGTGGGGGTACTTGCTTTTCAGACCTGGAGTGGTTGGGCAAGCTGCTCACCGAGGGCGGCATCCCAGCCGCCTCCTTGCCCCTCACTGTTCGCCTCGGCCGTGCTCCCAGGCCATGCGGGCCTGCTCTTCCTTGGCGCTCCCAGGGGGCAGCGAGGCCTTGCGGTGCAGGCCCCGAGGCCTGTCAGCGTCTTCGCGTAGCAGCACGCCTTCATCGTGCTCCAGGGCCGGCAGGCGGGTGTGGTAGGGCTTGGGTGGCAGCGCCGGTGGGTCCATGGGGTCCTGAGGGATGACACACCCCGGTGCTGAGTGGCTTCGGCATGGCTGGGCCTTGATGGAGTCCAGAACTGCGGACTCGGAGAGGCTGTAGTGGACAGGGAGGTAGGGTGGCTCAAGATCTTCATCGGCGTTCCAGGCCTGGCTTGGCATGGAGTCCATGGTGTCGGTTCGAGGTGGGACCTCTGAGGAGTGCCCAAAGTTACTCTCGCTCAGGGAGGACACGCCGCTGCTGGCACTGCCAGACAGTGTAGAGTTGCTGCCGTCCAGACCTGACTGGGGGCTTGTGGGGGAGGCTGGGATAGGGTGGAGAGGAGACTGCAAAGGAAAGGGTGGGCATGTTAGAATCCCTTTCTCCAGACAGGTGGGCTGGCCCACTATGTGAAGAGAGGACCAAGTGCCTGCACACATCGGCTGCACATTTGTTTCTTCAGCAGCCGCCCCCTCCCCAGCTCCCCATTCCCCCAGCAAGGCAGGGGAACCCCAGAATCAGCCGCATTTCTGTGAACAAAAATGGCCCTGGCCTGGCTGCTAGGCATTTGTACCCTGTGTGGCTCTGGGGTGCTGACAGAAGGGCTGGGTGGGCAGACCAGTGTGGAGGGCGGGAAGAACCCCAAGGGGCCATGGGCCAGATGAATGCATTCTGTTGGCTAAAATCTGCAACAGAGTCTGTCTTTTCCAACATGCAGAAAAAAAATTTTCATAAGGCTTTGCTGCCTCCTGTTTCTTGCTTTTGACTGGACTCTGGTATAAAATGCTCTATGATCTACCATGGGAATGTTTTTTTTTACTTCTTGAACTCTAGTGTGTCGATACCTAGTGGTGTCAGTAGGGAGCTCCCCAGCCCCTCACTGCCCCTTGCCGACACACTCAGGGTACTGTGTGTTGCTGTCGCCAGGATCCTCTGACCTCCCTGTTCCCATCCCATTGATTGCAAGACACACAGGTCATCTGCATCATGAGTGTGGCTCTGGCCACCCCCAGCTTCTGCCAGGCTGGTTGCTCTGGGACAGAGGAGCAGGGGAGGGCTGTGGTTCTTTTCATAGACTGAAGAGATTCCAGAGTAGACAAGAAGATTCCTTTCATGTTCTTGTGGGGCTGTTGCTTCAGTACATTACCTTGCGCAGAGTCCGGGCAGGCAGGGCCGGGGGGGTGTCACCCAGGGGATGGTGGAAGGCGTCAAAGTGTAGGGAGTAATGACCTGCAAAAGGAATAGAACGAGAGCCTTAGCCTGGGCTTTCTTGGGCTGTCTGCTGGCACATCTTCCAACTGCGCAGCTGTGGGGAAGAGTCTTCTGGGGGCCCTTCAGCATTAAAGGTCACAGAAAAACCTTTCTTTTCACCGGAGTTCTCCAAAACAGGCTGCTGGAGTAAAAGGCACTTGTGCCACACACAAAGTCAAGAAGGCCGAGTACGGTGAGCCTGTGGAACGATGGGCCACAGGCAGTTGTAGCTCAGACAGGCTGGTGAGGAGCTGGCTAGCACAGTCCGTTCCATTGTCTTCAGCTCCCCTGGTTGGGAAGGCCTTCCTGAGCTCACCCGCTGTCCTTGGAAACCTCACGACCCCAAAGACCAGCAGGATTCTTCCTGTGGGGGGGATGTTTTTTCTTTGACTGAGTCAGCCCAGAGAATGGCCCATCTTCTTAGTCTGGAGGGCTGCTACCCTTGGCTCTGAGTCGAGTCTGAAACCAGTCGCTATCTGGGGAACCCGCTGGAGGTCTTCTTACCATGCAGCAGGCTTCGGGGAGGCACTGGGGGGGCCAGGATGTGCCCCATGTGGGCAGACAGGAAGGGCTGGGCCTCTCTGGCTCTGCTATCCAGGCTCCAGCTGCTGGGGGCTGCTGGCACTGCTGAAGGGTGAAAACAGATGGCATGAAGGGAGGTTACTTCTGAGCCATCCTTAGGGAGAAGCCCATCTTACAACCTGTGGCTTCTCCAGGTGTGCACTATGTAGCCAGCACATGTGGGAGTGGCATGCCAGCCCCCAGAAAACACTGGCCATGTGAGACACTGTGGCCCATGGGGGAGAGTGGCCAGGGACAGAAGCTGCTTAAGAGGATGGCAGCAGAGTGGACGGATGTCTAAAGAGCACTCAGGGTGAGGCAAGCTGAGAGACAGTGCAGCAAGAAGTGAATGTCTGCAGCCTCCCCGAGATTTGCCAGAAGAGGACAGAAAAGAGAAGTGAGCAGAGGGGAACAGGCTGATGAGACAGAATGCAGAGTGCAGGCCACAGAGCTCCTCACCAGAGCCAAGTTGGGGCTCTCCAACTGCCCCGGCCTAACAGGAAAAGCAGGGAGCACAGGGGGTGGGAGGCAGAGACTGCCTGGTCCCAGAGCTAGTGCATGGCCAGGGTGTGGGTGGGAGATTCCCCCCCTAAAGGGCCTCTGGTAACATACAAGCTGTGCCCATCCCACTGCTTCTCTACCTACTGACTGGGTTTGGGGTGCACAAGGGGTTTTCAGGCAAGGACTGGTGTTCACTGTGCCTGCTGAAGGGAAGAGTATACAGCCCAAGAGTTGTGGTTCAGGTCTGGTTCAACCCATGGCTTCCCAAGAAGAGGGAGGGCTGTGGGACCGAGGGTGCTTTTAGGCTGGCAGAGAGGCCCAGTTCCTTGCATTTACATGCCATGGATGCAGGGTAGAGTGGGCCTTGGACAAAGGGAAACAGAGTGTCCACCTATGCCAGTGCCAGAATACTTGCCCATCCACACCCTGTCCATACCCCTCCCCCAGCCACAGCTGAGGCAAGCAACTTTGCAGGAGGGGATAGGAAAGGAAGAATGGTTGGGTCTTGTGCTAGAGGGTGCCACTCTGCAGGAACAGCAAGGGACATGTAAATCCTATTGGCAAACTCCTCCTGGAGACCAAATACCAGAAAGAAACGTGACTTTTCTCTGATGGAGCCAGGCAAACATAAGCTCTCTTTTGGGCTGTCAGCAGCAGCAAAGCAGCTCACAATTCAGGAACCTAGTGGCTGGCTTTGTTCTGAGGCAGCTGTAACTCAAGTGTGCCAGAGGAAGATGGAATTTGCGCTCTCCCAGCTCCAGGTACTGAGCAAGGAATGCTAGGGCCTAATGGGACTGGAGAGGCTCTGGAAAGGAAGGAGCTGGAGTCTGGCCTTCAAGGAGGATATGGCCAGGAGAGGCTAGGCCCATGAGGTCCAGGGATAAGGTGGTTATGCCCTTCTCCCTCCCTATTAGTGAGGAACTGGAGTGGGCTTGTAGTAGAACACAAGGGAGAACTCTGCTACCTGAACAGCCTCAGTTTTAAGGACTGCTCAGTCTCATGGGATGGCTGATGGCAGGTGGCTGGAGGGAGGGTGTGGCAGTGATTGAGTGGTCAGGCACTCAGCTGTCGCCTAAAGGGAGGAAAGAATTCTGAATCTGATGAGCACCAGGTGGATTCCACCAAAAGGCCTCCTCGGAGAGCCCAAGGCACCAGAAGAACAAGATAGGCCCATTCTCACACAGGCTCTCCTCAAGATGGGGCATGAGCTTCTGTGTCCTCATTACTGAAACCCGCTGTCTCCAAAGAGAAGAGTTCTAAAAAAATCCCAAAAAGCCACTGGATCTCAGGAATTAAGAAGCTTGGAGGTGGGTCTGGGCAGCTTCCCCAAAGCTGACAGCCCCAGCTCTTACTGAGGGGCCACAGATGTTCACCCACAAGAGCCCAAATGAACTTGTGGGCGGGAAGGTTATGGGGCAAGAAAGCTGGCAGGGCTGCAAGGCTTCTCAAAGGGCGCCTGCCTGAGCCAGTCCAGTGAACCAGAACCATCTAGTTCACCCTATAGATTGATGTTGGTGAGCAATGAGGCCCATGGACCTCTGCCACGTGACACAAGTGCACTGGGGCTAGTGGAAAGTCTAAGACGGAGTGACTTATCCTGGGAGAAGGGGGCAATCCCCTCTGTGGCCTGGTCATCTCTGTCTCTGTGAACGAAGGTCCAGTGCTGGCCTGAGAGTCACTGGCTGGCAAAGAGAGATGATTAAGTGAGAAGCGGAGTCCTTGTGGGACTCAGGATCCTGATGACATGAGAATGGTGACAAGTATGTACAGTTCCTGCCCTGGAGGATCCAGGAGAGACTTAGGGAGCCACTGTCTGGTTTGCATGTTCTCACTTGGCAATGTCTCATTTGCTGCCCACGAAGCACTGGCACTGTGGCATGGACATGCTTGCTGTGGCCTCAGACTCTTTCCTTCCCACACCTGGGGTGGGAGTGTCCAGCTTCTTGCTGCAGCCCGGTCTGAGGCCTGCTGCTCTTCTTTGTCCCATTGGCATAGGATCCTGGTCTGGCTCCCAGTACCCATTTGAGCTCTGGGCCCTTCTGTGCTCTTGGCTAGTTCTCAGATGGCCCCGCATCTCAGGTGAAGAAGATACTGTGGATTTTGGCCCCTAAGGCCAAAATGGCACTCTGTTTTGGGGGACTAGGTGCAGGGTCCAGGTAAGCTGCATGTTTTTCAGATGTGCAACCTTGAGGCTAGGAAGGCATCTTCAGCGGGAATCTCCATGTCCTTTGTGGTTGAGCACCTGGTGCCTATGCCTACCAGCTACTGAGGATGTGGATCCAGTGTCTGGTGTCTCCTTAAAGAAGACACAGAGGCATGTCCTCTATGGTGAGCAAGGAAGGAACAATGACAGTGGGGACAGCAGACAGCACTTGGTGAGGAGGTGCAATGACAACATGATAACAGCTCTGGAGGGACAGGTTCTTATGGGACAGTAGCTTGTATTCCTGGGGATGAGTTTGTCCTAAGATTCACCAGATGGAGGAGAGGGAGGGCAAACTACAGGGAGGGGGGCTGATATAGGACCAAATTCTAAGTGGCAGGTAGCTTCACATAATCCTCCTATAGGCATTGCTCTGTGTTAAAATTAACTCAGATCTCCATGTGGGGCTTTGGGCTGGGTTCGTATGAATCCAAGTCTGGTTCTTCCATGAGCTTGCTGCAGTGGGACACAGGGTAAAACTCCACTATCTGAACAGCCTCTGTTCTAAGGACTGCCCGGGTTCATGCCCAAGTTGATGGGCTTGCAATCCCTGCTAAGATGGACTCACAGCAGCTTCTGGCCAGAGTGGTTGCAGGAGGACTGGACTCAGAGTACCTAGGGCTTCCCCGGAGAGGACTGTCTCAGGGAAATTCACTTTGCCATGGCCTGTCCTTCCCATTCTTCTAGCATGATCAGCCACAGGCCTATTCTGAGCAACAAGGAGAGGTCCCTGAGGGCCCAAGTTGAGAGTGACCAAAGGGGCCCTAGGGCCTGCTGAATCCTGGGGCTGGCTGGGAGAAGCCCAAGGGAGTGACCGTCCACAGTCTAAACACAGCAACCTGAGTTTCCATAAAGGTGGGCTCAGGGCAGGTGGCAGCTGGGGCCTCTCTGAGGGTGGGCTCTTGGGAGGGAGACACACAAACTAACAAGATCCAAACTCAGCATCAAACCAGACGTGGGTTAAACAGTGAGCACAGGAGTTGGTCAGGACTCTGGACAGACAGGCCTGAGTGTTGGAATTATGGCACAGCCGTGGCCAGCTGGTGCTCAGGGATAAGAGTCAGACGCTCAGAATGGGGACGGACATGGAGAAAGGCCACCTGGAAAGGGGAACAATACCTTTTTCAGCCACAGACAGATTGGGATCACTGCAGGGTTTGCAGGATCCGACCACTTGCTGGAACAGAGCCCGCTGGAAATTTGGCAGCTGAGGGAAGGAGAAAAATATCAAAGAGGGTGAAAACAACCAGTTACACCTCAGGAGGCAGAGCTATGGGGCCTGGAGCCAGGACATGTTAAGAGAAGACAAGGAAATCAAAGCAGTGGTACTGATCATGCTCAGGCATAGGAAGACTGTCCCTCGCTATCTGGCTCTGAGTGCTGCCATGTTGACATTGGAGGCACCTCCCTACAATGCCTGGCTGCGCTCCAAGCTGTCTTGTACATGGCCAAGAAAAAGGACATGGGCACCTGAGGGTATCTAACTGTATCCCTCTGCCCTACCAGGGAGACTCACTGGCAGAAAGGACTGAGGGACCTCTCTACCCCTCAGCACTGGCAGGCTTGGCTGCCTGGAGATCCATGCACAGACCCAAGTTAGCACTGAGGATAAGGAAAAAGGCAGCACTCAAGCCTAGAAAGTCATGGACAGGACCCATTGTTCTGATGGGCAGCTGACAAGCAGGCCTGCTCCCTCTACCTGGCAGGGCTGATCAAGCACAGGGAGGTATGGCTGAGAAACTCCTGGCACTCTGGGACTAGGTAACAGTTGCTTGGAGGTGACTTTCATGGACTGTGATAGAAAGGCAGGCAGATTGGGCAGGGAAGGAGTTATTCCCCACAGCTTTGTTGTACAAATTGGAGCTGTACAAATGGTGGAGAGAGCAGCCTCAGGAGGCAATGAGGGTTCAGGTAGATGGATGGATGAAAGAGGTAGAGTCTGTCTCAGTGAGGATGCCCTTCACACACAGGGAGGAAGACCATCCTCCAAACCCATGTCCACCACTGCCTTCTCAGGATAATAAAGAATGAAGTTCCTCTGCTAGACTGTTTATGAATAAGGAGTCCAGGAGGCCGGCAAGAAGCTCCAACCTGCCAGCACTCTTCCGACAGGTACACTCCATCTGGAGTGCTGATCCTCAGAGCCACTGCAGTCCCTGTCCAGAGTGGCCACCCAGCAGCCTTCTGAGGGTCTTATGGCATAATGAGGGAGGCACGCAGGACAATACAGAAAGCCTAGCAGATGCAGTGAGGGCAGCCCAGGCTACCATACTTGCAGCAGAGGGCAGTCAGTAGTCTGGGTCCACTACCTGTCCATTCTCCAGGATGGCTGCTGGATACATGGCACTGCTTGGGCGGTCCCGGTGTGTGGGCAGCAGCAACATCATTTCCCGGGCGTGGCGGTACTTATCTGGCAGAGAGGGAGAGCCTGTAACCAAGTGAGAACAATCACGCACAGATGACAAGCCACAGATGGAAGGCCCAGTGGGCAAGCATCCTTGGGGCCAGGGAACCAGGGGAGGTATCCCCTTGCAGCTGGGGTGAGGATGAGCTCAGCAAGCACAGGAGGAATGAAGCAGAGCCCGCTGGTGAGATGGTGGTGGGGCCACACCGGACGTCCCAGCCAAGGCGGGCGCACTGCAGACCAGGGCAATGCAGGCCCACTGATAGAGCCCCTTCACCATGCTTACAGGCAGATCACGAGAACTGAGGACAGGAGCTGGGCCCCAAAGGGCCCCCTGTACCCAGCACTCTTGGGATATGGGGTGACCTGGATGCTGGGCTCTCTCAGGGGGCCCAGGCATGGGCACAGGCCAGCTTGCAATGGAGCCATCACACAGAGACAGAGACACTCAGATAACATTGTGGCATGGTTCTTAGTTGACGAATTGTCTCCACACACTTACCGTCTCTAGATATCAGCTGGCCCTGTTCTCAGCTGACCCCCTACCACCTTTGCCCGAAGGCTTCTCATTCCCAGATTCCAGGCCTCCAGAGCCTGGCCTCTGCTACATCCTACTGTAGCTTCAGAACCAGACTGGCTGGGGGCCCAGGGCCCTGCACACAGGTGGCTCTCCAGAGTTTCTCTCTCTGAGACTTGCCCTTCAGTGAATTCGGGGGTCATATGGGAGTTGTGGCACTTTAACTCAGGCTCTTGAGTTGACTTGGTTCCTGCTCTTCCTTTGTGAGGCTTCTGTGGTGATGTCCTCTGCCTTGAGGGGCTGTTACAGAGGCCAGACCTCACCAGATGTGGTGGTCCAGTCCCCATCAATGCAGGCCATAGCTATAGGCCCAAGAACCTGTTAGCCTATGGTCCTTGAGGGTACCTTCCACAGAAATAAAGAGAATAGCTTGCTGTTTTTCTTTGGGAATGGATCATTTGGAAGGCCCCCCAGACATGTACCACTCATGCCAGATACCAGCATGTCCATGAGAAACTAGCCCACAGGCAGCCTCTGGCTGGCTCAAGTGGTTGAAACCCCTCTGTGGTGTGCTCTTAGTGAAGCTAGAGTCCAAGGGCTCTATCTGAGAGGCAAACCTGCAGCTCTGGAGGCTCTGTATCCCTGAAACCCAGGGTCCTTAGGGCCTTTCTTTGAGTATGCAGTAAAGGCACTGTCAGAGCACAACTAAAAAAGGTCTCTGCTGTCTGCTTCCCCAGGAGACCTTGAAACATTCCTCTTGTACTTATTTTAGACCAAAAAGATGAGGCTTAAATACCTTGCAGAAGTCAATATAATAAAAATCAGTAATGGCTGTTTAGAGAAAAATGGAAGAGAGTTCCTAATCCTACTGATTTCTATAGTGCCTTCCCAGCAAGAAACTGAATGCTCCCTGAGCCCTGGCAGCCACAGCTCTGGACAGGACACTTTTACTTAGTGTGCACAGAGACATGCACCTTTACACCAATTCAGTTACATCAAACTCTAACCTAACGCCCATTCTACACCAGGCATGTGGTTGGAACATGGCACACAGCCTTTTCAAGCTGGCCATGGTCCCCGACTTCACAGAACTCACAGCCTAGCCCACCAGGCCAACCCCACATCTACGTACTCAATGTCCTGATACATGTCGGGGGTGCTAGGATGGGGGGACAGTAGCCTGCAGGCCCCAGATGCTCTGCTGAGGATTTGAATCCATGTGATGGAGGCCCGTCTTGTGCTATAACAGAGGTGCTCTGTGTTACTGCCAAGCTTTCCAATTCTGCCATCTCACTTTTCTCCCACTGCCCTCAGCCCTGGGCAGCCAATCCCATGGTAGCAGAGAATGATCGCTACTTTTCATGAAAACATGTAAACACCACAAGGGCTTTGGTGTCACAGGACTTTTGAACTGCTTGAGTTGCAGTCTGGTAAACCCAAGGGAGGCTAAGTCCCAGCATGACTGAGTTATTCAAGGAGGATCAATAAGAATCTCCAGGTTTCCTAGCTCCACTCAGTCTTTCGACCATTAGGGGGAGCTGCCTACTTATAGGAGTTTAGGCTGTGCCTTGCAGGCCTTCTGGAAGATTTCTTTCTTTCTTTCTTTTTTCTTTTTTTTTTTTTCCCAAATAGTTTATCGTCAAGTTGGTTTCCATATAACACCCAGTGCTCATCCCAGCAAGTGCCCTCCACCTTCTGGAAGATTTCAACAAGGACCACAGCAGAGAGCGTCAATGGGCTTGGTGAGGAAGGCCACTGGTGTCATGACCACTTTTGGGTGTGGGGGAGGGGACTCCAATGCAAAGGACCCTCTAGAACACCTTCTCCATAAAAGCCTTCTCTTCACCCATAACAACCAGAAACAGAACAGACGGATCCCTTCCCTCCATGCCCCTAGTGCACCTCCTACTGCATCTACCACATTTATCTGAAAAATCAGTCTTCTTCTGTGATGCTGGGTCCAGATCTTCTCTCCATCTTCTCTCACAAAGCCTACTGCTGGCATGCTACATACTGGCCATACTGGTTTTCTCCAGATAGGCCTGCACATGGGTTGCATGGATGGTGTAGCCTAGAAGAGAAGTCCTGCTCCTTCTTAGTTGCCTCTGCCCTCATCACCATTCCCAGCTTTGGGCTCAGTTCATTCAATCATTGTTTACTTTCGTACTTAATTCTACTCCAGAAAGGGAAGGGGCTTCTGTTAGCCTTTCTCTATATGATATCTTGGAGTTTGGCTCCTGTGGTGGCTTGTCTCCAGAGGTGCCAACTACCAATGCCTTCCCTCTAAAAACACACATGCCACTCTTCACATCATGAGGTGCAGTCTCATTCCCTACCTGGGTCGCTAGGCTGGTCTTAGTGACTTGTGAGCTAGTTGACAGAATGTGACAAAAGGGCCATTCTGGGTTCCCAAGGCTGGGTAATAGGAAGTCTTGCAGCTTCTGCCTGGTACCCTGAAATGTCTGTTTTGAGAAAAATAAGCTGCCTGCTATGAGAAGCCCTCACCACAAGTAAAGACCCTCCATAGGGACTCAGGTGGACAGCCCCAGCTGAGCTGCCAGGTGACAGTTACTATCAACTGCCAGCTGTGTGAGTGAGCCATCCTGGATATGCAGCCTAGCTGAACCTGTAGATGATTCTGGCCCCAGGTGACATCTGACTGCAAGCTCATGAGAGACTACAAGCCTGGAAGTGACAGCCAGTGACTGCCTGGTGAGCTCAGACCACTCCTTTCTGTTGCCATCCTGCACAGCCACCTGAGAAACACTAGAACCTAGTCATTATAGCTGATTTCCATTCCACTGCAAATGCTTCCATCTAAAAGGACAGATAATCAAATTTCACTCTGAGAACCAGGATCAGATTGTGAAAAGGATGCTGGCTCTCAGAGAACAATATTGAGCCACTGAATAAGAATTAAGGCAATAACTGGCAATGTGAATAAGCTTTTAACAGAGCCATAACTTTGACTTTTATTCTTGCTAACGTTTCAGTGGAAAAGAATTGAGCTTTCTCCTGGGCTGTGTGTCCTCTTACTGAGGTGGAGTTGCAACAGCCAGCCACCTCTGTGGTAGTGCAAGCACCTCTGTGGTAGTGCAGCCACCTCTGTGGTAGCTATAACCGCTGCCTAGTGCAGGGTGTGAAGCCAGCCAGAGAGACTGCTGGAGTTGGGAGCCCCTGAGTCCTTAGTGCTGAAAGGGGAACATTCTCTAAGCCACAGGGCTGCTTTCATAGACAGAGCCACAGATGAGAAAAGGACAAGTGGGGCTCATGAGGCCCTCTCCTCTCCCTTCTGCAAGCAGCGCCCTGCCCTCCTTACCTCGGGCACTGGAAGGGGCAGAGGTAATCATCTGGGATGGTGCTGAGTGAGTGGAACTCAGGCTGGAGGAAGAAGGGCTTGCCTGGGACGAGGACAGAACAGAGACGTTGGTGATTGAGCCCTGGTACCTGGGGTTGGGATACGCGAGCTGCAAAGGGAGAAAAATCAGCAGGATAGAGGTCTGAATGGCCAGGATTGTAGGGCTGAGTTGGCTTCTTCATGCCATGAGGTACCCAGACCCAGTGTCTGATGAGGTACACTGGGTCCTGATGGAGGCCAGGCTGGTGTCTGGCACTATGGGTCACCCACACCACCCATGGAGCAGGGTTGTTGGGTCGACTCTAGTGATGGTTCCCATAGAGGATGCAGGACTTAGTCATCAGGAATGCCAGGAAGGAGGGCAATTTGGCAGCGGATCTTTCCCATGGGATCTCTAAAAGCAACCAGGACTGAAGCTAGATTTCCTTCTTGGAAAATGATGCCTGGGAACTTTATTGACATGGGATGGTGTGGAGGGAAGGCAGTTTTACTGGCTCTGGGTGTTCTAATTTCAGAAACTAGAGAACTAGGCAGGGTTGCCAGCCCTCAGACCAAATCAGCCAACAGAGAGGCAAGTCCTCCAGGTATGGTGCTCTGGCCCACATTCCTTGGACAGCTCTGGTACCTGCATATGGTGGTATAGGTCCTCGGGAGCCTCGCCCATGGAGCTGTCACCCAGCACCACCACGTTTCCCGCTTCGCTAGACGCATGTGAGGAGAGAGAGGATGACGAATGGCGGCCTGTGCCCATCAAGTTCATGGGGCTGTGAACAATAGTGGGAGACAGGGAGGAGTCAGGCAGGAGCTGAGAAACCTTGCTAGATGGTAGGGGGACCGTGTAAGGGAGTGTGTGAAACAGGGACCCCTAGCCTTGGATGACACTGGTTTGGAGGGTTTCAGAGCTAATATTTATACCCATCTGAGGCCTGGAGCTGTCCTGAATCCCAGCCTGCTGCTCAGGGTTGGCAGTGCCAATGGTAGGGTGGCAAAGTGTCTATTTGGAGTTAAATGGTTTATGGCCACTCTGTCTGATGACAACACCAGTTTCTCAGGGGGGATGAAAGTGATATGCTCAATCAGTTAAGGATTCCAGGTCCCCTTGCTATTCCAGGTCCCCTTCCACCCCCTGCTGGGATCTGCTCCTAGGACAGGGGTGTCTTCCTGGTATGAGGAAGCTATCAAAATAGCTGGCTGGGAACCATCTGTTGACTTCCTTCCACATCTGTGGTCACAGGCTCATTAATACTCTCCTCTATCAAGAGCAGGTAGTCCCTTTCATTTATTCCTTCTTATTTATGGAGGCCCACTCTGTGCTGACTTACTGCTTACACTGGGAAACAAACTCAAGGAAGGGGCTCCTCTCCCTGGCTCCTACTCTGATCTGGCCTTCCTGCCCTGGAGGCTTGGAGTATCTTCAGTTGAGCCCAGACAGACCAGGACTCCTGAGTTCAGAGTAGGCACAGCTTGATGTGCTTCCACATCACCATGTTGTTCTCTCCCTTAAACCACATGGTGATCCTCATTCCCCTTGGGATCAAGTCCAAAGGCCTGAATGAACACGGCCCATTCAGAACTGGCCCCTTTCCATGCCCTGGAATCCTGCACTCCAGCCATGAGGCTCTGCTGGTAGGGCTAAACATCTTCGGATGTCTATATATATTAGGCCCTTTGACCAGATCTTGTTCCGTCACCCTCCTAACCCCATCCTGTTTCTGCCTCATAAACTTCTACTTATCCTTCAAGACTTACCCCAAATGCCCCCTCCTCCATATTCTCACAGTACCATGTACACTCCTCTCTCTCCCAGGATGACTGGATGTGAGCACGGGTCCTATGACAGGAGCTGTGTGTTTGCTTTGTGCATGGGTCAGAGGGTACGTCAGTGAATACACACACCTACTATTTCAGACTTTCTTGCTCTGACCTTTGACATCCAGACTTACCTCCATAGAGGGGACCCTCCCCAGTCCTAAGGCCATACCTGTGTCGGTGGGTCATCTTGATGTTCTCAGGGCTCATGGGACTATGGGATGCTAGGACATTTCCCCGTGGGGTGCTGGTGCCTGAACATGCAGGACTTAGCTTGTCCAAGCCTGGAAACTCCTGTTGAGAAATGAATGTCCCTTCGTCAGAGTAAACAATGAATAAGTAATTAAGGGGTGAAAGGGGAGAGCTGGCTAGTGGTAAAATGTAAAAGAAAAAATGTAAAAAGAAAAAGAATCAGATATTTTTGGCAGAATCTGAATTGCTGACTTCTTTTGGCCCCTTCATGACTAAAGACACTCTCCTAACTGCACTGGAGTCTAGACCAGAGGCCGAGAGGCCTTGGGCTGACCCCATATTCCAGAGAACACATCTGGAATAGAACAGGCTGAAGTTGCTCTGAGTTCACAGGAGTGTGTTAAGAGGCATTCTTGGTACAGAATAAGTGGACTAAGAGCTGAGAAGTAGGAGAAGAAGAGCTGATTATCAGCTGTCAGTCAATGTACATAAGGACTGGGTTTGGGTTTATTGGATTTGAGGCCTAGCTCTCAGTGTCCTGGATTAAGTTGCCTGTGACACGGTCTATGGGGAGAAAGGACACAGAATCCTGATGTGGACCCTACGTCCTACTGGGGATATTTCTGAGCTTGGCCTGAAGAAGCAGCAAGTTTTCCACCTTCTTCTTCCAAAACAAGCTAAAATGAAAAAGAAGGGTAAACTGGAGAGGACACCTCCATGTGTGTCCTGGAGACCTTGACGTATGCAGGTGAGTATTTTGTGATCTTTGCTATAGTGACCCAACAGCCTTGCATGGCCGAGAACATCCCCTGTCCTAGTGGTCAGGCTCTAGCCTGCTTGGGGCACCTGTGGTGATAGGAGAGGTTCATACATAGCAGAGACCAACCAAGAATGAGAGATAATAGAATACCCATTAGATTTAGTGACACTAGCCAAGTTCTTCACTAAATGGATATTTTAATTTTAAGAGGGAAACACAAAAGATTTTATACTTTCTCTGCATGTTTCACCCTGAAGTACCATGGGAAAATCATTACATAAAGGAGAAATTTCAAGCTCTACAGGCTTTCCTCTGAAAAATGTGCCCACTTTTCAAACTACAGACAAGCTTCTTTTTCTCTTTTTAGAGTCCATGCTATCTACAACTGGGAAGGAATGGCTGAGACCTGCACTGGAGGCCTGAGATGACCAGAACCTCCAGCATCAAGAACAAAGCAAGTCAACCCCAATAGGTCAGGCTGCTGATCCTAGGGCCAGTGATCATCCCTGAAGAGGAGCCTCCTGTCCATGACGGCCTTGCCCAGCACCGAACAGCTCTATTTCCCTTGCCGCAGGTAATAAGGTTCACACCTCTTGAGATCTGGCAGCCAGACTATTTAGCAGATAGGTTTCTCTAGAAAACACTTGGGGTAAGCTCCATGGTTGAAAGTGGGGTGAGGGTATATAAACAGGGGTTTCAAGACCACCTGGACCATATTCTCTGCCAGCCAGCATCCCCTGCAAGACCACTGAGGGGAAACTAGTCCTGGAGTACAGGCTCTGCTTTTGCTTGTGTGCCTCAGTCTTTGGGGCAAACCCTGCTGTGGAAGCCCAAGAGCCAGTGTCGGGGTGAACTTCTGGAGCAAGAGGGCATGAAGATGGCAAGAGAAAGAGGAGAAAGAGGGAGATGGGGAGAGAGGGTTGGCTCAAGCTATGTAAGTTCTTGGGATGAAAAACATCTCCAAAGAGATATCTACATGTGGATCACATAATTTATAGCTCTCTTTTTCCTCATGTGAAAACCTCTCTTTACCAGCACAGTACCTTGGAAAACATTCTTTGCCCTTGAATCTGACTCCTCCTCAGGGAGGGGACCTAGTGAGGGGATCCTGGGCATCCTTCCCCTGGATAGAGCACTCACCGCTGTCTCTTGCCCCTCTGTGGTGGGGGCAGCTTTTCCTTCACATTCCCCCCACCCTTTCCTTTGGCTTGTTGCACAGTCTGCAGGGAATGGCCTTTGGTTCTACAGCAGCAGGGGCATGACAGGGATCAGCTTACATGGTAGAGGCTGGCCCGCATCATCTGGAACTGATCAATCAGCTTCTTATGCAGAGGGCGCATCTCTGGGTGCACAAACTTCTCATGAACTGCCAGACCGACTCCAAGGACATGGACCTATTAGGGTGACAGATAAGGCCACTCTGCAAGCCAGGGAGTGGCCCTTGATAACTGCAGCCATCCTGCGGTGCATAGCTTTTCCCTCCTGGCAACTGGATTCTAAGCCTTGCAAGACATACCTGCTCCTGCATGAGCTCCTTGAGCTGGGTGATCTTCTCTGCATCTCCTGGGTGCTTGGTGATATAATCTTTGTCAAAGAAGGCCTGAGAAAGGAAAGGCTAAGTGAGAAAGGCTTCCCAGGACTACCTTAGAGGGAACCTAGTGTGAGTCAGACACCCATATGCAAAGTGTGAGTCTAAGCTGCCACTTGAAAGGCAGTTCTGCCTCCTCACAGGTACACACACTGTCTCCAGCCTGGCCTGCTTGGACTTCCTGCAATCAGAGGTATGTTTTCTGCATCTAATAAGGACTAAAGGTGGTCAAATAATCTAAGCCTGGGTACTGGACCCAGTCTCACATAGAGCCTGAATGGCCTGGATAGGGCAGGCAGGACTGGTGGCCAGGGTGTAGGACCCAGTCTTAGTCATCCACAACTTGCTTCTTATAAAGGGCTGGGCTCCATGGCTCCTCTTGGAGGCCACTTAACATCCTTCCCTAATCAGAGGGTTTGCTCATCGGTCAGAGTTCAGAGAATAAAAGAGATGGTCCCATGGGTGAGCCATGCCACAGGAACAAGGAGTGGTAGTGAGCCTCATGCCCGGACCATCCTTAGACGGCTGAGGCACAGCTAGGGGAGGGCTAGCTGGAAAGGCTGCTTTAACTTTTTTTTTTTTTTTTTTTATTTCTAGGAGAGAGAGAGAGAGAGACAGCGTGAGCAGGGGAGGGTCAGAGAGAGAGGGAGTCACAGACTGAAACAGGCTCCAGGCTCTGAGCTGGCAGTCAGCACAGAGCCCGACGCGGGGCTCGAACCCACGATCCACGAGATCATGACCTAAGCGAAAGTCGGACGCTTAACCGACTAAGCCACCCAGGCGCCCCTGGAAAGGCTGCTTTAGAAGCCTGGAGTTTCAAGGAGAGGAGCCTGAGAACCACCTTCACAGCAAGGCTTCCTGTTGTGGATTTGGTCCAGGGCCCAGCTCACCTCTTGGTATCTTGCAACACCTCCATTGACAGCGGCATCGATGACACCATTCAGGCACATGCTGAGCAGGTTGATGTTGCCATGTGCCTGTCTGTGTTGATACTGGCTGATCAGGGCCCGCAGTTCTTGGTTCTTATTCTCAACCACCTGGATGGCATTCTCCAGAGGGCTCACCTCCACCTGGGAGCATAGAGGACACAATGTCATCCCAGGCATGATGACAGTCCCTTCTTCATAATGATCCTGAGAACAGGGATCTAAGGCCAGTGACACTAATTCTCACCCTTGTTCCTGTGGACTTAAGACTCCCTGACCCCTTTTGAATGTTCTCTTCTAATTTTTAGGCACTTAGAAGTATAGTAAAAAGTGAAGAACACCAGTTTTGAAGTCAGAGAGCTCTGACTTCCTGAACCTCAGAGAATAGTTTCCACATTTGTAATTTGGGAGATTAAAAATATCTGCTCCCCTGGTGTTGTGAGGATTAAAAGGGAGAAGGTGTACAAAGCCCCTGACACAGGATTGGCCTGTGGCAGCCTAGGCCAGGCAGGTGGCTGAAGCTCTTTTTCTGTCTTTAGTCCTTAGAGAAAGGTCCCCAAAGCCAGGGCTGAGAAAGCAGCTGTGAACATCAGCCCCATCTGAAACGTGTCTCACCAGTTCCCTCCTCTCCACTTCGAACCACCGAGAGATGCCGGGCAAGCTGTGGGTGAGGGTCAGCGTGGTGCGCTCAATCCACAGGCTCTGTAAGGACGGCACAGACAGGGATAGGCCATTAAGCAATTTCTGCCACACCTGCCTGCTTGAGGGATGAGACAGGGACAAGATCCTGAGAAACTGGGGCTTGCCCCTGGCCTTACTGTAAGTACTGCCCCTACTTTCCCACTGTTGTTCACCTTGAATTCATTCTCCTTGTCCTTGGGGCCTTTGTGAAAAGGTCTGTCATACCGGAACTTCCTCACATTGTTGACACGGTAGAAGCTCTTGACGCGATCTGGGACCCTATCCATCTGGAGGACATCCACATAATCTGGAATGGGTGTCACCGCATAGATCTGCAAATCTGGGCAGGAAGTGAAGGGGAAACCCAGACTTGCCCGAGAGATGGATCTGAGTACTGACTCCTGTCATCACCCAAAGGAGAAAAGAGCCCCACAGCCCCTGTTCCCTACTGTCAGCAGCAGTTGCATCTCAAGGAGCAGGACCCTTGCACAGACCTAGGCACAGTTAGACCAAATTTCCCTATCTGCACCTTCTTCCTGCTCTAGCACTGAGCCTTCTGAGCACTCAGCCAAGATGAGATGTCAAAGCCAAGAAAGAAGGGAAGTGGGTCAGAAGAACGCAGGTGGCCACCCTGCAGGAACAAGAAAGTTGCAAAGGCCTAAGCCTGTCCACTGTAGGTGAACTGTATTTACTGCAGTATAATTTTTTAATAAGAATACTTTTTGGGGTCTTTGTGGAGAGATAACATGAGAATCCACCTGCTCTCCTTCCCTGGAACAATACTGAACAGTCATGGTAACTGTCATGAGGTCTCCAAGGAAGCTGTGTGAGGGGGATGAGGGGCAGGCCAGTGTTTGCATCCACACCACTAAAACCACAGGTACTCTCCATTTCCTTCTCCCCACCCTTCACACCCACCCCCAGGGCTGCACCTCAGTCCTCCTGACAAAGACTAGGGATAATAATGCACACAGGAGCAGAGCGGGGGATAGAAATGGTGGTTATCCCTGTGGCAAGAGTTCTGGTGGGACCCCTAATCACCCTGTACAGTGACTGCTCCTGGTTGCCTAGGCAGGTCCTTCACAGGACCAGGTAAGGACTAAGGTGATGGTAGCAGCCCAGCCTGAGGGATAAAGTTCCCCCAGAAGCCCTGCCTCAGGTACCCACAGCTAAGGGCATGGCATGCTGCTTCTGTACGAGGCTGTATGAGCGCCCTGCTAAGTGTGGGTTCAGTGATGAGGACATAGTCTGTTCAGGACTTAAGGGTAACCTAGCCTGTAAGGCCAACAACATGGCAGAGGGGCAGCTGACTGGGTGGGCCTCACCTCCTAGGACCCCAGCCCGCCTTCCCCCACCAAGCATCGAAAGATACACTGGGCATCACACTGCAGGATGGCATCGTCGGGGTGGTTGGGGTGCTGCATGGCGACCGCCTGTGGGAATTCGCTGAGCATCCTCTGCTGGAAGGCCTCTAGCCTCTCGTAGTCATGGCCCCGGCACACGTATTCTTTGTTCTGCCACAAACAAGAGAACATGCTCTGTGCCTTGCCCACAGCCTCCACCTCCACATGGGTGTCAACAGCTACTTGTGTCACAAGTATGTCCTAGGATCCCCTGTGGCAGGCATGGGGCACAGCACTCAGTCTGCCCAAAGGGAAATGATGATCCAGAAGGGAGAGGAACAGAAAAAGGGAGACTTACACTATGATGTGGTAGCCAGGAGGCAGTGCACAGGTTTCAGGAAGCTTTGAGGAGAGAAGGTACCTTACCCAGGAAGGAATGAGAGGTGAAGGGTGGGGTTTTAGAAAAAGCCATGCCTGAGAAGAGTCCTGAAAGGCCCACCTGGGGCAGCTCTGAGGGAGGAGTGGGGAAGGGTACTCTATGTGGGCAAGTGACAACTAGGGCAGCAACAGCCTATACAGGAAAAGGTTGTGTGTGGAGAGCTGGTGGGGTGAGGAAGACGCCTGCAAAGAGTGATCACCAGGGGTGCCACCACATAAGTCTTAACAGGGGGATGACCAAGTACATGCTTTTGAAGGGCCACTTTTGTTAGCGGGGACAAAAAATCCAAACATTACTTGGTGTCCAGTAGGTATTCAGTAATTATTTACTGCATGGGCAGTAAATTTCTTTGCAATTGTGTCAGCAGAACAAATAGACATCATCCTAAGTACACATTTCTTAAAACCTTGTTATATCATATTTGGTTTGGGTTAGGTCTCAGTTTTTCTCCTGGTGGGCTGTAGTCATGACAGGCTCCCCCACCCCATCCTGCTCTGCCTACCTCACAGCTGGTCATGAGTGAATGGAACACTTCTGCAGCTCTCTGGTGACATGTGGCTGCCTGCCCAGCTACCTCACTAGATCCACTTTGACAAAGTGGCATTAGGCACTGGAAGCCCCTCCTGGCATGTCTTCAGAGGAATAGAGAGAGAAGTTCCACAGGGCCAGCCATACACTTACTAGTACAGGGATGATTATAGGCCAGGCCCTGGAGGACCTCACACTTTTTTGAATAGAATTTCTGCTCTCTGTTTACTTCCCCTTTTACTATAGGAGAACTCAGCTAAGGCTGGGCCACATGTTTGGATGGATCAGAATGGAAAAAACAATACCAGAAGGGAAGTCCAGGTCAGGAGGAGCAGGCTGGCCTCTCCAGTGGAACAGACTAATAGTAAAAGGACAAGAGACATTTCTAAGTGCCTTGCCTAATAAGCAGAACTGACAAAGAAGATAACTGTAAATAACCGATCTTTTCATATCAATTCAGAAATGTGCAACCCTCACCAGTATCTTTTCCTGGGTCAAATAAAGAGAAACAAAAATTACCCCAAGAAGGGAGGGCTGTATGTTTTCCTGTCTCTGTGCAGATTAGTAGATAATCACATTTGCGAAGCAAGAGAGGCAGATGGTCCAGGGAAACCAAGCTGACAGAGCTAAAGTAATAGATGGCCTATGTGTTCAAGGAAGGTGAGGGAGTAGCTAGCCTTCTGGGGAAGGCCCAGCAGGAGGAAGGTACATAATGCTGACCTTGAGGCTTGTTGTCAGTTTCAAGTTTGCTTGTGTGAAAGCCCCAGCATCCTCACATGAGACAGATCTGGCTGCCGCTGCTTTGTACTTCGTCCTTGCCATCTACCAGGCAAATAGCTACCTCTGCTGGGACTTACTGCATTTGCCAGAGATGAACTGAGCAGTGGAGGGAAGGGAAGGCAGCATGTGCCTAGGCCAGGCGGATTTGCATACAGGAAACACATCTCCTAGGGAATGCCCCTTGAGTGGAGATGGGGATGGACTGATGGGCAACATTTCCTAACACCCATTGTTATCCTTCTTCCATTACTGGCATTGCTGAAACCACAGTTGAACACTGAGACTCTCCTGCAAGCATTATTTAGATGGCTCAGATGCAGGTTCTATGCCAGGTCCTACTTGTCAGAAAGCTCTGAGTGCCCCTGAGACACTGATATACCCTGTGACATAAGCATGTGGGGTGGAAGCCAGGGTGAACCATGATGGAGAACTCCTGTTTGGCAGGGACAGAAATGAGGATCTCAAGGCCATGGTTTTGTAATATCCAAAATAATGATGTTTTAGAATACAATCTGGTTATGATATACAAATTGTGGGACTAAACAAAGCAAAGACAAAATGAGAAAGAAGTTACAAGGCCAGAATCATTAGTTTGTCTAAGGACTTCCTAGAGAGCTTTTGGTTTCTGATTCTTGTGTAATTCCTTCTTTCTCTTCTGCTGACCTCTACTTGCATTGCTTTTGTATAATCTCTGTTGGTAGGGGCAGCAGATATGCCACTTCTGAGATGCCGGAAGTGGATGGTCCCTAGAGAGTGAACAAGTCCGGTCCTCCTGAGGAGACCCTCTCCTCATTGACATTCTGCTGCCAGAAACCCTCCTGTGGACTGGAATTGGAGCCTTACTGGGGGGGGGGGGGGTCACAATTAGGCAGTGTGCTTGCTAGCCTGCCAGTATTACTAGTTCCTGCAGAGATCAATTTTCCTTTTAGCCTAGAATGATTACTGCCTAGGAAATGTGCAAGTTGACCTGCCTTACCATCTAAAACGTGGTTATCCTGGACTTGTGCTAGCAGACTGGCTTTTTTTTTTTTTTTTTTTTAAAGGAGCCACTAAGCCCAACTGACCTGTCATGTGATACCAAGCTCATCATTGTTCTCTGGTGAAAATAATTTTTCCAATAGGACAGGATCCCAAATATATCAAAGGGATTCTGTGAACTTTCCCAGCTGCTGGTTGAGACTTGTAAGCATGGAACTTTAGTAAGATATTGGAACTGGGGATAGTCAGAGCTAGTCTTAGGTCTCAACTGCAGCCCAAGGCCCCCGCATCAGCATGGCTTCATTTAGGTCCCAAGAGAACGATGAATTCCTATGGGCTTCAGCTTATAAGTCCAGGCTGACTTTTCCTGGAGCCTCTGGCTTTTGTGGAAAAAGAAGAAAGTAACAACTGTTCAGCTGGTGTCAGTATGTCTATATTCAGTCATTCCTTCTGCTCTGTTGGTATCCCACCTCAGCCTTCTAGGTGGGAGAAATGGCTTTCACCATCCTGGGCCAGAGAACTGACTGCCAATAAAAGGCTTTCCACAGCCATATCCCATTTGACAGCTCACAAGCTTCTCTCAAATCAACAGGTTCTTGATCCTGGATGCACAGCATACAGTACGGGCTGGTGGAGAGTCTTCATCTTAAATGACAAAACCCACAAGGCCAGCCTACTGTTGAGGTCAGGGTTGTAGTGGTGTGCTATCTGGCTAAGAATAGTCACAATGGAGGATTCCAGGCACTGGAACTATAAATTGGAAGGCTTCTAGACATACCTACAGGACATTCTCAGACCCTGGTCATTTCCTGCAGGAATTTGGTTGATTTGGTAAGAAAGTCTCACATATTCATATATTCCAGGTAGCTACAACATAGTACAGCAGAGTAAAACAAAGTCTAAAGTTGGGAGACAGTCCAGTCAAATAAAGCCAAAAGTTTTTTGTTGACTAGTTAGTCCTTCAAAAAGTAGTATTCAGTAGAATAGAGGAAAGGATTTAAAAAAAAAAAACAGGTTATAAATGAATTGTTGTGTAAAATAGAAGTTCATGAGACTACCTGAATGGACTCACCCGAAGGAAGAAAGGGAACTTCCTGCCATAGAAGCCGACTCGAAAGAACTCAGGCTCTAGGCGTTGCTGCTCCATGATGTTGTCATAGTAGCTGGCCTCCATTTTCTGTGAATAAGAAAGGCAGTTAGTTGCCTTTAGGTTGGCCCAATTGCTAGTGGTGTCCAAAGCAAGTTCTCCCAGGCCCAAGGAGACACTGTCTTTTGGAATGACTGTGTGAGACGTGAGCCCCTAGCCATGATCAGCCTCTCCCCACCCAGGTTGCTGCATATTGGAAGAGGAAGCCATCCTCCTCCATCATCCTCTGATGGTGAGGTGGAGACAGCAGCCCAGTGCTCAGAATGTCATACCCAGTGGGTGGGACCCAACCTCATACAGATCCAGGCTTCCTGAACTTTCAAGGGTACAGGTTTAACATGAACTTTTTTTGCCCAGGGATTTCTGGTTTTGACTAATTCTCACTATACCAAATGACTTCCAGCCCATGTTAGTTAATTGGTGGCTAACAGCTATTCTCCACACCATTTTCCATCAGTCTAACTGCATTGCTCTTGCTCATCTATCATCTATCTATCATCTAAGACGCTAATAATCACAGTGAGAAAATCTCAGTTGCCAGCATTGCTGGTATTGGTTCCAATTTAGGAGATTTTAAACTTTAAAAGTTTAACTAATACCCATGATGTCTGGCATTACCTACATCAGTAAGTTTCTTAGTACTGGCTGACCTGGTTTCACATTTGGAAAAACTCACTGAATTTTGACTGGGAAGATAATTCTAATGCGCTCAATCAAGCCAGCCTGCTGAGGAGCAGTGGCCTTCAAAGACTAGCCAAGAAGCTACTTCTAGAGAACCACATCTATTACAAAGACCCAAATACCTGTCTGGATCAGGGAACATGGCAGAGCTGCCCATGCTGCAGAGGGTGCAGGAGGAGGGTAAGCTAACACTGCTGGTTTCTCTTTGCTACTGGAGTCTGTGGCTGTTATGACTCAGAATCCAGCACCAGCAGCCAGAAAAATCTGGTGGAGACCTTCAAAGTCCATGGGACATTTCACTTAATTTTTGAATATTGTGCATCAAAGAAGGAAGTAAGAACAAGGTGCTTGAAAGTGACCACAAGCCAAAACAGGGAAAGATCTTACAAAGTTTTCATATGAAGCATCTCTGAGCAAAATCATTTTAGGAAAGGCTTCTTCATGAAGGTGAGCTGCCATCTCCTCCTTGAACCCCCCTTCTTATCCTGTGTATGCTGCTTCTCCCTTTCCTGAGCACCAGTGGCCCTTGGGGTTTGGATCGCATAATCATCTGTTAGGTGTGTGTTTTAGTTCCCCATTGAGACTGCAAGTATCTTGAGGGCAGGAACCTTGGCTTCTGCTTCTCCTGTACTGACCACAGCACTAGAGTAAGGGCTAGACCTGCAGTGAGTGCTCATTCAGAAACAGGTGCCAGGAAAGTGCTAGTACTTCCAGTCAGGGTGGGGTTGGGGGAAGAGACAAAGCTCACCCGAATCCAGCTGAGGCTCTGATAATCGTAGAGGCTCTCATACTGACATGCCAACTCCCTGCACAGTGGGATTCCAAACTCCCAGCTCTGTGTGGGAAACAGAACAAGGCTTCAGCACCTCAGACATCCTCAGAATGGCCCAAGCTCATATCGAACACATTAGAGGGCACAACCAAAGGCCCCCTGCAACTCATCTGTCACAAAGAACATCTGCTTGAGATGAGTCTGTGCAGCACAACACACAGTGCTGTGGCTTTCTAGCTCAAGGTTGTATCTTTTAGGTTTCTCCTCAAATGTCTCTACCTCCTAAAGGCCATTCCCTGACCACCACAGGAACGTCCCCAGCCATTCTGTTTCATTACTCTTGAGTTATCTTTAAAAAGTATTTCTTTTTTGTTGTATTAATCTCAATAGATGATAAACTACATGAGGACAGGGACGCTGTTTATTTACTTAATCCTCAGAGCCTAGAGCAGTGCCAGGAATGAACAGATAATAAAGATATATTTAATAAGTTAATGAAAGAAGCAATGACTTTTGCTTTTATTTAAATTCCAGTTAGTTAACACACAATGTGATATTAGATTCTGGTGTATAGTATAGTAATTCAGTGCTTCCATACAATACCCAGTGCTCATCACAACAAGTGCACTCCTTAATCCTCATCGCCTATTTCACAACCCCCCCCCCCCCCCCCGTACCATCAGTTTGTTCTCTATAGTTAAGAGTTTGTTTCTTGGTTTGTCTCTCTGTCTTTTTCCCTTTACTCATTTGTTTTGTTTTTTAAATTACACATATGAGTGAGATCATATGGTATTTGTCTTTCTCTGACTTATTTTGCTTAGCATAATACTCTCTAGCTCCATCCATGTATCTATACAATGGAATACTACATGGCAATGAGAAAAAATGAAATCTGGCCATGTGTAGCAACATGGATGGAACTTGAGGGTGTTATGCTGAGCGAAATAAGTCAGGTAGAGAAGGACAAATACCATATGTTTGCACGTATAGGAGGATTAGGAGGAACTTAACGGAGGACTGTGGGGGAGAAGAAGGGGAAAAATAGTGGGGGAGAGGGAGGGGAAGGGAGGTGATGGGCATGGAGGAGGACACTTGTGGGGATGAGCGCTGAGTGTTATATGGAAACCAACTTGACAATAAACTATTTTAAAAAATAAATTTTTTAATGTTTTATTTATTTTTGACAGAGAGATAGAGACAGCGTGAGCAGAGGAGGGTCAGAGAGAGGGAGACACAGAATCCAAAACAGGATCCAGGTTCTGAGCTAGCTGTCAGCACAGAGCCCGACGCGGGGCTCAAACCCATGAACCGTGAGATCATGACCTGAGCTGAAGTTGGACACTTAACATACTGAGCAACCTAGGTGCCCCCTAGCTCCATCCATGTTGTTGCAAATGGCAAGATTTCACTTTCTTATGGCTGATTAATATTCCATTGTATATATGTACCACCTCTTCTTTATTCATTCCTCTGTCAATGGACACCTGGGCAGAAACAATGACTTAAATTTTTAAAAAATGTTTATTATTGACAAATAGAGTGTGAGGGAGGGAAGGACAGAGAGGGAGACACAGAATCTGAAGCTCTGAGCTGTCTGCACAGAGCCTGATGTGGGGCCTGAACCCATGAACCATGAGATCATGACCTGAGCTGAAGTCAGATGCTTAACCGACTGAGCCACCCAGGATCCCCCAGAAACAATGACTTTGAAATTAAGATCCCTGGGGCTCTGAAACAAGTACAGAAACCAAGCAGAAAGTGGCTATTCAAGGACACAGTAGGAGGCCTGACAATTTCCTTTATAGAAATATTCAAATATCAAAGAAGGCTTCAGATGATCTTTGCCTAGTGAGGTCCCAGGCTGTCTCTGTGCTGTGGCCCCTATGACAGTGACAGGCCCACATAACAGGTGCCTCTGGAGGGCTTAAGAGGTCTTAACTAAGGGCCATTACTGCCCATTTCCCATGCTTTTTTTTTTTTTTTAAATAGTGCTTTCTTTTGTTAGATTGGGAATCATTGGTTTACTTGATATTTCAGCTAGGCTCTTCTCCCCAACTTCTACATGCTAATTAAAAAAAATTTTTATAGAACATTTTAAGCATATAGAAAAAGAGAAGAATGAGCCCTAGGTACTCATCACCCAGCCTCAACAATGACCAGTTGTCATTGGCAATTCACTGCCAGTCTTGTATCATTCATACTCCAACTACTTACTGCCCCCCAGAGTTTTTGAAGCAAATCTCAAGACATCGTATAATTTCATCTAGTTATATTTCAACATGACTGTTTAAATAATAAGAACTATATTTAAAAAAAATACTATTTGAAATAGCATCAAGGAGAAGGACAACACTATGTCATTTGGGACTGTGTTTCTCAAAAAGAGCAGATTATTTCTATCCTTTGAAAGAATTAATGACATATGGATTGAAACTGTAGGACCAATTAAAAATATTAAAACAAACCAAAGGGAATTTTTAAGTAGACCCTGGCTCCCTGAGCCAATATAATGCCTCTGCCTCAGCAAGCTAGAAAACCTCTTATACCCCCATATTGCATCTTTCAAGGAACACATGTCAGCCCCCCTTCCAGCTCCAAGTGCTACTTGGGCAGGTTTTCGCCAAGGACTCACAACAGGCTCTGCCTGGCAGGTAGCTCCATGGGGGCTAGCTAAGCAGCTGAGCTGTGCACAGACTTGTGGCCAGCTTGCCAAGAGTGCCCCATGGGGAACTGCTCATTTAGGTGATAAGGGCCCCGTGTGGGGCTAACAGCACTCAGCCTGCTGACAGTAGCTTCCAGTAAAGCAGGTCTTCTCCTCTACTGGGATCAGTGTTCATCTGCCTTGTTGGCATCTCTGTAATTTGTGTAATTTGCCCTCCTGCTACATGCCCTTCTCTCACCCACCCCCAATTACCTGTAAAGCGAGCCAGGACCAAGAGTTTTAAGACATTCTTTCAGCCTTAAGGGGTTGTGCTGGAACCCTGGTGGGTCTGGGGGCTTTGAGAGCTGCCTCTGAACACAGGTGAGGAAAGTGCTGCAGGTACGTTGCATCTCTGTTACATTTTTTTCTCTTGGATATCTTGCCTTCTGGCAGGAGGCAAAGCCAACTCTAAAACTCCTTACCAATGTCTGAAATCCAATTATTTCTACCAGCTCTGGAAGATGCATGCTTTTACACATCCTTGTGACCCCTCTGATAGGGATGACACAAAAGTTACACTGACTTAGGGCTCATTCTAATCAAAGTGAAAAGGAAGGCAAAGTCCTGGGACTCAGACTGGTAGTCTATGTACTTCTGTTTACACACAGCATATTAGAAGCAACATATCTGTCATTCCTTCAGAGGAGTGTGGGCAATAGCAATCCTTAGTCAGGAAAGCCCAAGCCCAGCCCCACGGAGAAGGCTGCTCTAGTCTTAATGGTCTGTATGCCAGATAAGCAGGGGTCAGAGGCCTCTGCCTAGTTTCCCTTCCCGTCTACTCCCTCTGCCCTGCGATGGAGGACCAACTCTCATCTTTGTGCCACTCCTTCCTTCTTTCAACTCCTACTCTGCCCGACCCTTTGAAATGTTCCTTTCTCCTTGTCTGGCCTGGGAGTGCTTGCTGACCCTCTGGGAGTGCTGACTACAGCCCAGTCCAGTTTGGGGCAGGCTCCAGGCTCTCACCACTGGAGAGTATGTTCCAGGGGTAGAGTATGACCATGAATTAAACTTCTGACTCAATCCTTCTGGGTGCTCAGGAAATAAACATGGGACCAAAGGAAGTTGGGTTATCTCTATAAGGCATATAACAGAGGGGCTGAGAGTGTGTGGAAGAAAAGTAGAGGGCCTGACTTATGAGGTAGGGTGTGCTGGGAATGCTGAGGGCATATAATCCCTTTACCAGACCCTCCCTAGAGTCTTCTTTTTTTCCCTCCTCCTGCTGTCAAGGTAGCTTCTCTTGGGGCACCAAGAAGCTTATAGGTTCACTTTCTCTGCAGCAGCCAGGTTTTGCTTTTCTGAAGCCAATAGTAATAGTAATAATAATAAACTTGAATGCTTTAAAGAACTGGTTAGCTCTATCCACTGGTTCTATGGGGGGTACTAAGGAACAGACACACAGAAGTTGGACCTTCTGTATGAACTCAAGAGAATGAACATGATAAAGATCTCTTTGAGGATGAGCTCATGAAAGGGCTCTGCACTCAGCACAGAACCTGCTCCCCCAGCAATTCACAGAAAAAACAGGGTTACTAGAAGGAGTGGGAAATCCTCAAGCAAGTGACCTATGGAGCCTTCCAGTCCTTCCCCTAATTCTGTTCATCTATGATACTCAGGCAGGTTTTGCATTTCATTCTCTCATCCATACTAAGCTTTATCTTATTAAAAAAATTTTTTTTACCATACTAATCTTTAAACCTGCTTTTCTAAACACCACTGTAGTGTTTAGTGAAGAGGGGAACGACTAATGCTCCCATGTCCCACTGGTAGGCTCTGTCAGAATAGGACAACTCTCCACTGTGTGTGCTGTGCCCATGGAAAGAAAAGAGAACTAATACACTAAAAGCACTATACACACTCACACAATGATCATGCTACTCCTTCTGAGCTGGCAGGGTTTGCTGGGCATGTGGGTAGATGACAGCTCCATGTGGGCTGGGTGCCAGAAATGCAGGGCTTTAAGGGTGGGGCTTTAAGTCCAACCTTGGACCAGCAAGGAGAGGAGGCTTTGGGACTACACTGTGGATCAGTCACACGTGGCTGCCCGAGTGCTGAGCACGGGCCCCCTTTCCAGGCTAGGTTATGTAAGAGCTCCTGAGATCCTGGAAAGGTTCCTGCATGGGTGAATGCTTTTGACAAAGATGTCCTCTATGTTATGTAAAACTGATGAATATTTTCTGACTTATAGGCAAAAGCTATTAATGTTTAAATCTTTCTTTTTTATGATGAACAAATCCATTAAAAAAACCCAATTTCCATTCAAGTCAGGGTTTCAGCCATGATAGTTCCCTGAGTGATCCAAACTCAGGTTTTTTAAAAAATATTTTTTAAAATGTTTATTTATGAGAGACAGAGAAAGAAAGAGAGTAAGAGCGAGAGCACACATGAGAGGGCAAGGGACAGAGAGAGAGAGAGACATGGAATCTGAAGCAGGCTCCAGGCTCTGAGCTGTCAGCACAGAGTCTGATGTGGGGCTCAAACTCATGAACTGTGAGATCATGAGCTGAGCTGAAGTTGGATGCTTAACCAATTGAGCCACCCAGGTGCCCCTTAAATGCAGCTTTAAAAAATTTTGTTAAATGTTTATTCAGTTTTGAGAGACAGAGACAGAGCATGAGTGGGGAAGGGGCAGAGAGAGAGGGAAACAGAATCTGAAGCAGGCTCCAGGCTCTGAGCTGTCAGCACAGAGCCCGATGCTTGAACCCACAAACTGTGATATCATGACCTAAGCTGAAGTCAGATGCTTAGTCAATTGAGCCACACAGGCGCCTCAAATTCAGAGTTAAAAATTTTTTTAAAATGTTTTATTTATTTCTGAGAGAGAGAGAGACAGCATGAGCAGGGGAGGGTCAGAGAGAGAGGGAGATACAGAATCTGAAACAGGCTTCAGGCTCTGAGCTAGCTGTCAGCACAGAGCCTGATGTGGGGCTCGAACCCACAAGCTGTGAGATCGTGACCTGAGCCAAAGTCGGACGCTTAACCAAATGAACCACCTAGGTGCCCCAAATTCAGATTTTTAAAGCAATGATCAAAGCTGAATAATGAGCAAACAGCATCAACAAGTCACACAACCCCAGCCTTTTCAGTGCATGGGTCACAACCAACTGTAGGTGGTCATACCTACACCCCACAAGGAGCCCTCCGAGAGATAGGAGCAGAGGGGCTGGAAAGTCCCAAGGAGGCCTAAACCAATGCTGACACTGTCTGCCAGTCCCACAGATTCAAGCCTGATGGGGAAGAATCCCAATGAGAGAAGTCCAGTCTGTGCTGTGATGAAGGGAAATCCAAGATAAGTACATATACCAGTAAGAGGCAGGACAGGCCAGGGTGCCTTGGTGGCTCAGTCAGTTAAGTGTCCAACTTCGGCTCAGGTCATGATCTTACGGTTCGTGGGTTCCAGCCCCACGTCGGGCTCTGTGCTGGCAGCCAGCTCAGAGCCTGGAGCCTGCTTCAGATTCTGTATCTCCCTCTCTCTCTGACCCTCCCCTGCCCACACTGTCTCTCTCTCTCTCAGAAATAAATTTAAAAAAAAACATTAAAAAAAAAAAAAAGAGTCAGGACAGGCCTCCTTTGACTAAGGTGAAAATCCATTCGTCTTTATAGCTCATATGTTCTATGGCAGATTAGGAAAGCAACATTAATTCTCTGAGTAAATCAAATAAATATTAAGTGGGGTCCCAGAAGCCCCACACCACCCTCTGTAGCTGCCATTCCTACAGTGTCTAGATGCCATGCATTATAGCAGAACCCGAAGAGCTGAACGGCTTGCCTGATGACACCTACCTTGCCTTTGTTGAAGTAGTGGATGATCTTGCGGCACAGTCCCTCTTTCCGCTGCCACTCTGTCTGGGATGGGTAGTGGAGGAATTCCCGAAGTGGCCGTTCCTCCCACTGCAACAGCTCACAGTAGAGAAGCAGAGTGAATGCGGCCTCTGTGGGGAACAGGGCATATAGAGATCCAGGGTCTTCTCCTTGGTGTTCCAGAGGGAGCCTGGTGCCAGGGGACTAGCCCAAGCACTATGCTAGGACAGGGCATGTGCAGCCCAGGTCAGGGAAACTGGATACCAAAGGTGACATAGAGGGGCTGCCCACCCAGCCAATAACCTTTGTCCATAGCATTAAGGAGTCAAAAATCCTGGTAGACAGCTTCCTCCCATAGCCTGATTTTGGGTGCTGGGCTCCAGATGAAGTATGGCCCAGCTACCTGAGAGTTTGTACACAGGTTGTCTTGCTTTGGGAGACCCTGACTTGTCAGAGAGAGTTCTTGGGTTCCTTTTTAGTCAATTGATTAGAGCTTCCTTTTCAACCTTCTCAGAACTGGCTCTTGCAGGAGGGCACTGATCAAATCTTCTCTCAGCCCTCCCTAAACCAGCCCCAGTGCCTATGGCAAAATTTTCTGACCTCAGCATGGCCTTCATTTCTACTGTTTCTGCAAGGACCAGAGAGAAGTATAAATGGTGGTAACTGTGTGATGGGCCTGTAGCCAGAAACTCCATTCCTGGAGGAGCTTAAATGATGCTGGACTAGGGCAGAGGCCCAGTGATACTTTACCCTACATATGGAACTGTTCAAGGGAGTTATATAGAACAAAAGCAGCTAAATACTGTGGCTCCCTAAATCCTAAAGCATGAGTCACACTGAATGACAGACACTGCTCAGGGTCCTCACTACACAGTCTGCTCTTTCCTGTTGTATTTCATCATTTTTGGTGGGTATCACCTACTGGCAAGGTAATTAGCTCTAACTTCTGCCTGACCTTCAAGGATTTACTCAAGTCCGCTAAAAATAACTGTGAAGAATCTCATTTCTAACTATTTCGTGACCCATTTCCAGTTTTAGACAAACACACCTACCTGCAGCCACTCCCCAGGCTCCTCCTTATCCTTGCCTCTTTTCCTGTCTTCTGGCTACTGGACCTTCCTGCCCAAGGATGCACATGCCTCCTTACCGGATCCAAATGGGATTCTGGGGAACAAGCTCCTGAGGCACTCAAGCCCTCCCTTTGGAACTTAGGAAACCAGGTGAAATTTTTTTCTTTCCTGACCATATCCTTTTCAGATGTTATTCCTGAGGCCACCAGAGACAAGGCTTAGCATCTTTTCCCTCTCCAAATCCCTTTCCTCACCTCTCGGTCATGGCCCAGTCCTCTAGGAATTTAGTATATGCCTTTATGTTATATGGAATTTATCAAAGTCTATTGCTTCACTGTTTTCTCAGAGGCTTGCTGCAATCATGGGTGGAAGTAGACATAGAGAATGGCAGATGTGGTCCAGTCATTTCAGATTTAATTCTTGCTAACCTGTGTGGTCAGAAAAGGTGGCATCTATGCCAAACAATCCCTTACATCTAGAAATATAGAAGGAAGATTCTGCGTTTCTACAAATCCATATAATTCTAGTAATGTTTGTGGACAAGAACAGCTTGAATTTCATGGTCTGTCACACAAATTCAAGTACTATGGCTCAAGAGCTAGGATATAGTGGCTAGTCACCACAGTGAAGGTGGCTATTTTGGGGGAGCTATGGCACAAGGTGATTAGGCAGGAGACATATGCATGCACATACCCTCTTGACCCATAGTGGTACTCAGTAAACAGTGTGACAGGCAGGCTGAAGTGCTTTTAAATTTGTTCTATTAGAAAGGGCCTTAGTAATGGATTAAATTGTATAAAGGGGCCCCATGTGACCTGTCAGAAAACCAAATGAACTCTCTCAATATTTTCCATTGGAAAATCAAAGTAGGGTGTTGTGCAGTTGTGGGGGAAGAGCCTAGATTGCAAGGCAGTTCTGCCAGCAAGTTCTGGAAGTCTCAGGGTTAGGCAGATATTTCTGTGTTATGGCCTCACGTAGCTCTGGCTGTGAAGGTTGTCAGAGTCAATAAGGCTCTGCTCTTGGAGAGGGACAGTGAGCTCAGGATGCTCTGGACATAGCACATTAAAATTGGAAGGTTATTCTTGAGGCCTCAGAGTGGGTGGACAGAAGGCAAGGAGAGAGCAGAACAGCCTCAGACAGCAGAGGAGATGGCATGAAGGCACAAGTGGAATTTCTTCTTGCTTTCTCTCCACCATATGTGACAAAGGAGTTGAGGGAAAGGATGAGGTGAGGGGGCAACATGGGCCCCAACACTCTGCTAAGATCTGTCAGGCACCAGCTCAGAGCCTTTCTCTGCTAGCTGTGCATACCTGTCCAGTCTGTCCTCACAGGGAGACATGGTTGTCCCCCTTCAACTCACCTGTGTAGTTTTCAGCCTGCAAATGCATGTCACAAAGCTTATGGATGTAGCGGATATACATCTCTTCTTTGTTAATCTCAGATTTGTAAAAGTTCTGTGAGAGAGAACAGGAAATAAACATAAAGATGAGAGAGGCTCCCATCTGTGGAAGCCCTACCTGAGCTTCAGGCAACTGGTCAATGCCCTGGGTGTGCTGGACAGGAGAGGGCAGGCCATGGACACAGACAGCACCAGGAAGAGAAAGGATCAGCCAGAAGGCACACCTGCTCTCCAGGTGTGGTGGAACCAGTGGCAGATTTGCAGGAATCCAAATATTGAGAAAGAGGAAGAGTGCCAAGGCAGACTGGGAATTAGGGTGTGTCAGGGTTGACTGGACCTTGCTAAGAGGCCAAGGCAGAGTTCTGTCCAAAGAGAACATTCCTTTCTCAAGTGAAAATGTGACTGATGAAGTGTAGGTCTCTGAGATATCAGGGACAGAGCTGATATCCTGACTCAAGCCCTAAGGCTTGCAGCCACAGTAGAAGGGCCAAGCCCATCACAGTGCAGGTCAGAAGCCATTCCACTGGGCAGATAGGAGGTGGGGCTCATGTCTTCTCACCATCAGGTTAACAGTGCAGCCAATCTTCTTATTCTCGGTTTCCTCTCCTTTCATGCAGTCCCTGGAAGGGAGAGCACAAATGAATGTCTCATGGCATGAAGTGGTGCCTATGGAACAACGCATAGAACTGCAGTGTCACAGAGGCATTAGTATAACTAAACCCTACATTAGGGTGCTCTCCAAATGCTTCCACAGATGGGGGTTATACAGTGAGCTCCCTCTGAGATTTGGACGCACTCCTAGGGGTTCAAAGATCTCTGTTCAACTGAACCTCTCGTTCTGGTGGCAGAGTGTAGAGCCCAGATAGTACATTAGGGCAGTACCAATATCCTCAGCACAGAAGAATGTATCAGTAAAGACAAATATCAAATCCTCAAGTCCCCAGAATGAGAGGCACAGAGCTTTTCTTATAGGGAAAGTTTCATTTTGAAGGACAGTGCTCAACAGAAGCCAAGATGCTCCACTCCAGGGACTTAGCTTCAGGACCTTGTGGCTACAGCAATCATGGCATGGGTGCCATGTTAACCACCTTACTGAATTTTCTCCCTATGGTCTCCTTCCTGTGTACTAATGAGAAGCAATAGGTTTAAAGTTTCTTTCTGATTTAGGGGTAGCTTCAACCAGGGCTGAGTTGCATTCATGCTGAGCAGAGCAGGGTTGGGTGTAAGAGAGGTCAAGGCTAGCCTGTGAGACACAGAACAATGGGAACACTGAGATTGGATCCTTCCCTAGGGAGAGAGGGGGACTGGTCAAAACCAAGTTCCTCTAGAAGGAGCGAAGGCTTGGCACAGGAGACAAAGGAGAAGGAGAACCAGGATGGTGAATCAAGAAGCCTCCTTTATACACAGACAGCCAGAGTTCCATCTGTTTGTTGTGTCTCCTTCTATGGCACCCCACAGGGCTTTTGGCATATAGATACAGTTCCTTGTGTAGCTGTGTGTTAGGGAAAGGCAGCATAAGCGGGTTTATGGACCACTAAGATCAGGTGAAGAGAGTGTCTTGGCTTTGTTCTACCAATAGGCATGGGGTTCAGTGAGGAACATCACAGCTGGGAGTCAGGAGCCCTAGTCCAAGTCACTGAACCTCTGGGTGATCATGTGACAAACTCAGTTATTCCCATCTTCCCAGCTGCAATCCAGCTCACAGTGGGATGACTTCTTTGAAAGAAAGAAATACTGAAAAATCCACACAACTCTCATGATATTTTGAAAAGCCAAGTGTCCTCCCTTCTATGGGGGGCTACTATCAGAGGTGGCAGCTCTCTGGAATTTGGAACCAAGGTCCTCCTCCTTTTTGGGTTCCCTATCAGCCATAAGGCATTTGGTTCCTCTGTAGTCAGACATGAGGGTCCTGAATAGGCCACTGCACTATCTTTTAGTGCTAGTAGGGACAGGAAAGTACTGTGACTTTTTAAGAGATGGATCAGATGGCCAACTAGTTACAAGCAACATACGAAGTGGCAGGAGGCATCTGTCTCTCCAATAAGTTGGCCCTATAGAGACCGGTGAGGTCTCAACTAGCTACTTTGGCATTTAATGGTTTTTGTTTTTTGTTTTTTTGTTTTTTTTCTAGAAAGCATATGAAACACTTAACAGGCATCAACGTCTTTGGCCATAACTAGAACTTCATTGCCAAGTCAATTAAATAGGAAAGCACTGACCTCAACCCTGTGATGGCAGGGGAATTCCCTCCACACCTTTGTATTCTATGACCACCTCTCCCATACACTGCTAACAGCTGATTCTTCTCCTCTTTGTGTCTGTGAATCACTTCTGTGTGGCTGCTCAACAGAGAGTACACCTTTTAAAGCCTCTGACTTGGGTGCAGCCATTTCTCTCCCCTACTCTTTCTCTGGAGGATGAATAGGGAAGACTCTCCTAAAGAGGCTTCTGAAGCAACTTGTTGTGAGCACTGGGCTCATGGTGACCTAGACCAGGGCTCATGCAACCCTTAGTGCAATTGGAAAGTCCTGAGAAAGGAAGGCTCCATAATCTCCAGTTCCTCTTCCATGTGGAGGTTCCACTGAAAGTCTCAAGGGCTTGGCAACCCTAGCCCTGTCCCTGTATGTTCCAGGGCACTAAGAACCACTCCCCCCATCCCATAGGGCTCTGCTTCTTAACCTGAGAAACACAGGTGCCACCAGTGAGCATCTTTATATCTGACAGAGTATCATTCACACAAAAGTTGAAGAGGTACTCTTCTGAGTACGTACGGCTCATGCTAGTCTAAAACTGAGTCTCACACTCTAGGTTCAGGTCATTCTGGAGTATAACCTATTAATTATTTGCCTAATTAATGTGTGTGTGTGTATATATATATATATATATATATATATATATATATATTTATCTGTCAACTATTTTCTTAGTAGGTTCTTGTTGAACTAAGCTACACTGGGGTAAAAGAGACTTCTTTGGTTCCTGCATGATCTTCCAATCCATCAATACATACACCTGCCAGAGGACCATCAAGGCTCCATGTAGGGGACCATGGAGATAAAGACAAGGTCCCTGTCTTCAAGGGGCTTCTCTCTTTAGTTGAATGAATCAGAAAAATGACAAATGTTTATCATGCAAAGTGACTGATGCTTTGAAAGAAGTGTATACAGAGATCCAGGTAATCTCTTATCTGGGAAAGCCTCCTTAATGGGGCTTGGTAGGAAGCTTGGGAGGACATAGCATGTAGAGAAGTCTGAAGAGAAGGCGACAACATGGATGAAGGGATAGGGTATGGCTCTTGAGTCAGACTTGGGTTCAAATCCCAGCAATGTCACTTCCCACAATTGGTGTTCCTTTACTGATAAAAACAGGGATAACCCTTGTAGCTGCTTATGGGATTAGAGATAATGCTTGTAAAGCAAAAAGTACATGGTATATTTTTAATAGATAAAAACCATGATAAACATTATGGTGTTTCCCTTCATGTTAACAAAGAGTAACACTAGGAGGTCAGGATATGCACATGGATACTGGGGACTATCAAGGAACAGGGCTGGAGGAGTGAGCAAAGGCCAGTTTATGAAGGGGTTTGCTGCCATGTGAAAGAGTATGAACCTTGTTTTTTAGGATCCCATTCTTGAGACAAGAAATAGAAGCGAATGAAATTGGGTTTGGCTATGAGTTTGTTTGTACAAGATAGATACAAAAATCAAATGGGCAGTTAGAAAAAGGCTAAGAAATTAATTTTGGCTCTCTCTGGTAGGCCACAGAGAATAGAGATAACTTTTAGTAAATGTATCACAGAGGGGAGGTATAGAGTTTTGCCCACCCCTCTTCACTGTCTGAGAGGAGGTACAGAAAAGGCTAGGGATATGGCATTAACAAAGGAGTCCAATATTCTAAAAGGGGTCTTCAAAAGGCTACTTGCGAACTCATAATGCCCAGGAAAAATGGGCGGAAACTCGCATAAGCACAACTGTGCTAAAGAAAGAGGGGATGCATAAAATAGGAGCCCATTTCTCAGGAATTCCATTTCCATGTCCAGCTGGTACACTGGAAACCTGAGTCTTCTGCAAAGCAGAAGTCTTGGTGCAGGAGTACCCTCTTTTCAGCAGCAACTGGAGGTGGCCTAAACTCCCTCATTTCCTGATGCATGGGTTGGAAGTGCTCTCCCTTGGCATTTACATGTCTTGTAGCACAAAGGAGACAGCTATTGCTTGGGGATGAGTTTCCTCCGTCATTCTTCCTCATTCCCTATCACCTCCCTCTAGGCTCCCAAAAGGTACTCTTAGCCACCACATGAACTCTGCTAAGATAATAATTAAGCCTGTAATGGTGGCTTCATTGCCTCTTCTGGAGTAATTAAAAAGCCATTATATGACAGAAGGCAAGGTTTCATGAGAAAACTAATTTTACATGAACTCTCAGAATGAACATAGTATAAAGATCTCTGAGCTCACAGGAGGCTTCCTCTAATCTGTTCATGGCCAAGACCAAGGGACAGAAAAACACACTTTAGGCAAAGAATGGAGGCATGGAAAAGTATGGTCCTCAGTGCCTGGAAAAACCAACTGGAAGTCCTACTGTGTCACACTTCTGTACCAGGTGATATTTTCCCTGCCCATCTGCCATATGGCTCTCAGGAATGCAGTACAAAGGACTTACAGTTGTTTTCTGCATTGCTCTGAGCCTTGACCTTTTTGGATGGAAAGCTATATGTCCCTGGGATGCCTCCTGGATATATATGCCCACATATCAGGGGGGATCCCAGGAAGCCCTAGGAGAGGAATCTTTCCCAGGGCCCTCTACCCCTGGGAAAGGACTCTTTCCTTCTATCTCCTTGGCCATCCCTAGATTCCCAATGACCAATGATGGTACCCCAAACCAGAAGAGTCCTCCCCCTGAAGGCCACATGGTCTCTATTTTAAAGTCAGAGGATGTCCTTGCTGAGGGAAGTATCCTGATCAGAGGAAAGGTCAGATAGGTAGATGCCTGAGAAGATACCTGTAGTCAAGAAGGCGTTCCATGAGGCGGGTGACTGAGGTCACAAAGGAAATGCCAGTTTCACGCCATGTTTCCTGTTCAACCTTCTCCAGTAGGCTATTGGTGGGAGGGTGGGGGAAACAAATACAATATACAATTCATGAGCCTTCCCTGGGCACAAAAGTGAGGTCCCAGAGCCCGTGGAGCCTGTGATGGATCTGGAGACAGCAGACTTACCACACTACAGTCTTACCTGGGGTAGGGCCCAAACAGCTGGGTTCTACTCCATGCAGCAGAAAGCAAAGACAAGGTGATTACTGAATTGGAAGGAACATATGAGCATATTTTCTGTTTTCCTGTTTAAGTTCCTAAGGATGCCAATGAATTGAGGAAGGGGTTTTAAAGCCCCAGCCCTTTAGGTGTATGCTATGGAGTTTGTCCTGAAATAGCAGCTGAATAAGAGCCCACTGAGAATAGATCTGCCTTTGCAGTTAGCCAGCTACCTCCATCGCCACTCAGAGGCATCTTCAGCAAACATACAAACTAAACTTTCCCCATAAACCAAGGAAAAGGTTCCAACTAGTCTTGAAGGCCCAGTATGAAGGGCAGTGAGCGAGTCTAGGAGTTACACTAAGCAAGTCTAGGAGTTACACTTGGTCATCTCCACTATCAGGGGATGCTTCCATGTGAAAATTGCCAGAGCCAAGAGCTCAAGGCCCAGGTCCTTTTCTTATTTGCCAGGCCATGCTAATGGCACCTCAGGGTAGCCTCTGGCTTCTGTGTCTTCCCACAGATGTCTCCTAGGGGATGATAACCTGGACTCTCTGCGTCAGTGATGACCCCAGGTCCAGGTCTCATTCTTGATTCCTTTCCACACTGTCCTTCACTCCTGCCACCTGGAGTGGCAGGCCCAGCTAGAGGCCCAGTACTGGGGACTCCCGCTCACAACCTGGCTGCTGTTAATGCTGCCCTGACAGAGATGGTCTTCCCCACATAGAGTATAGGGCCTGAGCCGAGGCTTCTGGAAAAGTGAGGGTGTTACTAGAGGGAAGGCAGCACCATTGCTCTGGCCTCTGAGCTGTGTGGATGAAGCCATTGTGTCAGTATTTCCCAAACTATTCTACCTCTAGAGCTCTGCTGTCCTGGAGGACTGAGAAAGGTGTTCTGTGAGCAAACAAGCCTCTGAAATGCTGGTCACTACACACTCCTATCGGAGATATTTCACACCTTTCTGCCTGTTTAAGGCTTTGAGAAGTCCTGTAATAGAGGCCTGTTAAATTTTGTTTAATTGAATCTTTTCTGAACTGATCCACTTACTTTTTTCCCCAGCACCTTTCCCAAAACACAAATTGGGAAATGCTGCTCCATGGTTCTCAGCAGCTTTTACTCCTCAAACATGATTTAGAAGAGTTTATAAAACATTATTTGGTCAGGTGATTCGTAAGTGCAAGTTATTTGTGTGGTTTTTTCCTTTGTAGTAAAATCATCTGTTAGTGACTTAGGAAGAGATTTCTGTGCATTACTTCCACAATTAGAAACATCTTCAGTGAAAAAAATACTAAAGATGGATTCATTTACACAAACTATAATTATTTAAATTTCAAATAAATTCACATTTTATTGTCTGACTCATCAAAGAACAAAATGGGCAGGATATAGCAGAAAGATTCCCCCTTCTTGAAACTGAAAGATCTGAGTCCTCCCCCTAGAGCTGCTTTTCATTGGTCATTCAACTGAGGCCATGTTAACACTTTCCTCACCTCAGTTTCATCACCTTTATTCATGAAGATAATTTCTCCCCTGCCCACTTCACAGGTGTGTTGTGAGGATTAAGTAAGAAATGTTAACACACTGGTATGCTGTACAGTTCTAAGCAAATGTACAGTGTTATTATTAGAAAAATATGTTATTGGCTTATCTTCAAAATGGCATTAAAACAAAGAAAATATTAAAGCTGGAAATAATAAGTGAGATGGGAGGGGACTCGAGCTGTAAAAGTCTTAAGATTTTGCTTTTTTTAGAAGATAAAATGTCTAGCATCACTATCTGTATGGGAGGACCATAGCTCTCCTGAGTCCCTCCTTTGGACTTAGCCTTGTGGCAAAGACATGTAAGGTCTCTTGGCCTCCATCAGTTCAAGACAGGAGCTACAAATGGTGGAACTGGGAAAATCCCTGACGTCATTCAGTACAAATATCCTGTTTCACAAACAGGGAAACCGGCCTGGAGAGTGGATACAACTTGTTAAAGTCACAAGATCCATGAGAGTGTTTATTCAAGTTGATTGTACCATTTTATGAAGCAAGGATTTAACTTATTTCCTCTAAGAAATGCTAGCACTGAGCCCTCACAGAGTCCCCATGGGCTGTTTGCCCAACTGGATACAGTGCATGCTATGAAGACATATGAAAGACCTGTCTCCTATCAGCAAATCTAAGAGCTCAGAGTTCCCACCTGTCTCTACTTCTTTAGTTAACTATGGCAATCCCTGAGACAGCTTGCTGCCATAATACTACCTTCTTATTGACTAGGAACAACCCAGGTCTCTCCTGATACCCACCCTCTGAAGCCCACCCAGTGTGGGTTGCACCCCTACCCTTCATCAGCCCACTTCACCCTCCTCTCCCAATGTGGGGTGCCTGGGGCTGAAGCAGCTTACAGCAGGCCGAAGAGCTCCCTGTAACTCTCATCGCCTTTCCCTTCTGACACCATGCTGTCCAGCTTGTCAATCAGCTCGGCCTCCACCTAGAGGGAAGCAGAGACTTCATGAACCTGAGCTGACCTCAGAGGAAGAATGAGAAATCTAGCTCCTACCACAGGTGAGAATGGTGGGGGTCTGCTTCCTAATTTTGTCCTTGTACCAAATAAATCTGAGGGAAGGCAGGACCTCATCTAGAGCACTAAGAAACCACCTTGCCTCCCTTGTTTAGAAAAGCTACCCACTCCAGTCGTTTAAATTAAAGTTGGAACTTATACACCTCACATACTCTTTTCCCAGTGTAGGGGCAAAAGCCAAGGATTATCTGGAAATAAAAGTATTTTGGATTCAAAAGAGGTCTTTGTCATGTGTTTTTCTTTCTTAAAAAATGTTCATTCAAAAGAATTTGTGTGAGGAAAATAGATTTGGTTAGAACTTTCCCCTCTAGTCAGCTAGTCACAAAGGAAGCTTGCTGCAGGGCTACTCCTTACTCAAATGGCTGACATGATTCTGAGTTGAGCAAAGTATGAGTATTTCCTTCAGAGATTCTTCTTCAGGATAAAAAGCTCCACTGTTTGTCCCCATAGGACCTAGAGCTCTTGGGGCTGATGCCTCGCCACTGCCTCATCACTGGGGCACCTGCATTTGTTACTGGATTCCTAAACCATGAGGGGCAATACTGTACTTGTCCCCCCATCCCCCAACTGATATGCAAGGTATTCAGCAGTGTTCAGCCACTTTTAAATAAGCCTAACTGGATTTACTCTGAGGTGATAAATTAGCTGTAAGTGATGTGAGATAAAAGTCTTTTAAACCCCTCATTAGCCGTTAAAATGTGGTATTGGGGGCACCTGGGTGGTTCAGTTGTCTGAGCGTCTGACTTCGGCTCAGGTCATGATCTCATTGCTTGTAAGTTCGAGCCCCACATCAGGCTCTGTGCTGACAGCTCAGAGCCTGAAGCCTGCTTCAGATTCTGTCTCCATCTCTCTCTGTCCTCACACTCCTCGTACTCTGTCTCTCTCTCACACACACAAGTAAATAAACATTAAAAATTAAAAAAAATTAACAAAATTTTAATGTGGCATTGTGGCACCTCATGCCAGTCAGAGTGGCTAAAATGAACAACTCAAGAAACAACAGATGTTGGTGAGGATGTGGAGAAAGGGGAATTCTCTTGCACTGTTGGTGGGAATGCAAACTGGTGCAGCCACTCTGGAAAACAGTATGGAGGTTCCTCAAAAAATTAACAATAGAATTATACTATGACCCAGCAATAGCACCACTGGGAATTTATCCAAAGGATACAGGGTACCAATTTGTAGGAGTACATGCACCCTAATATTTACAGCAGTGCTATCAACAATAGCCAAATTATGGAAAGAGCCCAAATGTCCATCAAGTGATGAATGGATAAAGAAAACGTGGTTTATATATACAATGGAATACTTGGTGATGAAAAAGAATGAATTCTTGCCATTTGCAACAACGTGGATGGAACTGGAGGGTATTATGCTAATTGAAATAGAAGAAAGTCAGTAAGTCAGAGAAAGACAGATATCGAATGTTTTCACTCATATGCGGAATTTGAGAAACTTAACAGAAGGCCATGGGGGAAGGGAAGGAAAAAAAATAGTTACAAACAGAGAGGGAGGCAATCCATAAGAGACTCTTAAATACAGACAACAAGCTGAGGGTTAATGGGGGTAGGAGAAATGGGTGATAGGCATTGAGGAGGGCATTTGGAATGAGCACTGGGTGTCGTATGTAAGTGATGAATCATGGGAATCTACTCCTGAAGCCAAGAGTACACTGTACACACTGTATATTAGCTAATTTGACAATAAATCATATTTAAAAAATAAATGTGGTATTGTGGTATTATATTTATATAAATACTTTATATAAACAAAAAGGCATTGCTACTTTTAATGATGAGCTATAACAGAAGCATTTTTTCACTTCACATAGGGCCAAAGAGTCCTAAGGCAATGAAGTAATAAAAAAATAACTGAATTAGGATATTCATTGAAGGCAATTATGATTTCTGAAACGTCTTCAGCAGAAAATGAGAATGGATGAATAAATGTTGTTCTGTTTATACTGGCCTGCTCTGCAGAGACTGTCACACATTTATGTTTGGCCTGATGAGTCAGCTGCTTGAATATGCATTTCAGAGAAACAAAGTCTTTCTAAGAAACCCTAAGACCAGGGGTTCTTAGGGATTGATGCTATATCTTTCTCTGTGTAGAGAAGAGACTTCAGCAGGGATTTGCCTGGGGTCATATAAAGTCAGGTAGAGCCAGGCCCAGAGGCCAAGGTGTCTCATTCATAGTTCGAATCTTGTCTTTTCTTACTGGGTCAATCAGTGGCCCACAAGCCTCCCAGGGGAAGAAGGGTCTGTTTGTAACAAGGAATCTCTCTTCAAACATGTGGGTACAGGTAGATTGTGTTTTCCAGGACAGGGCAAAGTAGCGGAAGGCATCCTGGAGCAGCAGGGAATATAATAACTGTGTAAACATCAGTGTAGTAGTTCCCTCAAATTCTCAAAATGGGCCTCTGGGCCAGCAGTATCAGTCATCAGAGACGTCATTAGAAATGAAGATTCTCAGGCTCCCAGTGGATCAGAAACTTGGGAACAGGAGAAGCAGTCTTCTTCAACAAGCCCTCCCAGTTGTTGTGATGCCTATTCAAATGTTAGAACTTCTGTATTAGGCAAAGGAGTTGGTGATGGAAGGATATGGGGATATTACTTCATCACCCTATGTAGTGCTAATAAAGGAAAAAGTTATTAGGAGAAACTGAGAAATCCAAAACAGGTAACGGTGAAGATCAATGTATGTAAACCAATGTCTTTAAGTCAAATGAAATGCTAAGTTCTTCAAATATACTGTGTCACGGGGCACCTGGGTGGCTCAATCAGTTAAGCGTCTGACTTTTGCTCAAGTTATGATATCATGGCTTGTGGGTTTGAGCCCCGCGTCAGGCTCTGTGCTGATAGCTCAGAGCCTGGAGCCTGCTTCAGATTCTGTGTTTCCCTCTCTGTCTCTTCTTGATTCACACTATTTCTCTCTCTCTCTCAAAAATAAATGTTAAAAAAAAATATATATATATATATATATATATATATATATATATATATATATACCATGTCATAGTTGGTAGTATTGACAATTTTGGGTTTGGAGAGTTTTATTCTATGGAATCAATATTCCTGAAGTGACAAGTGACACCTTGTTATTCGTTCAACAAATATTTGTCCTGTGACAACCAACTGCCTAATTCAGGATGAGACATTTAAGCCTACATTTCCTAGTTTGTGAAGCAGTAATGGTGGTTAACAGTTCTCTTTGGTGTCCCTGTGCCCTAGCTCTTAGAAGTGCTCAATAAATGTCAACTCTGATTTTTGTCTCCATGAATCTAGCATGTTTCAGGGACTATGTTGGATTCTAAGGAATAAAGCACAAGAAACAGCCCTGGTGCCCAACAGCTAGCTCATCATCTTGCAGAGGAGGCAGGGACAACAGCTGACACAAGCCAGCATGGTTAGTGCTTGGGATGGGGCACACAGAAAGGGTGGTCTGCGGTCTGGGATGTCAACGGACAATAGAGTTGTGAGAAGTGGTGTTGTAAGAACCTAATTAAGGAAGGCTTTTGCTCTTTGACCCAGCAATTACAGGTGAGAAATTTATCTAAGAGAATTAGGAATGGATATGTTTTTTACAATATTAACAACAAAAATTTGGAATGAACCTAAGTTTCTAAAACTAGAAGCCTGACTAAATACACTGTGGTCTAGGCCATGCAATGGATTAATATGTAACCTCTAAACTGACAGTGCAGGACAGAGGAGCAATGAACCGACATGAAGAGACAGTGATGAAAACATGTTACTAAAAAGAGGAGATTAAAAGTCAATATACACAATGGTCTCTGAACCCCAATATACACAATGATTCCATTTTTTAACTTAAAAAACCTCTATGTATGGGAAAAACAGTCTATAAAGACATACCCTGTCCTCCTCTCCAAGTTACTAAAATAGCAGGATTATGGATTAAAATTTTAAATTATAGCTTATTTGCATTTTAATTTTTCTATATTAAATACCTATTGTTTTTGTAATTAGAAGATATATTTTTAGTAGGTGGGAAGAAATAGGGGAGTAGTTAACAGAGCCAAAGCTGTAGAAAGCACAACTGTAATCAAGACAAACATTTTGGTAATTAGAAGGTTATAGGTGATCTTTTTTTAACATTAAAAAATGTTTATTTATTTTGAGAGAGAGAGAGAGTGCATGAGTGAGGAGGGGAGGAGAGAGGGAGAGGGAAAGAATCCCAAGCAGGTTCCATGCTGTCAGTGCAGAGCCCAACACAGGGCTCAAACTCACGAACTGTGAGATAATGACCCGAGCCGAAATCAAGAGTGGGACACTTAACTGACTGAGCCACCCAGGCACCCCAAAGGTTATGGGTGATCTTGAAGAGAGCAGCTTCAACAGAAGTGCATATACAATACACATTAGACTGGATGGGTAGGAGGGTGGGAAATGGAAATGTGGGGATAAAGAGTAGACCACTTTTTAAAACTATTTGGTGGCAAAGGGAAGCAGCAGCAAGGTTTTGCTTACCAAGGTCAGGAAGGTTTACATGGCTTGCTTGATATCAATTATTCATGATAGTCTTTTTTTTTTTTAATTTTTTTTTTTTTAAAGTTTATTTATTTTGGGGCGCCTGGGTGGCTTAGTCGGTTAAGCGTCCGACTTTCGCTTTTGTCTTGATCTCGTGGTTCGTGGGTTCGAGCCCCGCGTCGGGCTCTGTGTTGACTGCCAGCTCAGAGCCTGGAGCCTGTTTCAGAGTCTGTGACTCCCTCTCTCTCTGACCCTCCCCTGCTCACGCTGTCTCTCTCTCTCTCTCTCCTAGAAATAAATAAAACATTAAAAAAAAATTTAAAAAAAGTTTATTTTGAGAGAGAGAGAGAGAGAGAGAGAGAGAGAATGAATTCCAAGCAGGCTCCATGCTGTCAGTGTGAAGCCTGACACGGGGCTCAATCCCACAAACTGTGAGACATCACCTGAGCTGAAATAGTCAGACAGTTAACTGACCCGGCGGCCCAGGCGACCTTATGATAGCCTTAATGAGTGAAGGAACACAGCTGAACAGGTGAGTCTTGAAGTGTGAGGCAAATGAGTTCCAACTTAGTCTTCCACAAAGTTATCCTTCTTTATTCACAGGGAGTAATGATGGAATGCAGCCTAGCCCCTCTTTCAACAGGCTCAGTGAGCCATGGTGCATTTCTGCAATATCATCTGCTTCTCAGCAAGTAGGTTCTGTCATCAGGCAGTTGTGCTTTTTGCACAATTTAGAAGGTTGTGACAACACAGAAATTAAATTCTTTCTGTTTGAAGTTATTATTTTCTAAAAAAATTAAGGGATTAGAGTTATACACTCCAAAAATGGATTCTTATGTTAAATACTATTTACCCACGATAAAGAGCATCTATATAAAACCTAGAACTAGCTTGCATCATACTTAACTGTGTAACACCAAATGCTTTCCCTGAAGATTAAGGGCAAAGCAAGGATGTTCACTCTCATCACTCTTATTTAACACCAGATCAAAGGCCCCAGCCAGTGCAATGAGGTAAGAAAAAAAATAAGGGGCATACAGATTAGAAAGGAAGAAATAAAACTGTCTCTATTTGTAAGTGATGGGATTAGCTAACTAGAAAATCCCAAGGAATCTCCAAAAACCTTCTACAATTAATAAGTAAGTTTAGCAAGGGTGCATGATATAATATTAATATACAAAACAGTTGTATTTCTATGTACTAGCAACAAACAACTGGAAAATAAAATTTAAAAATAAGAATAATTTATAATAGCACCAAAAAACAGGAAATATTTACCATATAAATCTAAAAACATGTACAAATCTGTATGCTGAAACTATAAAACATTAATGAAAAAAATAAAAAAGAATACCTAAAAAATGGACAGATATACCGCCTTCATGGACTCTAAGTATGATTAAGTATTACTAAGATATCAATTCTTTCCAATTTGATCTACAGATTATAATGCAATCTCAAACTCAGCAGTAATTTTTGCGGATATTGACATGCTAATTATGAGACGTACATGAAAAGGAACTGGAATAGCTAAGATTACACTGGAATAAAAACAAATTTGGAGTATTCACACCATTTGATTTTAAGACTAACTATAAAGCTACCATAATCAAGACTGTGTGGGAATGGTAAAAGATAAGACATAGATCAATGGAAAGACTAGTGAGTCCAGAAAGAGAACTGTACAGATAAGGGTGAACTGATTTTTGACAGAAAATAGTTTCTTTCAACAAAAGATGTTGGATATCCATGTGTGAAAAGGAAAAAAAAAAAGTCTTGACCCATATTTCACATTTTATACAAAGGTTACCTCAAAATAGGTAACAGATCTAAATATAAAATTATAAAACTGCTTGAAGAAACACAGGAGAAAAAATTTTGTGTTCTTGGACTAAGGGTTCTCAGATATTATCCCAAAAAAGCATTATCTATAGAAGAAAGCCATTGATAAAATGGACTGCATAAGAATTAAAAATTTTTGTTCTGTGAAAGATACTATTGTAAATGAGAAGACAAGCTAAAGACTGGGAGGAAATATATGTAAATCATATATTCAACAAAAGACTTACATCTAGAATACATAAAGAACCTTCAGTTTTTTTGAACCTTCAAAACAATAATAGGAAAACAAATAGCCCAATGAAAATGAACACAAGTTTTAAATAACCATTTCACCAAAGAAGATATAAAGATGGTAAACACATTAAAAGATGGTCAACATCATTAATCATTAAAGATATGGAAATTAAAACCTCCAAGATATAAACTATATACCTATTAGAATGGCTAAAAAAAACCACACAAAGAAATAATATCAAGTTCTGGTGAGCTTATAGGTCAACTAAAACTCTCATACAATGCTGCTGGGACTTCAAAATAGTATAGCCACTTGGGAATAAAATTTGATAGCATCTTATAAAGTTAAACACACATTTACCACAATAGCCAACAATCCTATTCCTAGATATTTACCTAAGAAAAGTGAAAGTTTATATTCATACAAAAACCTGTAAAGAAATATTTTTTAACAGCTTTATTTGTAATCAACATAAAGCGGAAATAATGCAAATGTCTTTCAAATGGTGAATAACTACAATGGAATACCACTAAGCAACAGAAAAACTGATATGTGCAACAACAATGGATGGACCTCTTGATGGCATTATGCTGAGTGAAAGAACCAGACTCAAAAGGCTACATTTTACATTATTCCATTCAACTGACATTCTGGAAAAGGCACACCTACAGTGATGGAGAACAGATTGTCATAGGTTAAAGGTAGGGGGAAGGTTTGACTACAAAAAGGTAGCATGATGGAATTCTTAGGTATTTCAAAAATCTTGATTGTGGTGGTGGTTACATGACTATGTGTTTAGCAAAATTTACAGAACTGTAAATCACAAAGAATGAATTTTGCTCTTTGTAAACTTAAAAACAAACAAACATAAATAAATAAATAAGAATTTAAAAATTACTGTTTGTCTGGTCTGCTCCTCACTATTACAACTACTCACTATAAGACCACTGGTTCATCCCAGAGTCACAGGGTTAGGAGGGAGCTTAGTGGGAAGCTTAGCTAAAATCAGCTTCCTTACCACTGACCCCTATTGATCCTAGTCCTATTCTTTGGAGCTACACATAGAAAGGTAGGGGCCATTTCCTTTACCTTAGAGGTGGCAGAAGATTTATACAGAGGGACAGCCTGAAGCGACTTAGTCAGAAGCTAAGGGATTATACCTTCTGGACCCACCCCTCTGTGCAGAAGTCTGTGAAATTCTGGGCTACCCTGAACCATGAGAAGCCATCTGATCTTGGCTCTAACCCTAGAAATGCCTGGACCATGCACAAGAAAATAAAGATACTATGCTCCCAGGGCCTTTTCTGAATGAAACTGGATGATCACAGTCCCAGTCACTCTCTCCTTGAACAGAAAATTTCTTTGTATGATGTTCATTCCTTTACTCTGATTCTTTTCTGACCTCTAACTTCATGAAGAAAATCCACAAATCAATTCTGGCTGGCAATTAAGGGAAAACCCTTGAATAGGATTCAAGATGGGCAAGCTACAGCCATTCCCACTGGAACTACAGTCTGGCATCTGAATCACCTTCCTGGACAGAAGGGGTCCATCCAGAGGAGGGCAAGTGTCATCTTACCTGTTTGAAGTTGCCATTTTTCCTCTGCTCCCAGTCCATCATGTCATGAAAGATGGGAATCATGATATTCCGTACTTCTGGCTGTGGAACCAGTGTCACACCCAGAAAAGGACCAATCATTCCCGGAATAAAGTGGATCTTATGTTCACCTAAATAACAAAACCCAACAGATATTAGTTTATGCTTTCTTTGCTTCTTCTATAGAAGCTTCCCAAATTTGGTCATAGCAGATACTTTCATCTGCCCTGGAAGCATTGAGAACAAAGCAAGCTTTCCCCTATGGCTTTCTGAGATACTCTTTTTCTTGGCTTTTTGGAATTCATAGATAAAACTGGCCCAGCCCAGCTAAAACAAATGTTCAACAGGCATAAATTGCCTTTCTTTTTTTTTTTTTTGAAAGCTAGTCATTTTATTTTATTTATTTATTTTTATTTATTTATTTTTTTTTTTTACAAATAGTTTATTGTCAAATTAGTTTCCACATAACACTCAGTGCTCATCCCCACAAGTGTCCTCCTCCATGCCCATCCCCCCCTCCCCCCCACATCCATCAGTCCTCAGTTTTTGTCAGCATTCAAGAGTCTCTCATGGTTTGCCTCTCTCCCTTTCCCCCACCATTTCCACCCTTCTTCTCCCCCTTGTTCCTCCGTCAAGTTCCTCCTAATCCTCCTATACGTGCAAACATATGTCAGGCAGAGAAGGACAAATAAATTGCCTTTCTAAAGATTTATGGGAGGTTCAGCAAACTGCTTGAAAAATCATTCCAAGGTCAAGAAACAGAGTTCAATGCTTTAGACAGAATAGGATTTCTGAGAACCTATGATAGTTTCATATTGTTCAGCATTTATTTAGCAAGGAATATTTATCCATTTCTGCTTGAACACAATCCACTATCCCCGGGGTCTCTACCTCTAGCCCAGAGGCATTTAAGTGATGAGATGTTCATAGTCCCTGGTCCAGCCACTAGAGGCCTGAAGTTCATGGGCCTCTTTACAGCCTGTGCTCATGTCTGCCCAAAAGGCTTCCTCCTGAGTTAGCAGGAGCCTCCTGTACAGCCCTACTTGGACAGAATGACTCAAGGATTCTGTCTGTGCTCTTCCCCAGGCATGTCCCTTGTCTTCACATTGCACTCCTGATGGTAGCACTGCATCTACACAGACCAGCTCAGCTCATCCCCCAATGTTCTTATGAGGCCTTTCCATGGGAAGTGGGTGATGAAGGTTTCCTTGTGATTGGCCTGCAATCTGGGGCATGTTCCCATAAGCCAGGGCCAGTCCTGAGGACTGTGGGACAGAACTTTTCTCTTCCTTGCAGTGATGCAACTGAGTGAGCCATCTTCCAGAGCTCTACTTTCAGTCTTTCAGAGACTATAAAGAAGACAAACTGTGAACCTGTGTAATAACTGCTTTAGCCAAGTAAAATCAGTTCTTGAGGACCAGAAAATGCCATTTACACATACACACACACACACACACACACAAACACACACTCTCTCTCTCTCTCACATACACACACACACACATACACACACACACAAGATAGAAGCAGGAATGGTTTTATCAGGCAAATTTGACTTCTTTTTTGATTCTTCTATCATGAGAGCCTATCTAAGGGGCAAATATTAGCCCTGAGGCTGATTCTACATATTCCAATCTTGGTATTTGGCACAGTTTGTTAGTACCTTGTGTTCCTGGGAATTTCAGAGTCAGCTTCAGGGTTAAAACCTATATCCATACTGTCTTGATGTGGTATTGGCACAAAAACAGACATATAGACCAATGGAATAGAATTGAGAACTCAGAATGGGACCCACAAATGTATGGCAAACTAATCTTTGACAAAGAGGGAAAAGGTATCCAATGGAAAAAAGACGGCCTCTTTACCAGATGGTGCTGCAAGAACTGGACAGCAACATGCAGAAGAATGAAACTAGATCATTTTCTCACACCATACACAAAAAATAAACTCAAAATGGATAAAGGACCTGAATGTGAGACAGGAAACCATCAAAACCCTAGAGGAGAAAGCAGGAAACAACCTCCTTGACCTCCACCACAGCAACTTCTTACTTGGCACATACCCAAAGGCAAGGGAATCAAGAGCAAAAATGAACTACTGGGATCTTATCAAGATCAAAATCTTCTGCACGGCAAAGGAAACAATTAATAAAACTAATAGGCAACTGATGGAATGGGAAAAGATAGTTGCAAATGACACATCAGATAAAGGTCTAGTATCCAAAATCTATAAGGAACTCATCAAACTCCACACCCAAAAAACAAATAATCCAGCGAAGAAATGGGCAGAAGACATGAACAGACACTTCTCCACAGAGGACATCCAGATGGCCAACAGACACATGAAATGATGCTCAGCATCCCTCATCATCAGGGAAATATAAATCAAAACCACACTGAGATACCACCTCACACTGGTCAGAGAGGCTAAAAGGAACAAATCAGGAGACTCTAGATGCTGGTGAGGATGTGGAGAAACAGGCACCCTCCTACACTGTTGGTGGGAAGGTAAACTGGTGCAGCCCCTCTGGAAAACAGTGTGGAGATTCCTCAAAAATTTAACAATAGAACTCCCTTATGACCCAGCAAAGGCACTGGTAGGAATTTACCCAAGGGATACAGGAGTGCTGATGCATAGGGGCACAGTACCCCAATGTTCATAGCAACACGCTCAACAATAGCTAAAACATGGAAAGAGCCTAAGTGTCCATCAACGGACGAATGGATCAAGAAGATGTGGTTTATCTATACCATGGAATACTACATGGCAATGAGAAACAATGCAATCTGGCCATGTGTAGCAACATGGATGGACCTTGAGGGTGTTATGCTGAGCGAAATAAGTCAGGCAGAGAAGGACAAATACCATGTTTGCACATATAGGAGGATTAGGAGGAACTTAACGGAGGACCATGGGGGAGAAGAAGGGGGGAAATGGTGGGGGAAAGGGAGAGAGGCAAACCATGAGAGACTCTTGAATGCTGAGAAACAAACTGAGGACTGATGGATGGGGGGGGGGATGGGCATGGAGGAAGGCACCTGTGGGGATGAGCACTGGGTGTTATATGGAAACCAATTTGACAATAAACTATTTGTAAAAAAAAAAAAAAAAGAAACAAAAATGAGAAATACTGGATCACTTTTCAGCAAGATTATGTTTAATTTATTAGATGAGAAATAGGTTTAGTTACATATAAATTATATAATCTCATATGGTTTTCTCCAATTTACCTGTAATAAAATATTCGGACAGTGTGGAAAAAAAAAGAATATGTGGTTCATCTATACAATGGAATACTACATGGCAATGAGAAAGAATGCAACCTGGCCATGTGTAGCAACATGGATGGAATTTGAGGGTGTTATGCTGAGCGAAATAAGTCAGGCAGAGAAGGACAGATACCATGTTTGCACATATAGGTGGATTAGGAGGAACTTAATGGAGGACCATGGGGGAGAAGAAGGGGAAAAATAGTTGGGGAGAGAGAGGAAGGCAAACCATGCTAGACTCTTGAATGCTGAGAACAAACTGGGGGCTGATTAGGGTGAGGGAGAGGGAAAGGGGGATGATGGGCTTGGGGGAGGTTACTTGTGGATGAGCACTGGGTGTTATATGGAAACCAGCTTGACAATAAACTATTTAAGGAAAAAAAGAATAAAAAAAAAAACCCCACAAAAAACCTATACCCAGACTATGCTGGATGCAGGGTGTAAAGAGTCCTGAAGCTGGAGAATCTGCTTGGTGAACTGTATTCTCACACACGGAGGGAAACCTTAGTGTTCACTAGAAGGAATGCCTCGCACCTTGTTTGCTGCTTCAGGGTTAGTGACTGAGACGGTTAATGGAGGACTGGAAGACTTTATGACCACCATTCCTAAGGCTTCAGAGCCATGAACTTAGTTGACAACAGTAAGAGGTAGGAAGGGTAATGGCCTCTCAGGGTACTGGCTTCTCTAGCATCCCGAGAGGCCCCTCAGAAACCTGTAATACCAAAGGATGTCTCTCCTAGTCACCAGGGCAATACAAGGATTCTACCAAACACTGACAATTTCAGGTCCAAAGCACTAGGTATTAGAGAAGCTGCTGAAAGAAAGGGAACTAAAATCTATCTCACCTAGGGGCTGCAATTCCCTTCTTGCATGCAATCTGAACGCAAATGGTGGCAGAAATCTGATCTGCGTGGCCTGAATACCAGAGACCCCAAATGTTTCAATATTTATTGAATATTGAATAGCTTGCCCTTGCTGAGCATTTCCAAGATCTATGCTTCTGTGCACTTATCATGATGAGCACTGAGTAATGTACAGAAATGCTGAATCATTATATTGTACACCTGTAACTAATATAACACTGTATGTTAACTATATTGGGATTAAAATAAAAAAATAAAAAATGATCTATGCTTCTGAGTTGGCAACATTTGGACTGGCACATGAAGAGCATAGAAGATCTTACTGGCATCAGTTCTTAAGCTAGGAAAAACTCTTAGAGCCTTTATACTCCTTTTGACTTTAATTCTCAAAAATCGGAATGTGCGTGTGTGTTACTGGGGTCTTGTTTCTCAGCCTAACTTTCCCTGAAAAGGGCTCTGTGCACATATGTGGCATTATCCACCTGAGGCATTACATTAAATATATGTAAAGGTCTCTTCAGTATGAATTAACATTCGTAAAACCTGGGGAAAGTTACTAGTCTTATCACTTTTTATTTGGCTATGCAATATGTGGAAGGGAAAAACAGGGAGAAAAGACCTACCCAAATTCTGCCACATGCTGAACAGTTCATAAGCCATCATCACACGCATGTCCCCATACCTGGAAATAATAACACAGGATCCAGCTTTCAGTGGGAGAAATTTCAGGAAGGCAGGGCTATAAACCCAATAAAGCTAGCACGTCAGCATTGTCTCTAATGCTTCCCCCAGCACTACCTCATTTGGCTCTCAACTGAACTCTCATATTTGGCTCTTTGGAAAGCTACCCAGTGAGAACCTTGTGGACTTCTGAGGAAGCTCTCATAGAAACATAACCCCATCTGGGTGTGTGGTAAGTAGGTGAATAAGAGACATATGTCTTACTTATCTAGAATCTTCTTCCTCTTGGCTGAAGTGATGATTTCTAGCTGAAGGCTTGGCTGATTTATGAACAGAACTGCCAGGCTAAAATAAGAATTCCACACCTAGAGAGACAGAGAAAGAGAAAACTTGTGACAGCCTGAGTCCTTAACCTTGCAAGGAGAGATTCTAAATATATGGATATAGCACAGAATTCATTTTACAATTTTAAGATTTTGGGTTTTTTCCTTTATAAGTATCTTTACAAACAACTTTTTTTTTTCTTTCTTGACTCCTCTTAAAAGCCAACAGTGTTAATTCTGGCCTAGAAAGCCTACTCCTGGATGTCTGGTTCCCAGAACCTCCAATAGGGAGACTGTTGGGTCATATCCTAGTCATTATCAAACTTGGAAGTGGTTCAATACTATGAACATATTAATAAAGCAAAAACCTGGTGAGCCTATTCCAGCTCCCAGCCATCCATCTGGCACCTAGCTAAGTCCTTCTCAAAATCCTGACCTGAAAAATTGTGAGCAAAATAAAATGTTTGTTAATTTTAAGTAAAACAAAAACAGTAACAAAAACAATGAGCTTGTTTTTTGGCTCTCTAGTGTTATTACAAAGATAGCTATGGGTCTCAGGAATTCCTACCTTAAAGTCGAAGTCTGTCTCTGTAAAATTCTTGTGCAGTGCAGAAGACAGGTACTGGACAGTAGTGACTATAATACTGTAGTAAGGGAACAAGGCATTGGTAGAGTTAAAAGACTAACAATGGCATCTGACAGCTTAGCATCTATGACCTATGAGTAAATATTTTTAGTACAACTTGCTCTCATATAAGATGTAACTATGAAGGAAATGAATAGATGGCAAAATCTCACAGAAAACTGGTCTTGAGAAATGCCCCATAGTTGGCAGGACAGCACAGAACATCAGTGGGTTCTAGGACTGGCTCTGCCATTACCTGACCTTGGTAAAACTTCTACCTGAGCCCAAGGGTCCCTGCCTATAACAGGGGGTGGAGGGAGTTAGTTGGTTCTTCAAGATTTCTTCTAGTTCAAAGAGTGATTCTAGTATTTTGAGGACTTTTAGGTGATGAATGTTTATTATGACTACCAGAGAATGTAGAGTATAGTTTTATTATTTTACTTGATAATAAGGGTTTATAATGATTAAATCCCTACTGTTATCATATACTATTATTTTTTATCTATAAGTCATTTGTTTTCAGCCTTTAGTCTAGAATATCACTCCCAATTTTAGCCTGGGTACATACAAGGAGCAATGGGAGGCTGGCTTGCCAGAGTCAAGGGCACAGGTTAAAGTAGAGAGGAAATGAAGTGGGATAGGCAGGTAAGGGTTTGAGTAAAAAGGGCCTTAGCTGCCTGGCAAAGGAACTTATGTCTAACACTGACCACCCTGGCTTTGGTGCAGAAGAGAGGCAAGGCATAAACAGTGCATTAGAGAGACTAGTCTACCAGTACAGGAGGTAACAAATTTGAAAGGTAAAAGCCTTAAAAGAAGAGGTTGTTCCTGTAGGATGGGCTGAGGACCATGAAGTGCTCTGAGTAGAGCTAAGAGAAAGAAACAAGAGAGAGTCAAATGGAAAATCCATTATTTGAGGAAATACATGTGCAACTTTGTTTATAACCATTCTTCCGCTCTGTTCTCTATAACACATTTGCAATTTTGAAAAAAGAAAAAAGTGCCCCATAAAAGGTACAAAGTGGAAAGACCATACTGACACTTTGTGAATATTTAACGTAAATAATGTCACTATATTACATGTAATGCCAACATAAAAAGCAGATCAGTGGGAGAAGGCAGAGAGCTAGAAAGTAGAAACCAAGTGGCCTCTTGAGTGGAGGGAAACCAGATAAGCCAGCACCTCATCACCTGCATCACTCTCCTGGTTTGCCAATTAGAAGCACAGGCTAGAAATATGAATGGAACAGGCAATCCGGGGGCAGTCTAGGAGTGAATTCTGTGGCTGGAGTCAGAAGGGTTAAAGCCTTACAGCCAGGTCTCGGGTGGGTAATTAGCACTAGCTGTGGGAGGCAAGCAATGTCTGGCAGAAAACACAAATCAAATCAAGAGGCGGGCTTGGGATACTTCCTGAAACTAGAGAGCAACAGAGGCCAGTGTCCACGAAACAGGACTTCCTCAAGAAGGAACCTTTTCTGGGTATTATTATTTGGAATACCCAGAATGGAAATATACGTCCATTATATTTCTTTTCTACCTGTACCATGGCATCATCTGCCAAGCACTTAGGACTCCATTTTGAACTATCTTTAATGCTTTCTTCTTGAACTTATGGTAAATGGTTAAGTCCTGTTGATTGTGGCTCCAAACATTTTTAACATTAACCCTGTCCTCTCTGTCCCCAAGGCCTTGGCAATTAACTCTGTCTTGCTTTCTCTCTGCCTCTCTCTCACACACACACTCTCCTTAGTCTGAGAATAGCTCTGTTGATGCTGGTGCAGGGTGCAGGGCCCTTCCACACTCACTTGCTTGTAAGAAGTCTCATCACCATCCAGTCCCGAGGGAAGACACTCATCTTCATCAGGTTCCGGAACACACAGAAAATCTTCAGCAGGAATTCCTGATCCAGGAGGAAAATCTGATGTGAGATACCACCACTACCACTACAGCATACATTTCCTCAACAGAGCTCTCCTGACCTCTAGACCATGAGAACGGATGAAACTAGTGGGTTATATTCCGATTCCCTTTATGAGTTACTTCTCTTTTAAAGGTCTGCCTGAGAGTGAGATGTAGGCCAGATGGGAGCAGACCCAAACTGGGTAGAACAGATGCAGTTCTGTACCCACGGAGCCTAGTGCCTAAAGCCCAAAGTATAGGGAAAGTTACAACCCATCAGAACTGGTGTCCAACTGGGTCTGTGGGTCTCATTCTTTGGGCCCTGGCCCTTGATGGTAAGAATCTGCTTTCTTGGATGTGAAGAACACATTGACAGCAAAAGCACTTTGGGAATGGCAGAATAAAGACCTCCAAAAATGTGCTCCTATATGAAAGCAATGAGAACACTGGCAAAGACAGGTTAAGCAAGGATTTGCAACAACCCAAGGAGTGTTATTCAAGAAAAAATGGTTGAATCTCAGTAGGAACAGTGGGCTTTGTTGCATTTTAATTTGTCCCATTCCCATCCCCTTCCTCTCCCTCCCTCTATGGTATCCTTGAAAACAAGCAACTGCACAACCACAGTAGTAGTGAAAACCAGCAGCTTAGCAGTCACTAGAAGGGACAAAATGGTTCTGGAGCTCCCCCAAAAGTGCCATCCCCAGAAAATTATTAACTTTTCTATCTGTCTGGCAGCAACCTAGGAAGTCCCCATTCAGAGAGCTTATTTGATCTGATTCAGAGCTTACTGAGTAAGAAGAGCTTTTTACTTGGGGGCATTTAATGGGGAAAAAAACAGCCATAATGATTTAACATCCCAGTTGCACAAAGAAGCCATATCAGAGCACGTAAGAAAATTGCCAGAAGAGTTAAAAGAAAAATCTGGGGAATGAGATATATATAGGGACTTTGAAAATCTCTGACATATACTTGGGAATCTGGAAGTCTGCACACATGTTCAGGGTTGTACATATTCCCAGGAAAGACTGAAGAAGCTTAATCTCTCACCCTGGCTAACTTTTTGGCTCTATGAGAAGTAGGAAGTGAAAGCTAAGGCAATAATGTAAACTGCTGGAGCACTGAAGGTGAATCCCAATACACACATATAGATGCTTAGCAAAGTATCGAAGACTTACGGGCTTAAGGCATTTAAGAAAATCTCTGTCCAGATGTTAGCTGACCACTAAGGTAACTGAATGAAGACCTCAGTGGCTGCACACAACAAGCATACAGACATGAAAGAATTAGTCCAGGAAAGTCACTAAACAAGCAAGCAAACAAATATCAATAACAACAAAACAACAAAAAGCAATAACAACAAACTCTGGGATGTGGGGTGGGGGTGAGATCTGATTTCCAGAGTTGCCACGTTATTTAAATTGTCCAGTTTTTAACAAAAAAAAAAATTACAAGATGTGAAATTAAACATGAACATATGACCCATACACAGGAAAAAGAAGTTAAGAGAAACTTTACCTGAGGTAGCTCAAATATTGAACTTACTAGGAAAAGACTTTAAATCAGCTGTTATAAATACCCTCGAATAACTAAAGGAAACCATGTCTAAAGAATTAAAGGAAAGTACAAGGACAATATCTCACCAAATAGAGAATATCAATAAAATAGATAGAAATTATTTAAAAAGCAGTAAACAGAAATTTTAGAGTTTAATAGTACCATACCTAAAATGTAAATTTTGCTAGAGAAGCTCAACAGTGGATTTGAACTGACAGAAGAAAGAACCAGCAAACTTAAAAGAGAGGTCAACTGAGATTATCCAGAATAAAAGAAAAAAAATGAAGAAACACAAATAAAGCATGTGACCTGTGGGACACCACAAATTGTAAAAACATACAAATAATGGAGTCAGAAAGAGAGGAGAGAAAAAGAGGAGGAGATGTTGAAGAAATTTTTGAAGTAATATTGGTTAAAAACTTCCCAAAGATCATGAAAAAAAAGCCCCCAAACTCTCTAATCTACACATCCAAACAGCTCAATGAGCTACAGATAGGGTAAAACCAAAGAAATCTACATACAGACATAGTCAAACTGCCAAATGCCCAGAGCAAAGAGAGAATCTTGAAAGCAACATGAGAAAAACAATTTATCATGTACAAATGATTTTCAATAATAGGTAACTTACCAGCAGATATGATAGAGGCCAGAAGGCACTGGAATGACATATTTAAAGACTGAAATAACATCAACCAAGAATCCTAAATCTAGCAAGACTATCATTCAAAACTGAAGATGAAATTAAGATGTTCTTAGAATAAAAAAACAAACTGTGAGAATTTGTTATTAGTAAACCTGCCCTAAGAGAAATACTAATGGGAGTCTTACAGACTTAAAAAAAAGTAACTTCAATCCATATTAAGAAATAAAAAGCACTAGGAAAGGTGATTATATAGGTAAATATACAAGACAGTATATATGTAAATTCATAACTCTTTTCCTATTTGATTTATAAGGCAACTGCATAAAGCAATATTTATAAAACTATGTTGATGAGATTATAATATATAAATATGTAATTTATATGACAATAACAGCACAAAAAGGGGAAAGGACTGGAGCTTTATTGGAGGAAGGTTTTGTATACTATAAAATGAATTTGGTAGATTGTTTTAAGATGTTAATTGTAATTCCCAGGGCAATCACTAAGAAAATAATTTTAAAAATATACTGAAAGAAATAATGAAGGAATTAAAATGGAACACTAAAAGTATTTATTTAACATAAAAGAAGGCAGAAAGAGAGGAAAAGAGGAACAAAGAAGATATAAGACAGATATGAAACAAATAGCAAAATGGCATATGCACTCCTAACTTATTGGTAATTACACTTAAAAAAAAGAAATCTATAATAGAAGGACATTTGAGAAAGTAAAATATATGTGTATTACAGGGTGCATGCGTGGCTCAGTTCTTGATTTCCACTCAGGTCATGATCTCATGGGGTGGTGAGTTTGAGCCCCACATTGGGCTCTGTGCTGACAGTGTTAAGCCTGCTTGGGATTCTCTCTCTACCCCTCCCCTCTGCTTCTATGCTCACTTGCTCTGTCTCTCTTTCTCTCTCTCAAAATAAATACATTTCAAAAAAAGTGAATTAAACAATAAACTCTCAAATAACCAATAGGTTAAAGAAGAAAGCACAGGTAAAACTAGGAATACTTTGAGATGAATAAAAATAAAAACATCAAATCAAAACTTATGGGATGAAGCTATAACTTATAGTTGTAGTGCCTACATTAAAAAGAGGTAAGATCTTGGGGTGCCTGGGTGGCTCAGTTGGTTGAGTAGCTGACTTTGGCTTGGGTCATGACCTGATACAGTTCATGAATCTGAACCCCACATTGGCTGGCTGATGTCAGCACAGAGCCTGCTTCAGATCCTCTGTCCCCCTCTCTCTGCCTCTCTCCCACTCATGCTCATTCTCTCCTTCTCTCAAAAATAAATGATAAAATAAAATAAAATAAAATAAAAAGAGTTAAGGTCTCAAATCAAAACCCACCTTACACCTTAAGAAACTAGAGAAAGAAGAGCAAACTAAACAAAGGAAATAGAAGGAAGGGAATAATAAGTGAAATAGAGACAGAATAGAAAAAAAGAGCAAAAAATGAAACCAAAAGTTAATTCTTTGAAAAGATCAACAAAATTTACAAACCAGGAAAAAAAAAAGAGAGAAAGAAGACTCAATTACTAAAATTAGGGATGAAAGAAGGGACATCATTACCAATGTCATAGAACTAAGAAGGATTATAAGGTACTACTATAAACAAATGTACACCAACAAATTATATAACCTAGATGAAACGGGAATATTTTTAGAAAGATACAAACAACCAAAATTCATTTAAATTGAAACAAAATCTGAATAGACCTATCATAAATGAAGAGATGAAATTAATAATTTAAAAGCTTCATGCTAAGAAAAGTGCATGACCAGATGGCTTCATTGGTGAATTCCATCATACATTTAAACTAGAATTAATATTTGTCTTTTGGATTATATCCACTCTCAATATGAAGTGGTATCTTATTGTGGTTTTTTTTTTTTTAATATTTTTATTTATTCCTAGGAGAGAGAGAGAGAGCGTGAGCAGGGGAGGGTCAGAGAGAGAGGGAGACACAGACTCCGAAATAGGCTCCAGGCTCTGAGCTGGCAGTCAGCACAGAGCCCGACGCGGGGCTCGAACCCACGCACCGCGAGATCATGACCTAAGCGAAAGTCAGACGCTTAACCGACTAAGCCACCCAGGCGCCCCTCTTATTGTGGTTTTGATTTGCATTTCCCTAATGGCTAATGATGCTGAACGTCTTTTCATGTGTGTATTGGCAATTTATGTATCTTCTTTGAGAAAATGGCTATTCAAATACTTTGCCCATTTTGAAATCAAGTTGCCTTTTTATTCTTGAGTTCTGAGAGTTCTATATATATTTTACATGCAAGTTCTTTAATAGATACATGATTTGTCAATACCTTCTTCCATTCTGTGGGTTGTCTTTCACTTTCTTCTTGGCATCTTTGAAATACTTGCTTTTTTAAAAAATACATTAAGTTTTTAATTTTGATGAAGTCTAACATCTGTTTTTTTCTTTTGTTGCTTGCTTTTGGTTTCATAACTAAGAAATCACTGCTAAACTGAAGGACACAAAGATATGCTATGTTTCCTTCTAAGAGGTTTATAGTTTAGCTCTTACATTAAGGTCTCTGATCCCTTTCCTGTTGATTAAAAAATTTTTTTAATGCTTATTTATTTTTGAGAGAGAGAGAGAGAGAGGCAGCATGAGCAGGGGAGGGTCAGAGAGAGAGGGAGATACAGAATTTGAAGCAGGCTCCAGGCTCTGAGCTAGCTGTCAGCACAGAGCCTGATGTGGGGCTCGAACCCACAAACTGGGAGATCATGACCTGAGCTGAAGTCTGATGCTTAGCCGACTGAACCACCCAGGTGCCCCAATTTTTTTTAAATATGATATGAGGTAAAGGTACAATTTCTCTCTCTCTCTCTCTTTTTGCACAGAGGTATCAAATTGTCCCAGCGCCATTTGCTGAAAAGACTGCTTTACTCTTTGAATTATCTTGGCAATATTACTGAAAATCAAATGACCATAAATATAAAGGTTTATTTCTAGTCTCTCAATCCAATTCCATTGATCTTTATTTCTGTCTTTATGTCAGTACCAATTCTGATTACTGTTATTTTGTTATAAATTTTGAAACTGGGAAGTATGAATCCTTCAATTCTGTTTTCTTTTTTAAGACCATTTGGCTATTCTGAGTCACTTTCATTCCCCTATGAATTACAGATCAGACTGTCTACATCTGCAAAATGGCAGCTGAAACTTGGAGAGGTCTCGTATCAAACCTGTAGATCACTTTGTGAAGTAGTGTCTTAATAATAATTAGGTGTTCCAATCTATGAACATAGGGTGTCTTTTCATTTATTTAGGTTGTCTTTAACTTCTTTTCCTATTTGTTTTTATACTATTATAAATGGAACTGTTCTCTTAATTTCATTTTTGAATTGTTCATTACTAATGCTAAGAAATATCATTGATTTTTGTATATTAATTGTGTATCCTGCAACTTTGCTGAACTTATTACTTCTGATAGTGTTTTTTTGGATATCTTAAGATTTTCTGTATACAAAACCATGTCATTTGAGGATAGACATAGCTTTACTTCTTCCTTTCCCACCTGGGTGACTTTTATTTCTTTTTTGTGCCTAAGTGCTCCAGCTAGATCCTCCAATATAATGAATATAAGTGGTTAGAGCAGATGTCTTTCTCTTGTTCCTGACCTTAAGAGCAAAATATTCAGTCTTTTGTTATTAAGTCTGATGTTAGCTGTGGGTTTTTCATAGATACCCTTTATCAGTCTGAAGAAATTCCCTTCTATTTCTAGTTTGTTGAATGATTATATCATGAAAGGTTGGTGGATTTAAAAAAAAATTTTTTTTACATCCATTATGAAGATCCTGTTTTTGTCTTTTATTCTATTTAATGGTGTATTACATTGATTGATTAGCATCTATTTAGTCCAACCTTGAATTTCTGGGATCAATCTCACTTGATCATGGTGTATAACTTTTAATATGTTCCTGGATTCTGTTTGCTAGTATGCTGCTAAAGGTTCTGTATTTATATTTATAAGGGATGTTAGTCTATATTTGTCTTTTCTTGTGATGTCTGTTTTTGGTTTTCATGTCAGGGTACTACTGATCTCATAAAAGGAGTTGAGTTCTCTTCTATTTCTTGTAAGAGCTTGTGAAAGACTAGTATTAATTCTTCTTTAAAAATTTGGTAGAATGCACCAATTAAGCCATCTGGCCTTGGGCTTTTCTTTGTGTAAAGTTATAAATTATTAACTTGACCTTGTTAATTTGTGATGTCTTTTAAGATGGGTATAATCAGAGACACTGAAATGTACAGTTTATAAGTATAAATTTTATGGTATGCAAATTATATCTCAATAATGCTGTCATAAAAAAGAACATATGTACAGAACTCTATATTTGGTGTGGTGGACTGCATATGTTCCTTCATCTCTGTTTCAGCTCAAATTCTCTAAAATGATTGTTAAGAAATATGTATGTCAAGAGGGACAAAGAAAACAGGAAATAAGAACACAGTAATCAGAAGAGGTGAATAAATTTTGAAAGCTTTCATGGTAACTGACTTAATATACTTGAGAAAGATGACAGCCAAGAGCCTTTAGAAGTGATAGCAACAGGAAGCAAGGATCTCAGAAACTGTAGGGATCGCCAGGTACTTCTGTGGGACTGGGATATGAGGACTAAAAACGGGAAGATTGATTGACAGTCTCCCTAAGATCCCTTCTGCCATCTCATGTCCCTGGGTGACCAGGCTCTCCCCATCCTATCAGAAGACTGAGGGCTGCTCTCTGGTGTAGTTGATCACTGAGGATCTGTTCTCAAGGATACAGCAACATATGAGGGTGGAGATGCCAAAATGAAAACAGGCACTGAGACAAAGTTTACCTGCTGAACTGGAAGGCCCCAACCCCTTTGTGTTATTTAGTTCCCAAAATATTGGCAGGCTACTCCATCTCTAGGAAGGGTAAATGATTCCTCTTTCAGGAAATAGATAAATCCAAGAGAACAGACCAGTAGCTACAGGAACTAGAGGATGATCTGACCAAATGACCAGACCCTCTTTAGTCACCTACAGGGAAGCCTGCTGGAGACAAACCCTCAACACATATAGGGCTTCTAAGTAGTACCAGAGCACCTCACTTTCAGACCCAGGACTGACACCCAAAAGTCTGTGTGTGTAAGAGGAAAGTCTCTGAAATGAAAGTTAGAGACTGAAACAAATGAAAACAAGAAAAATTTCCAGGGAAAAAAAGTGACCTGACAGTATCCAACAGATAGATGTGACCTTGAGGAATGCTGGAAGGAGAGATTTATTACAGAGAGGCTGTAGGAAAGCCTAGCCAGATTTAAAAACCAAAAGAAAACAAAAAACATGCAAATGACAAAAGAAGCAATTAATTCCAGGAAAAAACAAAAAGTTTTACAAGAAAGGAAGTGTAGTAGCATAGCAGCTGGTTCACCACAGTATTTACCTAGCTATAATAAAGAAGAGTTGATTACCAATTTAAACAAAAGTGTATGCAAACTATATTGGAAGAAAGTATCCAGCTATATTGGAAGAAATAGAGAAAAGATGTGTGTGTGTGTGTGTGTGTGTGCACCCACGCGCTCGCACGTGCGTGTGTTTGAGAGAGAGAGAGAGAGAGAGAGAGAGAGAGAGAGAAGAATGATACAGGAGAATAACCTTCATCTTCCATGGGAAGAAGAAAATAGGTAATAACTGACAGTTAAAATTTTGTTTTATTTTTAATTATTTTTTTGACAGTTAAAATTTTAAATGGCAGTAGAAGCTTAAAGAACAGCAGAAGAGTTCAAAGTGGCTGCTTTTGGGGAGTAGCAACTAGACATGGGTCAGGTTGAGGCAGGGAACTACCATTTATGTTATAAGCTTTGTAATGTGTTTTGACTTTTAAGACTATGTATAATTAAAAATTTTAAAACCCACAAAGTTCTGGGTATAGTGCTTGCACATAGCAGGCTTTCAATAAATGAACGACAAATTTAAAAATAAAAAATTATGTATATACATTGCTGTTATAAAAAGACATTTAATTTATTTATTTTTTATTTTTTTTACAAATAGTTTATTGTCAAATTAGTTTCCACATAACACTCAGTGCTCATCCCCATAAGTGTCCTCCTCTATGCCCATCCCCCCTCCCCCCCACATCCATCAGTTCTCAGTTTTTGTCAGCATTCAAGAGTAAAAGACATTTAATTTAAAAGTAAGAGAATGATGCCAGCCTGAGCTTCTGAATCAGTTAGTATAACACACACATGATGAAAATGATCTAGAACAGCAAACACTGGATTTTTAAGGCTCCACATCCCAGCTCAAGCACTGCTTGACTTGGATGTGAGCTTTGGGCTCTGGCTAACTTTTGGCTCACTTCAAGGGCTGTCAAAGTCCATCACTCCAAGAAGACAGGTTGACTTTATGGCAATTAGTTAATGATAACAATCTGCAGAGATCCAAGTCTGTGGAAAGGCAGGCAAGATCAAATACTAGAAAGTGATGCCTAATACTTATTAACTGATACCATATGATTAATAAAGGTCATGTGAATGAAAAACAATATAATGCATTATTATGAAGTGCAAATGACTTGGTTCTGAATGGAGGCAGAGCATAGAACTAAAATTTGCAATAGTTTGTTCATCAAGCGATGAACTGAGTAGCACATTCTAAGGCAAAGGCATAAGCCCCAGAAGTTTGTCAGCAGTGATACCACTGGAAGCATGAGAATTCTCCCTTGTTGTCTGGATCATGGGCCCATTTCTCTGCCCTAGCTGCCCTGATGCTCTGGATCTGGAGTCTGTTAGCCAATGGGCAGTGCTCACTTTTGCTCTCTACAGGTCATTTCCAGAAATACATTGTAATGAAAAGTTATCATTATCATTATTATTATTACTATTATTATTATTATTATTATATAGTTATCAAACAGTGGAGTCTGGTCTGCTGTGGCAAAATATAAGGTGATTGTTGAGTTCATAAGAAAGGGAAGAGTTCCAGTTTGCTGACAGCTACTATGGTCTAGAGCAGCCTCTCATAGAGGGAGATGGTCACAGAGCTGCTATTAGCCAGTGAAAATTTGCCAACGTCACTGGGGTCTGGCTGTGTAAGACCATTGCTGGCTTTCAGCTTTGGGAAGCCATACACTCACAGCTGTAAAGTAGGGCTGGTGAGCCCTTCACTCTAGGCAGAGCTGGTCACTTGTACTTGCTTCCCTGGCAGGAAAAGCGCCTAGTCAGTCTTAGCTGCATGTTTCCTTTCCTGGATGAAAAGTCAGTTTTGAGGTAGATTTGCTGCCTACCTTGAGTTCATCTTTGCTCTGGAAGTTGTCCAGGAGGTGCTGGTAATGGGTGTCACACATCTGGCGGAGCAGCGAGAGAAGGCAGGACACATACTCGCCCTGGAGACCAACCGAGAAAATACTTGGTGCAACTAATCACAAGATCTGTGTTTCCCCAATCCACAGAGGGCAAGGAGAGAAGGAAGGGTCTGAGATGGCCCCAATGATCATGAAAGGGAAGGGGAGAACTCTGGCCCTGAAAATGAGTTTTCCTTTCTGCAAAGTTTTCTTTTCTGAAGGGGTTGGAAGTTTTAATAAGACCTCTGCAGGATGGGACTAATGAAAAAACCTTAATATATCACAAAGAAATATTGCAAAGTAAGACATAAAGTCTGGGATTTTTTCCCTCAGAAATTTTTGGCTATGCGATCCTTTGTCACTATATATTGCCAGGCCACTGTACTGAAATATAACGGGATTATTCAGCCTTCTCTGGAAAGAATATGGGCTCCTCCCATCTTGCTCTGAGATGGACAGCCCTTCTCCAAGAATCTTCTGGGGACCTCCTAGAGTTTACATGTGGTTACTGGACCAGGAAGATGGAACATAGTAGGTTGACATACTGGAAAGTAGAGGAGTCAAAACTGACCTTTATGAGAAGGCAAATTATGGGCTTTAAGATAAGTAAAAATTAATGGATAAAAAAATGAGTCTTTAAAATTCCTTCAAGTTCCAACTGGGGTAACATGGAAGAAGACCTTATTTTAAGGACTCCAAGAGTTACTATCTTTTGGCAATTTTTGGCATGGGGCAGCTGACCCAATGTTTTTAAACTCATGGAGATTTGACAACAATATGTTTGGCTCTCAAGTAATTTCTAGACACATGAAATTATTCTACATATGTATATGTGTAGAATATATACATGTATATGAACCTCAGTTTTATTAAAAAAATGGGCATAATAAGCTATAATTCCTAGATTTAGTACAAGGATCAGAGAAATGAATGCACATAAAGCTTTTCAGTGAAAAAGTCCAGTATGTAAAGGAAGTACTCAGTAAATTATGCAGTTATTATCATTTTCATTAAATCTATGTAATTTAGTGTTGCTACATGAGTTAATATTTGTAAAGTGCATAAAGCAGGGTTAGGCCCACAGCAAGTAATGTGTAGTTGTTGGTCAGAAGGATGGGTTACCAGGACATACCAGGGTACACGTTTTTACCTATAGTGAGAGTGCCCTCAACAGGAGCTCCCAAGGGAACACTCTTTCCAAGCCCAGTGCTTCAGAACGCATACCTGCTCTATGCTCCCCTGCCCTCCCTAGCATATTGGGGCTTGGCTTCTTCCTACAGAGGATCTGCTTCAAAGAAACCACTGCAGTCTCCTACCTGCCAAATGGAAGAGTCTGTGCAATCTGTTTATGTGTTCTCCCATCAGGGTAAGGAAGTCCACTCTAGGTATAGAAGTGGGGACTGTCTCTCTGTCCCTCCTGAAAGGATTCCCCAGGCCATTTCTCTTCTAACTGTCCAGTAATGCCAGTGCAATTCTAACTCATCATATTTTTCCTGATGCTAGACATTCAGATACAAATATTGTGGACAAAAACAACTACTTTGTAAATACAACCAAATTCTAAGAAAATTATTCTGTTGTGCACATCATTTAGGAGAGCCTGCTCCTAGAAGGAATAGTCTATTTTCCCCCTTCAATCTCTTACTGCATCTCTGCTTCATTCTATAGAATAGGAAATGAGTTGGCACAAAGGCCAAGGCCAACAGTGACAGTGTGCAGGAAAGCAAGACAGGGTGCATCCCCCACATCTGTCCTAGAGTAGACTTCTGGGACTACAAACCTAGACCTTTCAGAGTGGAGGTAGGAGCCAGATGTGAGAAGGGAAGAAGGCAGCATGCTGACAACCATGCAGGGGGTTGGAGATGAAGGTGGCGCTATGAGGAGGTGGGTGTTGGTGTGGAGGAGCCCCAGGTTAGAAAAAAGCAAGAAAACCTGAATGTTAGTTACTAACAGTGATCTCGGCTGTGCACTGCGGGCACCGCTGCCCTCTTACCGCCTCCTGAGCGTGCGATTTGCTCATGATGGTGAGCAGAGTCTGCAAGAGCACGTCCAGGAGGCTCTCCACCATCATTTCTACCTCCTCCATGACATCTGCCTCCTGGAGCGAACAGTGAGAGAGCACACTGTTAGCACCAACCTGGCTGACGTGCAGCTGGCAGCACTCACAAAGCGTGCAGCATCGGGAGCGGTCTTCTGGCTGGACTCTCAACACTGAGTTCTTGGCCTCACTAGCATGAGGTGTCAAGGAACCTGGGACAACAGCTCTGAGAGAAGGTGAGGCAAACCTGCCTCTGTTGCCCTGGTAGCTGGGTCCTTTGCCTAACCTAGCACCACTTGACACCCACAGTTCTGAACCTCAGGTAGATACGTTAATTTCAGCATACAAGGCAGAAGCAAAGGTCAGAAAGTACCGGTTTACTTTGATTTCCCTAGAATAGTCAGGAGAAAGCACAACACTGACGAGTAACACTTCGAGAAAATGGTAAAGTATTCATGCCACAGAGCGTGGTGTTGGCACCTTCAGGACTGCTAACACACACTTGAATTCACATAGAAGTATTTCAGTATTTAAAAGGACTGTTTTCTTCTCAGGGCTTTCTCCTTAAGCAATCTCAAGCTTTGCTGGCCCCAACTGTTGCTCAGATTTATCTAAATCTCTCTTCGAAGTTCTCAGCATTCTTGCTCATATTCCTGGGCCACCTGAAGGACTGTGGTATCAGTGTGTCTTTCTCAGGCAGCCTCACAAAAACAATGGAGCACGCCTCCCCACTAAGGGCTGCTTCTCAGCCACCACACTCCGGATTTAGGAAGAGTCTATGCTGTCCTTTTGTAGACCTCTCATGTTGAATCTCAATCTTGTAGCCTGATTTTATTTATCTCACAGAGATTTCCACTCCCCCTTCTCCAGCCTCTTTTTATTATTACTGGTACAAATGTCCATCTGTCCATCCATCCACCAATCCATTATGCATTAAGCAGTTACCATATGCCACTCACTGTGAACCTGAGTATATACAGGTGAACAAGAAAGATATTATCTCTATGCTCATGGAGCTTAAATTCTACCCCCAACCCATTCATTCAATATAATTATACTGTGCCCCATTCCACATGAAGAATTAGAGCAGCTCTTGGAGCTCAAGTCGTCTTTCTCTTCTGCTGAAGTGATCATAACACTGTCACCTATGATGCCTCTCTGACTAGTTGTAAGCAACTAATTGCACTTGACTCTCTAGCCCCACAAATACGACCAGACCATCTCCTTCAAGTTTTTACCTGTTCCCATTCATCCTCCATTCCTCTCCTTCCCTTTATTTTCCCTTTCAATTTCTCTCTTTTATTTAGCAATAAGTCTCCCACTTCCTCAAGTCTGACCTTGGGCTGCTAATAGACCTTATGTGCTTGGTGTTGCCTCACTGAGGCCTGGTGGGAAGGAGAGTTGCCAAGCCTTGACTGGAGCCAAGAGTAAACAATAGGGCCACTACAAGCACCATAGGCACTCTGCCAAGCAGGGCCCCTGTCACCAGATGGTACTTTAAGTCTGGACACCAGAGCACCCTATTGAGGCCCTGTGTCTTACTCAAACCAACCACATTCTTTTTCTTTTTTTTCAGGACCTCTAGTGTTCCACATGGATAGCCTAACCTTTTACCTCCTTATCACCTGGTTACTGGCCTTTATTTTTTATTTATTTATTTATTTATTTTTTACAAATAGTTTATTGTCAAATTAGTTTCCACATAACACTCAGTGCTCATCCCCACAAGTGTCCTCCTCCATGCCCATCCCCCACTCCCCCCCACATCCATCAGTCCTCAGTTTTTGTCAGCATTCAAGAGTCTCTCATGGTTTGCCTCTCTCCCTTTCCCCCACCATTTCCGCCCTTCTTCTCCCCCTTGTTCCTCCGTCAAGTTCCTCCTAATCCTCCTATACGTGCAAACATATGATATTTGTCCTTCTCTGCCTGACTTATTTCGCTCAGCATAACACCCTCAAGGTCCATCCATGTTGCTACACATTACTGGCCTTTATTTTATTTTATTTTTATAGAAGAATCTCTAAGTAACTTTACTCTAAGAAAATACACAGAAAACAGTAACCATAAATGAAAGGACATACATTCTGTTGCATTAGAAGTAATTATTCTTTTTATCAAAAGAAATAACAGCAAAAGTGAAAACACAGCCACAAAATGGGACAAGATTTTGGACATGGTTATAACTGACCAAAAAAAAAAAAAAAAAAAAAAAGTCATCTAGAACACTGGCCTTCATTTTAAATGCAGCTGTAATTTTATTCTCCAGAAACCTCATCTCATCTGAAGATGTAATAAAAAACTCATCCTTGTTCTTAATTTCTTTCTTTATACTTTCCTTTAGTTTACAAATTTTCTCTAAGAAATAAGCATTTTCCTATTACCATAAATATATAAAATAAATGTCATTAAAAAAAATTCCAACCCTTACACATGCCTGATACATGTTTTTCCTTCCTTCCTTCCCTTCCCACCACAGATCTCTTTGTAAAAGAAAAAGTAAAGAGGAAAGAAAATAGGCAAAAGCAGTACCAGTTGAAACTTCATCTTTAAAGTCCAATTCTATCATCCCATGAGGCTCAGAGCTCTTGGGGGCAACAATTTTCTCTTGTATGTCCTGACCTTATCTGGCATGGTATGGAATGCCATATGGGTGGAATCAAGCTGCCAGGAAGCTGACAGAAAAGTCTGAAGGAGCAAGCTGCCTCTCAACCTGGGCCTGCCTCCCTATGCTTGTGCCTTAGTGTCCTCAGAACACTCCCAGGAACATAGGATTAATACCTTTTGATAAAAACAGAACACGGCACAGGATTCAGCTTTCTGGTGTTAAAGAGAACTACATTTCAGGAATGCAACTTTTTCAAATAGCAAAACTATGTTGTATTGAGAAGCCTGCTGGGCATACATAGGCCTCTGCTCACTTGGACGCCTTCCTGTCACTGATGAAAGCTTCTTTGACTGAGAAGTGCACAAAGTGATCTTTGTTAGTTTGCCTCTAGTTAAAATAATGCAAGACTGGGGCAGAGCTGAGGGGAGATGGAGTGGGCATGGGGCCACTACCAGAGAGCTGGTCTTGACGATGGAGAAGATGCTGCCAAGAATCCCTGAGCAGATCAGCAGCTCTTTCTGCTGCCTCAGGTGAAGGTGAATGTGATGGAGAACCACAGGAAGCAGGATGCGGCGAGATTCTGGGAGAGAAAACACAAAGGTGAAGAAGCCCTTTAGAGAACTAGCTACTTCTGGAAGCCAGTGACACTGTGAGACTTAACTGGTCTTAAAGCAAGTGGGGCTGAAACTGGTGCCATGATGGAGGTCACTCCCTTCCCTTATGAGGGCCTATAAGCCCACTTTCTGGACATCGTAAGACATCCCACAGCATTATCCTTCCATTTCTCTTTCCTTCTTTCTCATTTTAAGCCTCAGTATTTTGTGCAGGATGAATGTTAGGAAGGTGCTCCCAAACGAAATCTCTTTAACGACTAGATTCCAAAAAGCATAGCTTAAACTGAAAATTCCATTTAACTGACAGACCTACTTCTATTAACTACACTGAATGAACCTGCAGACCTGCTATAGATTATAAATGGTTGCTCTTTATGATGGTCTGGCTAGGTGGCCTGGCACTCCCCCTCCCCCATGAGCATTTACTTTGTGGCAGCCATTAGGCCTACCTCCTTTTCCCCCTCAGGCTTAGTGGACAAGCTTGGAGTGTCCACAGCAATGAATGGAATAGTAGTAGGACTTTGTCTTGTCACAAGCCTTTGATAGTTAGCTAACCCTTACTGCCAATCCTAACTTTTCTCCTCTGTGTTGACTAAACAACACTATCGGGAGATGACTACATTCAGAACCCTGTCGGGGGCATCTGGGTGGCTCAGTTGGTTAAGTGTCTGACCCTTGGTTTCGGCTCAGGTAATGATCTCACAGTTCAAGAGATTGAGCCCTACATCAGGCTCTATGCTGACAGCCAGCAGTCTGCTTGGGATTCTCTCTCTCCCTCTCTCTCTGCCTCTCCTCCATGAGTGTATACACACACATACTCTCTCTCTCTCTCTCAAAATAAATAAATAAACTAAAAAAAAAAAAAAAACCCTGTCAGGAAGGCTGAATCCTTGTTCAAGATCTCTTATTAATTCACCCTAAGACCTCAGGCAGGTTGATTCCTCCAAAGGGCTTGATTTTTCCTATCTGTACAATGAGGTGCTAATGGCCTCTTCTGAATTTACTTCACAGGTGTAGTGAGAAGACAAAGTGAAATGCAAGTGTGAACATGTTTTTGGCACTCTGCACTCCTATGTGGTCAGTGACTGTGTGACTCTACAGGTACCTTCATACCTGACCAGCAGGATTTAGTCAGATTATCAGTAATATAAACACACCAGGGCATTTTGGATTTATTGTTCACATTTGACCATAATTACATGTTTCAGATAAATTCAGAAAGAAAATATGTTTTTTAGCCAAAGACAAATTACATGACATATAAGAGATTTGGGGGCTGTCTTGTCAAATACTTAGAATATAAAGTGGAATGTCAGCTATTCTATGTTTAAAAGGATGTATAGACAAAAGAGAAATTCACAATACATTTTGCAGACCAAAATTATACCACCATAGCAGGATTTCTGTATCAACCAATAACTATCTACAGAGAAAATAGTAGCTTATTACCGGAACCGGATGCAAAGACCAAACTGATGTGCTCTGAGAATGTAAGTGTTGCTTAAAAGACACCACATTCCTGCTTCAAGGAAGATGCTGCAAGTCAAGGATTCAATGAAATTGAGATGCAAATGAAAATTTGGGGGTGGCTTGTCATCTCAAAATCCAACTACATAGTTCCACTGCCACATAAAGTTTAAGAACAATTTTTCTTAAGTGATTATGGAAAGCAAGTACATGCAAAAATATTAGAAATAAGGGATGTCAGTGAGGGCAGTCTGCTGTCCCTCTTCCCATATATTCAGAAAGCATCTTCTTTAAGCAGTGCACAAAGCTTGAATGTGTGAAGTGGCCTCAGTGTAATGTGTTCAAACCAGTGATAAAATCTTCAGTCTAGAACAGGTGGAGAGAAGTGTTTATCATAAATAGCTACTGGTAGAGAAAAGCTGACTCTCTTGGCAGCTTTGCCACCAATAATACCCTACACTGGCAGAGTTAAGTTAAAAGGAACATTTATTTAGTATTGCAACTGGGTGTAGCACTTGGTTGAAAAATTACTGTACTTATACTTTAAAAGTCAAACTTAAAAATTTTTACTACCAAAATTCTAGTTATAAAAACTCTAACAATAATTGTTTTGCTACCACTTCAGATTTATTCCTGTGCCCTAGAAATTTATTTATTTTTTTTTTCAAAATTTTTTTTTTAATGTTTTTTATATTTATTTCTAGGAGAGAGAGACAGAGACAGCGTGAGCAGGGGAGGGTCAGAGAGAGAGGGAGTCACAGATTGAAACAGGCCCCAGGCTCTGAGCCGGCAGTCAGCACAGAGCCCAACGCGGGGCTCGAACCCACGAACCGCGAGATCATGACCTAAGCGAAAGTCGGACGCTTAACCGACTAAGCCACCCAGGCGCCCCTCCTGTGCCCTAGAAATTTATTCTATGATTGTGACATTCCATTTAAAGGATCAGGCTCATATTGATCTTAACGTCTGGCCACTGAGTATTTGGTACCACTGCCAGGAGGATCATTCTGAATGTGGTTTCAGGTATGAATCTGGAGGTTCTTTCTGAAAGGCAATCTGGGATGTTGACTATTTGTTAGGCTGTCTTGACCTCTTGGGGAGTGTGGAGGGCTCACCGTCCATCTCTTTGTCTAGTCCTTATAGGCTCTTTCAAAGACAGGAAAGGAATCTATCTGACTGATGAAATAAGGAACAAAGAAAACACAGCTGGTCCTCAGAGCCCCCTTTCAGGATCTGCTTTATTTCCTTAACTTATTCTTATCCCCTTTGGCTACACTCTTCTCTCTTGTTCCCCCTCTTTTCCCTCTGATTTCCCATCTTTCTGGGTGTGGAGGTGACAGGCCCTACTCTTGGCAGCTGGCTAGACTTGCAGGCCTGGAAGTTGCTCTGCAGGCCACCTCAAGGGCATGTCCAAGGGTGTGGGTCCTTAGGGATAAATCATGAGTTAAGCAGTAGGCCTAGGTCTTGGCTGTATTACCTAATAGAGTTTACCCAAAACTCTGCATTTTTAGGGCCATAGGATTCTTGCATGATATTTGATAAAACCGATCCTTTGATTACCACTTGACAACACCCTGGAAAGGAGGAAAGATGAGTCTGATTCTCATCCCAACTTAACTTACCTGAGAAAGAAAACAGGCGGCTATCCACGGTCCTGGCGATGGACTGCAGCTTCACCACATCCATTGACTGCCCAATGTGCACAGTGCTGGGCATGCTCCCCAGAGTCCCTCTTACAAATTCTGCCACCTCCTGCACGGTGAACATTTGCAGCAGTTCATCAAAGATGGTTGGGAAGGAATTGAGGAGTGCAGCCTGAAGAAGCAAGTGAAGCTGTGGTTAGCAGAGTTTGGTGTCTGTCTTTCTCACATGCTCAGACAATAATAACATAAGAGGTTGAAAAGGCATTGCAGCACTCCTGCCTCATGTGAGCTTCTTCCTTGTCTTTGACTCCACACATTCCTACAGCACCTTTGGGGCATAGAACAGGGAGGAGTAGGGACGCCTGGGTGGCTCAGTTGGTTGAGCGTCTGACTTCTGCTCAGGTCATGATCTCATGGTTCATGGGTTCGAGCCCCGTGTCAGGCTCTGTGCTGACAGCTAGCTCAGAGCCTGGAGCTTGTTTTAGATTCTGTGTCTCCCTCTCTCTCAGAAATAAGTAAAACATTAAAAAAATTAAGAAAAAAAAGAACAGGGAGGAGTAAAAAGGAAACCAAAACAAGAAAATTTGCTGGGGCCCAGGCCACTTGAAACTTTCATAACTTGCCAACATATCTGCTGACAAGAGAAGGGAATATAAAAAGAAATCAGCTCAATATGGTTTAATAGCCATAGCTGTTTTGCTAACAAAATGGATTTAATTTTTTTGTCTGTCTCTATGATCAAACTCTTGACTTTCTAATTTTGGTCTCAAATTCAAGCCAGGAACCTCTCAAAGAAAATATAGCAGAGAGAGCTGGGCACCACCAAGCAGCATGAGCTGAACTCCGTTCACAGCCCTGTAGGCAGCAATCCAGCTCTAAGAGCTGGACCATTTTCCCCAGGATGGAGACATTTATCTGAAACCATGCAATATGAAGACTTTATAAATTATGCGCTTCATCTGTGATGCCTGGAAGTCTCAAGTATAAATCCAAAAGGTGGAGATTGTATGGATTTAGTAACCTATGAATTCTTGAGGACTAATGATTATGTTGGCATAGAGTGCAGCAACCTAGATGGCCCTGGGCACAGGTAGGAGTCTGTGTGTTTGGAGACTTCTCTTCATGGATCTTGACTCTGGTAGACCCATGAGGTGGATTCCTCAGGATAACCTGATTAATAGTTCCAGAGCCTTTCAGAGGCACAGTAGTATAGGAGAAAGAGAATGGCTTTTGGAATTAGACAGACATGAGTTCAAATCTCAACTTTACTACTTATCTGTCACATCATCTTGGGTAAGTTACTGCCTAATCCTCAGTTTTCTTATCTATAAAATAAAGATGATGCTATCACTTATCTCCTGGTATTGGTATGAAAAAAATTAGGTGCATGAAGTTAGTTTCCAGTTAGAGTGTCTGGCACATCATTGGCTTTCAATAGATGCTGGTCCTCATTCTCTCTTTTCTACATGGAAGCAACATGAAGAAGGCTTTTCTACTTCTGAGTCCTCTTACATTATTAATCCAGAATTCACAAAGCAGAATGAAATGTCACTTTGAGATGAGAAGATGAGAGTGTACTTTTCCTGTGTGGCAGGTAGTGAATGGGAGGCTGTTTTCCTTGACTGCTTCATCAAGCAGTAGAGACTGGCCTAGAGTGAGTAAAAATGTATTCAATGGGGAAGCACATCTGTCATACTACAGTCTATGTTCAGGCCAGGCCCAAGAATATAACTTACATGAATCCTATCTATAGATTTATAACTCCCTGGGATATCAGAGATTTTTTTACAATAATTAGGACGAGCACAAAAACATACTATCATAAGCAGTTAGATACAAAAGACAAAGGAAGAAAAGCAGGTCCTTTATAATCAACAACAAATAGTAAGTGCTCTTAAATGGTGAGATTTCCCATACTTATGCACCAGAAGGACACTGGCACCCTAACATCTCCTAATGGGCAGAAGCAAAGACATATGATCTGACTGAACCATAGACTTGCTGAGAGTTCTGAAACTCATGACACATGAGCCTGGCACCAAAGAAGCAGGGTCCTGACAGGGGTCTAAGCTTAGACTAGATCTAAACTATCCTGATGAGATAGAAGCATGCAACACAGGACAAGGCATTGCCAAGTTCTCAGAAAGCACATCTGCCCTGCTCTGCTAGCTACCTCTGAGCTCCCCATATCTCTGTATGCTGAGAGGAAGAGTAGGTGTCCTGTGGGCCCTTGTTGGCAGGAACCAATGGGCTGGAGGAGAGACAGGAGGAGGAAGGGGAGTTGCTTGGAGTACTTTGGAGGGGAGACCATCAAATGAGCCTTCTTACAGAGGCACCTGGAGACCTTGAGGAATCCCCACTCTTTTAAAGAGTCTCGCTCACAGTTGCTCACCTGTTTTCTGGTCCAAGAGGCTTAAAGGCAATTGGAATTGGGGCAACATAGGGTCAAGTGGAAAACAAAAAAGCAGACTATTCTAATCTTTTTAAAATGTTCATTTATTTTGAGAGCGACAGAGGGAGAGATCCAGAGAGAGAAAGAGTGTGAGCGAGAGCAGAGGAGAGGTAGAGAGAGTGGGGGAAAGAGAATCCCAAGCTGGCTCTGCACTGTCAGCAAAGAGCCCAACTTAGGACTCAATCTCATGAATTGTGGGATCATGACCAGAGCCAAAATTAAGAGTTGGACATTTAACCAACTGAGTCACCCAGGCACCCCCAGACTATTCTAATCTTAAAGGAGATATTTAAATATATATTTGCACTCATGACAGTACTAGCAGCAACTGAATGAATGGATGTGAGAGAGGCTGTCTGATTTGCTGATAGGTTTTGAATAATAACTGGCTTCAAAAAATCAAAGAAATGCAATCTATTAGGTAAAATTCTGACATTTATTTATATAAGAAAATGATCCCCTTGTGATTGGGGGTAATAAACACTATCTTTGATGCCTTCTAGGATGAAGCTACCTGGAAAAGGTAACAGATTAGCTAATGAGACATTCCTAATATAAGGAAGCAAATTTCCTTCCCACACTGATATTTCTTTTTTTTTTTTTTTAATGTTCTTATTTATTTCTAGGAGAGAGAGAGAGAGAGAGAGAGAGCGTGAGCAGGGGAGGGTCAGAGAGAGAGGGAGTCACAGACTGAAACAGGCTCCAGGCTCTGAGCTGGCAGTCAGCACAGAGCCTGACGCGGGGCTCAAACCCACGAACCGCGAGATCATGACCTAAGCGAAAGTCGGACGCTCAACCGACTAAACCACCCAGGCGCCCCTCCACACTGATATTTCTAATAGAATCTTATCTTAATAAAAAAATTTTAATGTTTTTTAATTTGGAGAGAGAGAGAGAGACAGAGAGAGAGAGTGAGCAGGGTAGGGACAGAGAGAGGGGGAGACACAGAATCCGAAATAGGCTCCAGGCTCTGAGCTATCAGCACAGAGCCCTATGTGGGGCCTGAACCCACGGCCCATGAGATCATGACCTGAGCCAAAGTCAGATGCTTAACTGACTGAGCTACCCAGGTGCCCCTAATCTTAATTCTTAAGCAATGTTTTCTACTTATTTCTGCCTATTTTACTCAACTTCTGGAATGGACAAGTATTAATCTAAAGTTTATTTAAGAACATTTTAAAAAAATTAACAGTGACTAGGAAGTAAAATTTTCTATTATGTTCTAAATATCCTTTTGAAATAAGATGTTCATAGATGATGAAAAGTATATAACTAAATAAATTTGGTTTAGAGAGGGCTTCCTCTTTTTTTCTTTCATAGTTTATCTTTCATATTTATTGTCAAGTTGGTATCCATATAACACCCACAGTGTTCATCCCAACAAGTGGCCTTCCCCACGTCCATCACCCCCCTTCTCTTCTCCCCCACCCCCATCAGCCCTCAGTTTGTTCTCAATATTCAAGAGTCTCTCATGGTTTGCCTCCCTCCCTCTCCCCAACTATTTTTTCCCCTTCTTCTCCCCTATGGCCCTCCGTTAAGTTCCTTCTAATCCTCCTATATGTGCAAACATGGTATTTGTCCTTCTCTGCCTGACTTCTTTCGCTCAGCATAACACCCTCAAGGTCCATCCATGTTGCTACACATGGCCAGATTTCATTGTTTCTCATTGCCATGTAGTATTCCATGGTATAGATAAACCACATCTTCTTGATCCATTCGTCCGTTGATGGACACTTAGGCTTTTTCCATGATTTGGCTATTGTTGAGAGTGTTGCTATGAACATTGGGGTACATGTGTTCCTATGCATTAGCACTCCTTTATCCCTTGGGTAAATTCCTAGCAGTGCCTTTGCTGGGTCATAGGGGAGGTCTATTGTTAATTTCTTGAGGAACCTCCACAGTGTTTTCCAGAGGGGCTGCACCAGTTTACATTCCCACCAACAGTGTAGCTCCACACCTGAAAAACAATCCAGTGAAGAAATGGACAGAAGACATGAACAGACACTTCTCCACAGAGGACATCCAGATGGCCAACAGACACATGAAATGATGCGTAGCGTCCCTCATCATCAGGGAAATACAAATCAAAACCACACTGAGATACCACCTCTCGCCGGTCAGAGTGGCTAAAATGAACAACTCAGGAGACTATAGATGCTAGCAAGGATGTGGAGAAATGGGCACCCTCCTACACTGTTGGTGGGATGTAAAGAGGGCTTCTGAAGGGTGACTGGATGGCTCAGCTGGTTGAGAGTCTGACTCCTGATCTAGACTCAGGTCATGATCTCACTCTTCATGAGGCCCAGATCAGGTTGCGTGCTGAAGGGATTCCATCTCTCCTTCTCCCTACTCCTCCCCTGGTTGTGCTAGTTCTCAAAGTGAATAAATAAAAAAAAGAGGTTTCTGAGAGTAAAGTTGTGTTTCTTCTCCACCCTAAAGGCACTGAAATATTTTATATTTGGTAGCTAGGGCATAGCTGACTTTGAAGTAAAAATATCATTTTGTTCTATTAGGTATTTCCTTGCAAGTCACCCTTTACCCAACACATAGGAGCCTGGCAGGGATTCTTCAACTCTAGAAGCCAGAGGACAAAGAAACCAGGCATTAAGACAGACAAGAGTTCAGCAGCAAAATTTCCCTACAGCTCACAGACCTGAGTGAAAAGGAGTGTTTCTGAGTTTCTGCTGTCCAGACTGAGCACAAACCGGATGGACTGGAAAAGTTCTTGGATGCTGGATCGGAATTGCTCCTCTTCCATCCCACAGGTGGCTCGGGAGTACAGGATCCTCGACTGCACGATGAACTTGAAAAGGTACTCTAAGGCCTGGAGTAAAAGGGATGGAGAGGTGTTAAAAATGGCCAAGAGCTAACACAGCAGGGAAAAAACGTTAAGTAACAGCAAATTCTATACCAAAATCAGATGATAGACAATTCAACTGTGGAGACAAGCACTTTTTTTTTTAATTTGATCTCCAAAGTCCAAATGGTCACTGAGCAGCAGTTGTCTTCCTACTGAGAGAATCATCAAATCATTTCACAACTGTTTTTGTGGTTCTGGAATTGAGGAACCACAGACTGAGGAACCACAACAGTTGAATTCAAGAACATACAGGATCAAAAGAAAATGAAGTTTTTTGCATTTTTTTTCAGGTCTGGAAATAAGAGGCTTCAAAAGCAATGATGTAACCTCTCTTGAATTTATTCCAAGAAGGAAAAGTCTCTAAGGAGCCTTCTGCACCTGCAAGATATAGCTGGGATCTGACATGGTGTCAGCCTTCTTACTGGGGATTAAGTCTGAAGAAAACTAGCCCCAGGTTGCACAGCCCAAGGTGGACTTGACACACCCACTCTCCATCCTCTTCCAAACCCAGACACCTTTTCAAAGACAATTTTTGAACAATGCAGAAGATGAAGCTCCTGTAACTTATTTTGGGAGCAGAATCTAATTCTGAGGAGTCCTTACAGCTTGGCCCATGCTTATGAGCACAGTAATTATTTTTTAAAAGAACAGATTGACGATCTAAGACTATGCTTTCTAATCAAAGAAATGCCACAGATTTCCCAAACACTGAGAAGACAGAGACACTGGGAGAGAAACGTATCCAAGGATGAAACAAATGGAGCTCAACTACTTGAAATATATAATACAAAACAATTCTCAAGCTACCTTTCATGACCTATGTATGTATCAGAAGGTTTGGCAAAACAAAACCTCAATTTGTTTGTTTTGCAGCCCATATAGAATTCAGTAGGTGCCGAATGGCTAGGTCAGAAAAATATGTCTTCCAAGCCTTGTAGCAGAAGATTGTGTAGAAAATATTAAAGTGTGTGGCCTTATCAGCACAGATGCTAGAGCCTCCATTTCAGTAGCCTTTTAATGCCCAGTCTGAAAAGAATCAGGAAGATCTGCACTGTATACTCTAATTTTAAAGGAGAAAATGTGTAACTCATGACCTGTTTTTTTTTTCCAGTTTGAAACAGCTAATACAAGAGATATATTGAATGGCTTGAAACATCTACTTGTTTTAGAGTGAAAGGCAGAATCAGACAGCAAAACTGCTTACACTTCCTGGGCATGAGAGCTTAGTATCTCTATTAAACTTTAAAATATAAAACAATGTCCAAGATGGTCCTGTGAAAACCTGCATGAGGGACAGATAAATAAGTCCACTTCCAGTCATCCATCACCACCTGACTTCCCTTGCCCACTCCTCTTGATTTTTCTGGTCAGCACCAGTGTGGGCAGGACCAGGTGATGGCTGGTTGCCTCTGACTGATGCAACCCGGGAAAGAAAAGAGGGTGGGCCAATGGGAAGGAGGTGAGTGGTGGAGCCTATGGATTTTGTTCAAAGTTCAAGGGTGCTCCCAACCCTGTGCAGAGACAGTGAAGCACTTAATGGTGGGTGAAGTAGCCACTCTGTCCACTTCTACTTAAGTTAATAAACCTGAAAGGAAAAGAGATCCTAAAAGTTATTACAACCTTTCTTTCATTAAGAAGATCCATGGTGCCTGCTCGTTTCTCTTCATGGTTCTCTGGGGGATCGGATGTAGCTCACCAGTGAAAAGTGTGCTGTCTCTTTAGAATATCTTGCCAAATACCATCCTCAAAGCCACCAAAGATACCTCCTACAGGTCATTCACAAGGGAACAAACAAAATAACCAAGTAAGAAAACAAAGGACTCTTTATTTTTATCTTCCTTAGTGGTCAAGCTTTCTTAGAAAGGCCACAACTTTGAAAGTGAAAGGAAGAGATGTGATATAAGTGGCAGGATGTACTGAATCAAGAATAAGAAGGAGGAAGAGGTTTCCTGGTCCCCACTTTATCATACCAGAATGAGAGCTGTTAGGCCAGGACCATGTGCATCCTGTGAAGGGATGAAAACAGGACTGATTAGAGATTTACTGGTTTGGTCAAGAGGACTTGTCAACTAAAACTTGAAGAAGGGGAAATGACCTGATAAAACCTGAGTACTGGATGCATTAGTAAGAGAGTCCATTCAAACAAGCTTGTAGTGCTAAGAATAAGTATGAAAGTACCTCAGAAAAGTGCTCCCCCAAATGGAAATCTTTCTTTCCACCCAAACCTGACCTTCTCCCAGAATTCTGCATCTCCCTAAGTAGCTCTGATATCAACACAGCTGATCTAGCCAGACTCCTTGGAACCAGCCTGAGTTCTTCCTTTCTGTCACCTTCCACATCCAATTTAACATCTGAAATCAATTCTCTGCATTGGTCACATCAGCCACTTTTTGGTTGCTTGAAAACTCAAGCTGTTTCCCACCAAGGCTTTTAAACACGCTTTTTCCTCTGTCTGGAATGCTCATCCCCTAGCTCTTCACATTGATTTCAGCCAAGAGGTCACCTCCTCAGACAAGCTTTCCCTAAAATTTTGATATGAAGTAAACCGTCCTCTCCAGCCAGTCTATCCTATGATTCTGTTTATTTCCTTGATAGTACTTACTTATCAAGTTTTTTACCCCACTTAATTTGTATATTTATCTGTCTTATATATTTATTGTCTGTCTTTCCTCCAGTTGGATGGAAGTGCTATGAAAGCATAGCCTTTTCTGCTTGGGCCCCTGCTGAATCCCCAGTGGCTACTATAGTGTCTGACACATGGCAGGTATCAAATAACACTGACTTGACTGACTGAATGAATGAATGAATGATTGTTAGGAAAAAACAACTTCTGTGATGCTTTCTCCAGTATCCTGAGAAATTAATTTAGGGACTCACATAGAGTCTTTTGCATTTCACTCAACTTTTATCCCCTCAAATATTATCTGAGGCACCTGCCAGGTACTCGGTTTAGAGAAGAATAGAATGCAGGCCCTGTCCCCATATCACACTCAGAACTCTGCTTTACCCCTGTGCTTGTGCACGCTTTACTGGGGATGTGTTCTTCAAGGGGAGAGGTCTGTCTTACTCCTCTTTGCATCTTGACATCCACAACAGATGGATGCTGACTGCTTTGTAGACACGTATTATATGAAGGAGGACAGAAATAATACTTACGGCCTTAGACTTTTACAGAATGTACAGAGAAGCGGCGGGGGGGTGGGGTGGGTGGGGCACAGACCTATGATTTGATTTTGCCTCTTCAGTCTGATAATGTTTAGAGAACCACCTGTCTCATCTGTTAGCATGTGGACAAGAACAACAAAATTACAGGCCCAATAGTACTTGGAGCAAATGATGTAAAATTAAAAGAGGACAGAGAAAAAGCAGAACTACTTTGTTGTCACTCTTCTTTTATTGCTAACTGGAAAGGGTGGGAAAGACATGGTTAAAAAGCAACTTTAAAAAAGTAACTCAAGAACAAGAAAATTTAGGGTCAGAAAGGGAGAAAGCATGGGCCTCCCAAGGGATATGGCAGCTTTCTTTAAAAAGCTATCTTGAGAACTGTTGAGCAAAAGAGAAGTCAACATTCTCGTAGGTGGGTCTCTACAGTAGAAGAAGTGCCATGAAAAGAAGTTACTAGAAAGTGAAGTTATCTCACAATGACAATGGTTCCCCTGAAAATTGGAGCTGCCCAGAAATGCCAAAGTCTGCCTTATCTTGGAACCTGTCCCTGCAGGGGTGCTGCCATAGGGGACTCTGGTTTCCTCCAAAGGTCAAGGTTTTAAGATTGTCTTCTTAACGTATTCATATACAGTGTATCCAATCAGCTCTTTTTACTTAAAACAATTCTAAAAGACAGCTGTTTTTTAGTAACCACTGAAGACAGAAAAAGTGTTGGAAGATCTTAATTCTAATCAATGTTGCCACCAACATTGGTTTAGAAGGAAATATGATGCTTTGACCAGTGGAAGCAGAGATCGATGCTGTTGGCAAAATCAGGGAGGAAGGATGGCCAGGAGTTACATGTACATCATCCCTCCTTCCTGCTTTAAGATAACATTATTTGGAATAAAGGTCTTCTGGGGCAAAATCAAGGTGAGGAAAGGGGAATTATGTGGTCCAAGACATTCCTGAAAGTAGGCCAGTGTACTGAGATGTCTAACTTGTTCTGCACACTAAACCACTGAAATTACTGACAAACAACAGGAGGGGTGGGCCCTTTATATACAGTGAGCTCAGTACATTACCCTCATGGCTTCCTGAATGTGGTCCTGTCGAATCAGTTCTGCTGAGCAGTCCATGTACCATTTCAAACAGCGAATAAGCTCCCTGGGAAAGAGAACAGTTCCAGAAACCCCACTTTAACTCAAAAGCACTCAACTTGAAATTTTTGCAGCCCTGAATTTGCCACACAGGAATAATATATATCTTGCTGATGAGCCAGAATAGAGTGATGGATCCGTTACAAATGTGAAATCTTCAGATCATCTGAGATCAGACAATATACCTCATCTGTAGAGTTGCCACATTTTAATTAGCAGTTATAATAATTCTTTCTTACTTTCCCTGACACACATTTTTTTCTTTGATTATGAGAAAGTTTTCCCAGAGTCCTAGACTTCATCTGTATTTTTGTTTGTCTAAAATTTTTATGTCTCCAGAACATACAACAATGAGTAGTAAGGAGATGCTGGATAAAGGTATACAGTCTTATGTGCCTCTCCTTGCTCTACCTTCATCCCATCCATTTTATTTCCTTAGGACCAAGTAACCAGAGTGAAATGAGATTATAGGATCAGAAGGCCTGCTCCTTTACCTGGCAAAAGAGCACAGAGGTCAAGTATAGGTCTTGGTCATACAGCAGGTTTACCTCTGGGGCCTATCAATTTCTAGCTCTGTATCCTTGGGCAATTTATTTGATCCCTCTGTGCCATTCTCTTGGTTTAAAACACAGAGGAGGGGCGCCTGGGTGGGTTGGTTAAGCATCTGACTTCAACTAGGGTCATGATCTTGCAGTTTGTGGGTTTGAGCTCCATGTTGGGCTCTGTGCTGACAGCTCAGAGGTTGGAGCCTACTTTGGATTCTGTGTCTCCTCTCTGTCCCTCCCATGCTCATGCTCTATCTCTCTTGGTCTCTCAATAATAAATAAACGTTAAAAACACTTTTTTTAAATTTTTTTTTTACAAATAGTTTATTGTCAAATTAGTTTCTTTTTTTTTTTTTTTTACAAATAGTTTATTGTCAAATTAGTTTCTACATAACACTCAGTGCTCATCCCCAAAGTGCCCTCCTCCATGCCCATCCCCCCC